TGAAGCCGTATGGGTCATCGTTGACAAATTGACTAAGACGACTCACTTTTTGCCTATTAAGGCAACAGATGATGCAGAAAAGCTTGGTGTACAATATGTGAAGGAGATTGTAAAGTTACAAAGAGTTCCAGTAACCATTGTCTCAGATAGGGATGCCAAGTTCACTTCGAAGTTCTGAAAAGGACTTCAAGCAGCGTTTGGGTCAGCGTTACATCTTAGTACGGCATTCCATCCATAGACGGACGACCAATCGAAGCGTACCATCCAAATCTTGGAGGACATGCTTCGGGTATGTGTACTTGATTTGGGAGGTAGTTGGGAGGATCACCTTCCATTTATTGAGTTTGCCTATAATAATAGTTATCAGGCAAGCATTCAGATGGCTCCATTTGAGGCGTTGTATGGTAGACCTTGTATGTCTCCTGTTTGTTGGACTGAGGTGGGCGAGATAGCCGCTTTAAGACCTGACATTGTACTTAAGACTACTGAGAAGATTAAGTTAATCAGGCAGAGATTGTTTACACCTCATAGCCAACAGAAGAGTTATGCGGATAGGCGGAGACGGTCGCTATCCTTTGAGGTGGGAGACTACGTCTTTCTACGGGTTTCTCCATGGAAGGGTTAATGAAGTTCGGAAAGAATGGCAAGTTATCGCCACAATTTATTGGACCTTTTGAGATCTTGGACCGAGTAGGAGAGGTTGCCTACAGACTTGCTTTGCCACCGTAGATGGACATAGTCCATAATGTCTTTCATGTATTGATTATCGATGCTACGGAAGTACGAGCCGGATCCATCTCACATTTTGAATTGGGTTGATGTGGACATTGATAAGGATGTTTCCTACGAGGAGTGACCAGTTCAGATCCTTGACACACAACAGAAGGTATTGAGGAACAAGACGATACCATTGGTAAAGGTTTTATGAAGGCATCACGGCATGAAGGAGGCTACTTGGGAGCTTAAACAGGAGGTTCGCACCAAGTATCCAGAATTGTTTTCTCCCTCAGGTATGGCTTGATTTCGGGGACGAAATCTTTTAAAGTTGGGGAGAATGTAATATTCATGATATGTTATATATATATTTTTGTTAAAAGAATTTTTTTATTTAGCTATGGGACCCACTTTACTTTAAGTTATTATGTGGCAAATGGGATGGCAGACCCATTTTCTACTTCTTTCCTCTCTGTCGCGTCTTCTCTCTCTCTCTCTCTTCTGGCTATTTTTTTTTCTTTTATTTTTCCTTTCACAAAAGCTTAGATTAAAGCCACACCATTAGGAATTTTCGGGTGCCGTTTGCGGTAAATCGAAGAGCTCGGCGAGATCTTCAAATGGGTGTAAGCAATTTCAATTTTGGTGCACTCTAGGGATTTCAAAATTAGGGCACAAATTTTGTGGTTTTCATAATTTTGGATGTAGGGGTTCCTAATTCATACATTCTTGTACCTTTATGAATTATTCTTCTTGTTTAATGTTTAAAATGCTAAATTTGTGTTGATTTCTTTTAAAAGATTCTAATTGTTGTATTCATGAAAGATATGATTATATATATGTGTTCATGTGGTATGAGAAAATATGTTTCAATGACTTTATTTCATGCCTATTGTAATTTATGTGCTAAAATTATAACTTAGAAGCATGATACTAAATTTTAGAGATTTCTATAAAGCATGCCTAAATGATAAATTCCATGCCTATTGTGTGTTAAGTGTTGAATTTGGTAATTTAGACGTACATGCCTCATAGAAGATTCATAATAATTAATTCCTTACAAGTCAAAATCCATTTGACTTGTAAGGAATTAATTTCTACATTGATATGGCATTGAAATATATGAAATACTCATACACTCATTGGGAAAGAAATGGGAAAAATTGATTTGAAAGAAATGAAATGGATTTTGGGAAAGAATTTTGAAAAGGATTTTGTGAAAAACCCGGCCGCCTAGGAGTTACTTAGGGACTGCCACGTTAGTGAGGCCTAAATGGGATTAGGGAGATCGCCCTAGTGTGGTTGAGTTACTTGGGCCCCAAATGACACCATAGAGTTGCCATGGGTCAGGGATAGTGGCCAATCATCCTCTCGTGCCGCTATGGAGTTGCCATGGGACGGGTTGATTAACGGTTTGAAAATGTTGACGAAAATGGTTTTGGAAAATGGGAAGTGACATTGCATGGCATGGCATGGCATATCATTGCATGGCATATTCATTTGTTGTATCGGATTAATGATGTGGTATTGTAGTTATATTTTACTCCCGGCATAGTATGATCCTAATTTCCTTATTTCTATTCATTGTGTAGATTCACGGGGTCTCAAGAGGTGTGCCTTAGTCACTTCCTACTGAGCTTATGCTCACCCCTTCATTTTAACATTTTTTAGGAAATGGGAATAAAGTGGCAGATAACGTTCCACCACAGTCCTAGCATGGATTAGATGATCATTTTGTTATTTTTGTATCTCAGTCCCACTATTTTTGTAAAAACTTAGCATATTGTATTCAGGCTTATGGACTCTTGCTAATGTAGTTATATTTATGGGCTATAATTTTATTATAAGTTGTCGAAACGTTATAAGATATGGACGTTTGATCGTAACCATATTTTATTTTTGGAACTGTAATTACAATAATTGAATTAAATGATATGTGGATATTCTACCATGAGATGAACTATGTAGAGGTATAATGAATGAATGAAAGGGATGCTGAAATGTATTATATGTTTTTGTTTTTGTTTTTGTATCGTGTGTTGGGACAGTTTGGATAAGTCTTGAAGGGTCAGGAAGGGCCATTATATTTTTTCATTTGAGCAGATGGTTTTAGGCTCATTTTTAGCAAAGGTCATTCCAAATTTTTAATTTTTTTTATAATTGGTATTTAGTTTTGGGTCGTTACACTTTCTATACAACTACCCAAACGCTGAAGTAATGAATACAAGTAATGAATACAATGAATACAAAAGTTCAGCACCAAAACTGACAGGAATCCCAATCTAGAAAGGGGAAGAAAAAAAAAAGTCAAGAACAAAAGCACATGAAGTAATGAATACTAATTTTAAATATCATAGCCATGAGCTCACACCCCCCTCTCTATGGCAGCTTTTGGATAGAAATTTCTTCCCAAAAAAAAAAATCTAGTTTAAATCACATAACTCATAAGAAAAATATTGATATGGTTAATAACATTTCGGAAATGGTTGGAGTAGCACAAATTGAACATAAAATGAGAGAAAATAGAGTAAGAAAATTTGGACATGTGCAAAGAAGACTTCTACATGTGCCATTTAGAAAAAGTGACATGGTCCACATTGAGGGTAATGATAAGGAAAGAGGAAAACAAAAGTTAACTTAGGAAAAAAGATATCATAACATGTGGTTTGCCTGAGTCTATGGCTTTAAACAAAGCTACAATTGAGAAAAAGGCTTCTTGTTATTGTTGTGCTAAGGTTGGTTGAAAAATCAAAAAAGAAAAAGAAAAATAACTAAAAAAATTATATAAATCAAAAGTTTGATCCATGTAATTGCATAAGCTGGCAATGTAAGACTTTCTTGGTGGGTATGTCTTCTTAACATATTAACCACATTGAAATTCCATTGATCAATTAGCTTGACAGCTACCTTGCACTCCACTTATAGATAAGAAGATAAGGCATCGGATGGTTCTAATCATCCCCTCAGATAAGAAGATAAGGTATAAACTTATCAAGATCGGTTCTAATCCTAATAGAATCATAATTTTCTTTTTGTTGGAATAAAGAAACTCTATGATGACCTCCAAATTGATCTCCAAAAAGGACCATTAAATGATCTAGATATACATACATGTGTGTGTATATAGGTTTGGTGAAACATGGTTCCAACACTAAAACATGTTCCATAGAACTTTCTTAGGCAGGTCATAGGTGAGGCAAGCTAAACCACACACGTATATTATATTTATACACACACACACACACATATATATATATATATACAGTCATACCTCCCAGTCAATGCCTCTATCTTTATCCTGGTTGTGCCAGATCTAGAACAACCTTTTTTTTTTGACAAAATCTTGACAGTAGATTCTTGCCATTAGAAATAAATGTGTTGAGATGGTGACTAGGATATGGATGGCTTCCATTCCATGGAGCTTATCCTCTTCCACTAATTATATAATTGAAAAGTCTAAGGAATTCAAACCTTATGAGACGAAAATGTCAAATCTGAAGATAAGGCAAAGAAAGCGAAAACACAATGAATTATGAAAAGGGCGTTACTAGGATGACAGACAAGTCCATGAATTTTCATCCAATCCATTGTCACAATTCAAAATTTGTCATGAAAATTATAGAGCCAATATCATCTTCTTCTTTTTTTCTTTTTCTTTTTTTCAAAATTACTGTCATATTTCCTAATGTTTTTCGGAAGTACAGTGATTTCCCCTCTGTTTATAAAGAAAAATGAGACTGGTAAATTCCTCTCATTTATAAGATTTTTCCGTGTTTTTAAAAATGGCACTTTAGTCTCCTTTCTATTCAAATCGCCACTATACAACGACTGAATTTGTTTGTGTTAGAAAATGTAAATATCAAAATACCCATTTTACTGTTAAGTAGTCTAAAGTTGATTTGTAAAGATTGAAAATTAATTTAAAATTAAGGATAAAATAGTAACATAAAAGTTGGTTGTGTTCAATTCGTAGGTTCGAGTTATCAATTTGAGGGTGATTATGAATATTCAAAGGAATTAGTCTTGTAGTTGATGACACTTTCCATTCTAATATACATACATACATACATACATACATATATATATATATATATATATATTTGCCCGTAAGGTTATAGTAATTTCATTTCATTTGCTTTGTATTCTTTACATGTCAGTGTTTCACCTAGAAATGTTATAGTAATTTCATTTAATTTGCCCTGTTGCATGTCAGTATTTCACCTAGAAATCATAGGCCTCCCATGTTCTCATTTGTAATGTGAACGCAACCTAATCCACATATACACATGCATGCGTGTGTATATAAGTAACGTATATATTTTACACACACATTATATACACACCTCCCTTATAAATTAAGTTCCCAAGTTAATTTGTTTATCATATGCGTTAGGAAAAGTTTTTGATAGAAAGCCATAAGCGGCTTCAGCTTCTTCTTCTTCTTCTTACAACCAATGGGTGAAGGCAAAAATCAAATGCTTCAAGGTCCTTGCTGTCCACACACCGGAGATGAGAAAGATATTGATGATGATGAATGGGCGATCATGGAATGTCATGATGGAGATGATATCTACAACGTTACATCATCGACATCCTCCCTCGAAGATTCAACAGGTTCAAATGGATCATCATTTTCTTCGTCAGAGATGGCAGATGATGCATCTTCATCAACTTCAAACTCATCATCATCATCATCATCACAATATAAAGGATCTTTGTATGATTTATCAGAGCTCATGGCCCAACTTCCCATCAAGTAAGAAACTTAATTAAACAGAACTTAGGAGCATATCTATACATATATACCTATATATATAGGGGCTGTGGACTAAATAAATAGTGGGATTTTTTTTGCAGGAGAGGGTTATCCAAGTTTTATCAAGGCAAGTCTCAATCTTTTACGTCTCTGTCCAGAGTGAGAAGCATAGAAGATCTTGCAAAGAAAGAAAGTCCTTACGGAAGGAAAATGAAAGTATGCAAAAGCCATGGAGGTGGCTTGGATACCTACAAATCGTCAACTCTTCCTAAGCCCACCATATCAAAGAAAGTCTCCTCAAGGGTCTCATTGTCACCATATTCTTTTTCAAGCAAAAGAGCAAATTTTAAGAGTAGTTGCAGGTCCCCTCTAATTCCTGTACAAAAGAACTTGAGTTCTTAATCTGCTAAATTCATGCCTTATTAGTATATTTACATTATAGTGTAAAGATTTGGAGAGAAATATATATATGATGTATGGAGATTATTTCTATTGAGAGAGGGGGGATATGTAACAAATTATGTGGTCAGCTACTTTCAGTATACCTCCTACTCATTTTGCCTGAAGTAGAGGGGTTAAAAAGTACCATGAAATTTTGTTGATGCCTTGGAGATTATTTTTTTCCTATATCCCACAGTTTGTTTGAGAAGTGAAAAACATTTTCATTTTATTGTATGCTTGCTACTTGCTCTACACATCTAAAAGTTCATGATGGAACCACTAAATTAGTGAAGAAATAAATAAATAGTGTCAAAATTAAGTTTGTTTGAAATCTTTCCTTCCCAACACTTGTGTAAGCACATACAGGAAGTAATCACCAAGTTTTTATGAAGCACTTGAGACAAGTTCCATTTCTAACAATGATTACAAGCATGGATGATGCCCTAAGTATAAGAATTTGACAAGGAAAATTTTACAAGCATAGCAATCTGAAGTTTTCTTACTCATCAATAATCAAATCTCAAAGTCAGAAGAAGTGCAAATTGTTTTGGCTGAAAGAGCAGAGGCAGCACTAATAATTTCTGTTTCTAGCATTGCTTTATAGTTGTGAAAATATTTACATCAAAGATTTACAACATTCAAGCTTTGAATAATTGTGCACTCCCCTGTAATTTGCAGCAAAGAAAATACCAAAACTATTGTAGAGTATTCATGTCTAGGCCTTAAAACTTTTGTTGACAAAATATATCGTATCTCATGGTGTCATAATCACACTCCAACTTCACATTGCCATCTATTAACAGCAATTAGTGGCAAACAGTACCTGCAAAAATTCAGTATCACACTACTACCATAACCACTTCAGTTTGTGGTGCATGTAATGATAAGAAAATAAAATCTTAGTGGAATTGGTAGATTTGCTGTGTGTGTCAAAGAAAGAACTAGCAAATTGAATCTTTGATTAAAATAAAAAAATCAGTTGCTACATGTTAAAGACCTACTACAATTACTGAAATATTAGAGAGCCTCCTTCCTCTCTTAAACTTTCAGTCGGAGGGGGCTGATTTATGGAACAACAGAGGATGCTGTTTCAGAATGGTGTTGATCAGAAGAATAATCATTGATGATGATCTAAGATTCATGGAGACATGACTGAACGGTTGCGAATTCGGGTAGATCGCCTCACTGGAGTTGTGACTACCATTCTCACTTCTCCATCTTTTCCCTCCTGTTTCAAGACAAAAACAACAGTCTAAGATATTCACTCAATCACCTATTTTTGCATTCAAATTGTATAGTAAACATTATGAAAATCATTTTGCTAAGCATGCATGTAGAGTATATATATGTGTAGTTTTCAACCTATATTATAGAACAATGCCTATACCAAAGCAAAAGGAATGCTCAAGTATTTACCTCTTTCTTTGCCATCTTCTTTTCAGCTGTAAAGCTTCCATATGAGGGAGAGTCCATGGTTGAGAACTCTGATAAAGGTGATGCCAATTGACCAGACACCGCACGATCCTTGCTCCAAGAACCCCCCTTCTCTTGAGAAACAGAGTAATTGCTTTCCTCGTTATCCATCATCTTGCTTTTCAAACCACAACTCCTAAGAGAGCTGCTGACCTCTCCAACCTCAAACTCGGTAAGCAATTCCACTGACGGTGCACGGCTTTGGTAAGACTCTTTCAAGGATTCGTCCATGGAACGAATCCAAGAGGAGGGATTTGCAGAAGGAACAACTTTCTCAATGTGCCCTTCTTCCATGTGGGGAAGTACAGGGCTGATTTTCTTTGCTATCGCGGATTCGGAAAGCATCCTTCCCATGACCAAAGCATTTTTAGCAGAAGTTCTCTTCCGCCTCAAATGAAATCCCAAAACGAAAGATGTCAAAATCATGACAAACCCTATCACTGCTTCTGGAAATAGATCAGTTTTCAAACCTTCAAAAAATCTCTCCACTTCAGGATTGGTGGCATCAGATTTTGTAGTCTCACTGTCAATCCTCTCTGGAGTGACAATTTCATCACTTGCAGTGTTGGTGATATCTTCCAATCTCTTCAATTCATCCTCATCCACTTCTTCTTTCCCAGCTGACACCACATCAGAAATTATTCCATCAACTGGTTCAACTTGATCATATGCAGAATTTGACTCGACACTTGGCGCTGTAAATGGTGCCTGAAAATCTTCATAAGCTTCAGGATTCTTTCCAAGTTCAATTCCCTGAAATTTATGAAAACTCTCCACCAGGTTCATCAATTCATGATCACTGACATCTTCACTTTCAACAATATCTGTCCCCTGCAACTGATCAGAACACTCGCAAGCATCCTCTGGTTTCTCATCATATACAGCTTCACTCTCATCAGTTTCAGTCCCCATCAACTGATTAAAACTCCCAGAGTTATCATCCAATTCATGATCATATTCAACTTCAGTTTCTGGTTCAGTTTCGGATTTCTCGTCATATACATCTTCACTCTGGTTCACTGCTTCCACAGAACCCACCTGTGCCTTCTTAGTGACAGCTTCAAAGATACGATTTTGAATCTTAACATAGTCATCTTGAAGACCCCTTATAGCTTGTAGGGTAGGTGAAGGTGTAGGAGAGTTCATAGAAGAGATATATAAGGTAGATAGAAACAGAAGAACAAATACAAGCAAAGATTTCAAAAACCCTTTCAAAATGCTCCCTTTCTCCTCAAACTCTTCCATTTCTTCATCAGAATCGAAATCGTCACTCTGGTTAATTCGTTCCTCTTCTTGCTTTACAGAACCTTCTTGAGAAGAAGAAGCAGCTGAAAATCTGTGAGGATCTCCCAAAAACAACTCTTCATCATCCATGGCTTTCTGGGAATCAAACAAGGCACTTCTTCCCTCATCAAACCCATCTTTTTCTTCTCTAATCTCATTTTTAGAGCCAAGAAAGATCTGGTGACGCCTGTTTGGCTTGTATCGGAGGAATTTAGGCCTCGGGGAAAGGTAATTTGTCAATGGGTCATAAGGCTTCAAAGATGATTGGGCAACAAAAGTGTTCTGCTCATCCTCATCAGACTCAGATACACTGTTGTATAATGGTGTGATCTGAGACGAAGAAGATCTTCTGGAACGGCCTATTTTGGGATTTACAGGAATGGTTGTGAAATCAAGCTTTGAGGAATTATCGATTTGGGTTTCAGAAAAAGTAGGAGCTTCGTTTCTCTCAGCCAAGATTTTCATTTTTTGAGCAACAGCTTTGGAAGCTGCAGATATGGTGGGTGACATGAAGTGCTTTGTTGATGGTTTCTTCGGGTTCTGCCATTTGGAGCCCATTTTGTCATTGTTCAGGTCATTCTCATCGACTTCTCCTGTAATTTATATGCAGAAGAAAGAAAAAATTGGTTTCTGGGTTGTGGGTACGAACCTTACACAAATTGAAAAAAGGAAACTATGAAATTTATGTTTGGTTGTTGAGAAACCCTAGCAAAAGAAAGAAATATTGGAGTTCTTACGAACCCTAACAGTTAAAAACTTTCAATATTTCAATTCGTTCAATTCTTCTCCTGTGTTTCCTCAACAAGAACATGAATTATAATTGGAAACAGCTTAAGATAAGCTAAATTATATACAATATAAACATATATTACCTATATATATTGCAGATTTTTGAGAGGAGAGAGAGAGAGAGAGAGGGCTTACCAGGTGCTGAGAGTTTTGGAATTGCCGATGGTCTGATAGGTATAGTACCGTCCATTTCTCTTGGAGCTTTCTTGATATAGTCTTCAATGGTAGTTTATGCTTTCTTGAACAAGTTTTCTGGCTGATTTTGCTAGAATGCGCTTTTCTCTCTTGATGTTTTTGGAGGGAGATAGAACGTAACAGTCAGATGTCGGAGATTATAACCGTTGTGAGTGAATTATATAAATCTATTTGAAATTTGAATCCCTCGTTTTATGACCGTTGGTATTATCCGTTCCACAACGGCTACATTAGGTCCCGCGTAATAAACCCCTAAGTCACGGTCCATAAATCATATGACCAATGGGTCCAATTCAAACTTGGCCCAATTACACAAAAAATGAGCAATTTGATTCTGACCCAATGAAGGACCAATTAAATCAGGGCCATTTACAGCCCAATGGTCTGGCCATCAGTCCAGCCCACCAACAAGCCTAGTCCATTGGCAGGGGCCTTCTTGCTTTCCCAAGTAGCCCAATGGCTGTTTTTAGTTGGCTAAGCACCTGCGTGCGCACATGGGCTTAGCCAACTCCGAGCGCTCGGAACTTGCTAGGCCCATGTGCACGCGCAGGTGCTTGTAGGACATCGTGCAAGCGCTCACATAGTGTACCCCGAGCGCTTGCAGCTCCTTCTTAGGCACACTTTGGACTTTCATTTTAAACCCAGAATTTAATGTTTATTTTCGCCATTCATGTTTAGTAATGACTCATGAACCTATTGTGGACCTATTATTGGACATTATGATGTCAAATGACTATTTTGACCATTGCTTTCGCATTTTGGACTTAGTATCGAGTTGGGATTTCGGACCATTGCAGGTAATGTACTGGATCATGGGATTTGGGCCGTCACAGTAGCCCTCCACCCGTAGAGTGTATCTTAAGTTACACAATTCTTCTCAACTAATATTCTTCGCATGTTCCGCGCACTCTCTTCTTATCGCTTCCACCATGTGTGACTCAAATTTTACCCTTTTTACACTCCGGCTCTTGCACTCGCCCTCCGACTCCAGCTCATGCTCCTACTCTGTGGATGTACCTCTCTGGGAAGAAAGTAATTTCCAATAAAGGGCGCACAAATTCAAGAACTAAAGCAAACACTGTCCCTCCAAATGGGACATGTAACCCAAGGGACCCTTTCCCATTTCCTTTCTACACAAAGCAGTACTCACCCCTAAGGGATACCATTTAGGGTGTGACTTGCCTTGTTTAGTTGTTCTACTTTCCATTATTGCAAGACTTGGACCAGAAGAAAACAAGAACCAAAAACAAAAAAAAAAAAAAAAAACACTACTTTATGTTATAACTTTCAATGTCATCCACTGAAAAATGGATTACTACTCTTTTATGATTGATACAAGGAAAAAGTGAAAAGATGTTCAAGTTCTCCTCCCCGATGGTGTAAATGAAGTGTGACCTGTTTTTCTCTAGTGGGCTATGATAGGATGACACAGACTTGACCAGGACAAATGAACATTACTTGAAATTTAATCAATTATTTTTTAAAGTACCAATTTAGAAAAAAATTGGCTACTCAGTGGAACCAAAGGTCAAGTAATGATGTGTGTATTAAACTAAAAATGCTCATAATTTCCTTATTCCTTGAAAACATATCATGCAAGATACAACTTTGATCTTTTGGGTTCAAATCCACCATAATAGGAGAATCTATGCTCTTAGAATATCCATCGTTTTTATATATTATACTTGAGATTGATAAGACATTTATTTTAAAATATATTGATTTTTCTTACAAGGGTGGACATGATATTTGTAAATATTTTATTTTATATTTTTCATAGTATATGACTAACCATACATAATCTTTGGGGGATACGAAAATATTATTGGATATGGTTGAATTAAAAACTTGTAGCTGACCAACCATACATAGGATACAGAATAAGATTATATAGGAATTCCAAATTAGATATGATTCAGCTGAAATGGTGGAGTTTTGACTTGCAAGAAGAATTTTGTAGCACAAGTCACCAAATATGATATTAAAAGGTTAAAAAACAAAAAACTGAGTACAGATCTTTTACTATATCAACACTGTACTGTATAATGTAAAATAAGGAATGAACTATAACATCCTTAGATGCTGTTAGAGCATAGGATAGTAAGCCAGCCATTTGATCTGACTGTAGTGATTATCATATGGCTACAAATGTAATAAGGAACATAATTATAACAGTAATATTATTGTGCTACAAATGAAATAAGGAACATAATTATAACAGTAATATTATTGTACACTAAGATGCTATTATAGCATAGGATAAAGGCGTATGCAGACTAGGCGAAGGTGGGCTTCAGCCCACACCCAAAAAAACATAAAAATAAAAATAAAAAATTAGTAATAGTAGCTCACTTCAAGTTAGTCCAATCCAAAGTTAACCCATTCTATTTAGAAATGCTGAATCAGCGCTTGGCAGAAGATATTGATCCAACTATTTGATCTGACTACAAAGATGATCATGTGGCTGCAAATGAAATAAGGAGCAAATCATAACAGCGTTATGATTGTACAACATGATGTTGTTACAACAGAGGGAAGTGAGCCAGCCATTTGATCTGATTATAAAAATAATCATATGGCTGCAAATGAAATAAGGAACATAACCATAACAGCGTGATTATCTTGAAAGATGTTGTTGTAGAAGAGGATAGTAAGCAGCCATTCGATCTGACCATAAAGAAAATTCGACGGTTGAAAATGGCTTAGGACGGGGAGCACAGCATAGCATATGAGGGCAGGGGATAAGAGTGAGTCAGCAGGGAGGGGCCTGGGTCCTACTAATAGTAGCACAGGGGAAGAACAAATGTATGTATATAGTAGGTATATATAGTATATATAGTACTAGATGATATCAAATGTGGGACTGGGAGAGTGTCACATGTGAAGGTGATGGTAGAGGGAGTTGGCCGGGAGGGTTACGGAAATGAAATGATGATCATTAATTGAACAGGAAAACATAGACTTTTATTGGAAAAGTGATGGAGAACTTGACTAGCTACACATGGCCGACACTGTCCTTTAAGTGGACAGGACAGTGTTACCATCCCAGACAAAACCCACCCCCTCTCTCTCTCTCTCTCGCTCTCTCTCTCTCTCTCTCTCTCCTATTCAAATCAAATGGTCCCCATGCAATCTTCCCCTTATTCCATCACAAGATATCCTTTTCCAGACATTTATACTGAAGTCAATTACTACTAGTATTTGCGGGGGGAAAAAAAAAAAATTACTGGTAGTGTTTTTACTTTATGTAAAAATAAAAATAAAAATACATTCTCTAAATTTTAAAAAATATGACGAATAAATTCACTTATATCCTTTATTATGCATTTCCGAATTCGAAAAATACAGTTGCTCATTTCATTATCATCACATAAGCTTCTAATAAGGGTACAATAGAAGTTTTGTACTCGAGTTTGCACTCCCATTGGGATATAGGTTCCACCACATAATCATTTCATTATTATCACATGATATTGATGAACAGTGTGTAGCTTGATAAATATTATTCATAAAAGTCCAACTTTGCATATCTAACTTTCGCACTGTGATATTGCTATATCATGAGAGTATTTTATTAATTTTCGCGGCGCTTATATTCTTATGCTTTATTCCGATTTTTTTTTAAGTGTATTTTTATAAATTTTTTTATTTGTTATATTTAGTGTGAGAGTATTTATTCATTCTGAATTTTTTGTATTTGTACTTTTTTTTTTTTTTTTTTATCATTATAGGAGAGTATCTGTAATCCTTGAAAGTAATTCTAGTTTTGAGTGAACTAAGTAAAAATCTATATGTTCTTAATGTGTATGTTTAATCAATTTTTTCTTAATTTTGCAACATATTTCCACACATAACATTTCTAAGTTCAAATGATGTATCACTTTTTATTATCATTGTCGTTTTATTATCATCAACATAGACTCTAAAATGAGTTGAGTATCATAAATTTATTCTGATTAAATGAATTGAGATTGTATGATTTGAATTTGATTTAAGAAATTGACATTTATAAAAAGTGAAGTTTGAGAATAAAATCAGAGGAGAACATTTGATAATGGGCGTAAAATAGGTACACAAGGAAGAAGAAATATGATTGCACATCAACTGGTTATGAACATATCCAACAAAATTCGCAAAAGATTTTCCAATGTTGAGTGTTGCTTGGATTATTTTCTCCACCAATTGATATTGATATTGATATTCAACTTGAAAATAATTATACCTAACGAGGTAACACGTGGATAAGACACATCAATCTCAGCCTCTAGCTAGCTAGGATCTTATCATTGAGATTTCCAACCATTTTTCAAAATGTTTGTTCATGAGAGACTTGCTTCATTCCAAAAAATTTCACAATTTGTACTTATTTTAGAACTAATTCTTTGTTTAACTTATCTGAAATATTTTACTATTTCCATATAATCATTCAAATGTCACACTATCTGGTGTGTATTTTTTTTTTTTTTGGGTAGAAGACCAAGGATAACAAAATTTTATTTCGAAGAAGTATTATGTTAGAGTTTATGATTGAAGCCTGTCACTCCAAAATTTAGGGAAATACTAATTCATTTGGTTATTGAGGCAAGTACAACTTCCTAATTAAACTGTGTTTTTTTTTTTCCTTTCCATATGCTTGTCTTTTTTGAGAATGATTTTAATTTTTTTTAAAAAAAATAAAAATAGTACCTAATTTTATTTGATTAATGGTTTTGGCAAAAAAAAAAAAAACCTGTTTTCAAAGAAATCTTTTATATTGACAGGCCAGAGCATTTCATTTCCCATGCTCTTTGCAATCTGTTCAGATTGTGATGATCAAATGCCAAAAAATATCATAATGAGTTCTCCGTCTTACAATGACCTCTCCTGTCAACAGTAGTTCTCTTCAGTTGTGAAAATGCATTACAATTTTCAATTTAAACATGCCGTGTAACAGATTGACGATGATTTTAAAATTTGTTTGGACAGTTAAAAGGTGGGGAAATAATTTCAACGAATTTGTTTTGATTTGAAAAGTTTATAGTCTGATCGAAACGACCAAACTCGCAAAAATTAGGAATTTCTACACGGTTTTTGGCCAAATTTAATAATTTAGGAATTCAAAAAAAATTGTGAATTCAAAGTTACCACTTTGTATATTCAAAGTAATCATTGTTTGAACCATTCATGACTTTTTACTTAAAAAAAAAAAAAAAAAAAGGTGATTTAAATGTGTTGAAATCTCTTTTATATATTGCAATTTTGCAAACATCTCTTCGGGGCTAGGAAAATAAATACGAGTTTTAAAAGAATGAGAGACAAACGAAAATGCAAGTATGATAATTTATATGTTGTATTAAATTTTTGATTGCATTGTATCATTTGCCAACACAAATTATTTTTAAACTCACTTAAATTCATTTTTAATACATTTGTTCTAAATTTTAATATGTTAAATTTATGAATTTAAGTGCAATGAATTTTCGTAAGTCATATAAAGCGAGAGAGTGGAAGCGTGAGTAAAAGCATGTTCTCAAGCGTGCGTAACTTGAAAACGGCGCCGGTTGAAAAAAACAAGGGACACCATAACGCACTCCATTTCTCAATTACAGAAAAACCCAGTTCATTCCCAGCAATGTCGATCATCAAAACAAGTAACAAGCATGAGTTGCACGAGTTGAAGAAAAGCGCTAGAGAAAGAATAGGAGGGTGGAACGAATCATGAATGATGATTCAAAAGTTGGTAAAAAAAAAAAAAAAACTTTTTAGAGAGAGAGAGAGAGAGTGGAGAGAGAGTGAGAGGGGGAGACAGCGTATCTAAAAAATCCTCAAATTCGATTCTGTTGCTTTAAATAGTAATGTAAAGAAGATAACCCTCAATTAAAAATTTGTCCACACGAGATTGAGAGTTGAGATCGAGATGAACAAAACCATGTACAGTTCAAAACAGGTTGGTTTCGTTTTCTACACTAATATTTTTTGGGGGTCAATCTCTTATTTTGATTTTATTTTATATAATATATTAAACACAAAGAACAGTGAACGTGCCCTTCTTTGTCTGCACTCTTCAACTAAAACTTCACGCTTACAGAGAGCAGAGGAGAGGACATGATTAAGAATCCTTGCAATTTTTTACTCTATTCAAATTTTCAGACCCCATTGAATATGGAAAATATATACTACTACTAGTAGTTTTAGATAGAGAGAGAGAGAGAGAGAGAGAGTTCTTTGGAATTTGGGCTTTGTCCATCTTTTGAGGGCTGTTACAAGCCATGCTTGTTCCATGAGAGAGTTGGGAAACTCTTCCTTCTTTTTGGGTTTCTCTCGTCTCCCCAGCTCAGCTCCCTTTATGTGAAATGTAGAGAGAGAAGAAAGATATTACAGTATTTTTGTTCATTTTCTTCTTGGTTCGAGGTTTTGGGTCTTTTAATTCGATTCACGCAAAACAATGCTATAATGATGATGAGTACAGAGAGTATCTTTTTCTTTGTATAGCAATAAAAAGTGTTTCTGAAAAACTCAGTCCTTTGAAGAAAGTTATGGCTCATATATATACTTTGTTGGGTTCTTGAATTTTAGCTCTGATATGAAAGGGGAAGAAGAAGAAAGAGAAGCAGAGGAAGCTTTGTGTTGATGGGTCTGAAGATGGAAAGCCACCACTCTGTGGCTGTAAGGTTGAATGAGCATATGGGCACAAAAAGGAAGTACACATTTATCAGTCGAGCATGGCTCCCAAAAATTCTGGTGCTTTGGATCATGTTTGTGGCCTTTGTTAGTAGATTAATCTATGATAGAATGGATGCTGATAACAAAGAGAGAAGGAAGGAAGTGCTTGTGAGTATGTGTGATCAAAGGGCCAGGATGTTACAGGATCAATTCAGTGTCAGTGTTAACCATGTCCATGCCCTTGCTATCCTTGTATCCACCTTTTACTATTACAAGAACCCATCAGCAATTGACCAGGTTTGTGCTTGTTCTGTCATATTGGGTTTTGATTTTTGGCATTGAAATGTTGTCTTCCGTGCGAAATGAAAACATAGGATTCATGTAGCGGACCCAAGTAGTTGGAAAAAAGGTTTCGTATTGTTGTTGTAAATGTTGTGTTCTGTGATGATTGTCTGGATTTGTATGATTTGGGTGTGGTTTATTGCACAATGCAGGAAACTTTTGCGGGTTACACTGCCCGAACCGCCTTCGAGCGGCCATTGTTGAGTGGGGTGGCATATGCACAAAGAGTGGTTAATTCTGAGAGGGTTGAATTTGAGAGGCAACATGGATGGACAATAAGGACAATGGAGAGGGAACCTTCACCTATTCGCGACGAGTATGCGCCGGTGATATTCTCTCAGGAGACTGTTTCCTACATTGAGTCCCTTGATATGATGTCAGGAGAGGTATAATGTGAAGTTGATGATCTTTGTTTGCTTTGTTTTATATAATCTCAAATCAATTTGGAATTTCATTGAGACCTGCTTATGTATGTCTGTTTGGTGCAGGAGGACCGCGAAAACATTTTGAGGGCCAGGGCTACTGGAAAAGCAGTTCTCACAAACCCCTTCAGGCTGTTGGGTTCTCATCATCTTGGGGTTGTTTTGACATTCCCTGTTTACAAATTCCAGCTCCCTCTGAACCCAACGGTGGAAGAACGCATTGAAGCAACTGCAGGGTAAAGCCCTAGCATTTACTTCTCTCATTGGAAATTTATATATGCCAATTTTATAGTTGGGGCGTTTTGCAATGTATCAAAATTTGTGTTATTTGCTTTCTACAAATTAGGTTTTATGAACACATTCAATTTAGAGTGGACTCTTACTGGTCAACTAGAAGACAAACCAAAAAATAATGAAGGAATCCTAAGCAAAATAAAAACTTTGAATTTTGCCACTGGTGCAACTTGTATTTAATAACTTCTGAACCATGAAGTTGATTCTTACCTTTTCCTGCTGACAAACTTGTCATCGTGGAGGTTTTAATTGAAGCAGATGGTTGCAAATATATATATATATATATATATATAGAGAGAGAGAGAGAGAGAGAGAGAGAGAAAGTTCAAGCAAATGTGCACACTCCCACAATATCACTCAACCTTCAATTTTCCCTTTGGGGAGGAAAAGCTAATGCCCATTGGTGCATATATTTCATTTTGATTCTTAGTTTTAGTTACATTTTATTTTCCCTATATCTTAGTGCTTATGTCACCTGTGGCTAGAATATCAAATTTTCCAAGGGCATGTATGGTATTTGCATTTTAGGAAATCTCATTCTCATAGTCAATTTGCAATATTGGAATAGTGTTAATTTTAATATTAAGCCTATCTAATGCCTCCAAAAGAGCAGGCTAATGGTCTTATACTGATTAACCTTCAAAATTAACCCCTCCTTGAGGCTTCACCTTATAAGACATCTTCCCTTGTGTATTTAATTTTTTAAAGGTTGTGTTGTACATGTGGGTGGCCACTTTATATTATATTAGTAACTTGTGATGCTAGCAGTTCTCAAACAATAAAAGATCTGCACAGTTTTTTATTTGAAGTCGGAAAATTATTGGTGTCATTTTGCTTTCAAGATACTTTTCCAGATGTCCAGCAAGAGAGGTTTTCTGGTGAGATGCTTCCTTTAGGGTATATGTTATCAACCACCTTTCTAAGGTCTTATTAGTTTTTGGTTCACTACTGGGTCATATAAGCAAAAGAAGCTACATGTACATTGTTTGTGAAAAGTATGGAATAAAAGAGGTTACATTTCTTGATTTTTGTTGCCAAAATACCAGAAGTTACTCCGGTGTGTCACAATTTGGATTTGAATTGGTGCATCTGCAGATGGTGTTATATGAGCGAGAAGGATGAGAAATCAGTTTATCATTTCTTCTTCATTTTTTTTTTTGGTTTGGCCAAATGTGAATCTTCTTTAACCTCGTGTTCTTGTTGGTTGGGGGTGAAACTGTTTTTGCTAAAGCTGGTCATATGCTAGTAAAGGTTATTAAGTGTTTGAAGGGCTCTTCCTCATTGCATTATTTGGATGCTATACAGTAATCATAATGGAAGAAATTTTAAAGATAATTGCTACATTATTTCATTATTTGGATGCCACGGGAGATTATAATGGACGAATATTTAGAAATGAAGTTCTTTGTGTTTGAACTTTATGGTCCTTTTTCTCTTTGCTTCCAGTGAAACGTATTTATAAAAATAAAAAGTATTGGTTACTCCCTCTTGCAAGTGATATCATGAAAAATTGTCTATTCAGCGAGTTGCCCCAGAAGGAACCAAGAATTATTTGTTTTCTTTCCTTGGTTGGTTTGTTGTAAATTTTTAATGGCAGTCTGCCAGTAACCTTCGCAGTTGTAAAACTTGAGCCCCACATTTGGACAGTTGACAATTCTTATTGGCAAATTATTTCAACAAGTTCATTGGCTTGGCGAATTGTTCTCAACTGAATTTTCCATATAAATTCTGGGTAAGGTCCTTGTTAGTATGTAATAACTCTTCAAGGATCAATCGGGGATAGTCTTCTTCTTCTATGGTCCATTTTTTCTCTTCGAAAGCTTTGAGTTCTGCACTATTTGCAGTATTATGGTGTGAAAGTACTGTAAGTGAGTAGGAAATGACAACTAAGATTTTGCTTTTATTTTTTATTTCTTTTTAATTGCTTTCCTCTTGCATATGTTAATGATAAATTCTGCGCGTGACTAAATTGGTATTCTTATTGAAAGCAGGTACCTTGGTGGAGCCTTTGATGTTGAGTCCCTTGTTGAGAATTTACTAGGGCAACTTGCTGGAAACCAGGCCATTGTTGTTAATGTATATGATATTACTAACTCTTCTGATCCCTTAATCTTGTATGGACACCAATATCATGATGGTGACATGTCCCTTAAGCGTGTGAGCATGCTTGACTTTGGAGATCCATTTCGGAAGCACCAAATGATATGTAGGCAAGTGCATCAGACCATTTATTCTTATTTCAAGATCCAAGACTTAAAAGTTTGGTGAGGGCATCCTGCCATTGATCCTTAATTTACAAGTGTAGTGTTTTAATGGTTTTGTCTCGTGAAACAGATATCTTCAGAACGCACCTACTTCTTGGACAGCACTCACCACTGCATTCTTATTCTTTGTAATTGGCCTACTAGTTGGTTACATGATATATGGTGCAGCGATTCACATTGTGAAAGTTGAGGATGATTTCCATGAAATGCAGGAACTTAAAGTCCGAGCAGAAGCTGCTGACATTGCCAAATCCCAGGTTCCTTACCAATCCCATTTTTCTTCTTCTTTTTCACTCTCGGGCACAACTTTTTGACACGACTTTTATTTGTATTCCTGATGCCAGTTTCTAGCAACTGTTTCTCATGAAATTAGGACTCCCATGAATGGCATACTTGGTTTGTTCAAAATCCCTTCATTTTGTTGCTATTAATAATTTTAGTTAGTGAGTAGGATTAGAAATTAAATCCTTGTATGTGGTTGCAGGAATGCTTGCCCTGCTCCTAGATACAGATTTAAGTTCAACTCAGAGAGACTATGCTCAAACTGCTCAAGCCTGTGGAAAGGCGCTGATAACATTAATAAATGAAGTGCTTGACCGGGCTAAAATTGAAGCTGGCAAGTTAGAGCTGGAGGCTGTCCCATTTGACCTTCGCTCAATATTAGATGATGTTCTATCTTTATTTTCTGAGAAGTCTAGGCACAAGGGTGTTGAGGTAAGGTTCATTGAATAGCAACGAGATTATATTTTTATATAAAACATTGTTGCAATAATTATTATTACTATCATTAGCTGTGGTTTATGATCTGGTATATATCCTCCACTGTGTATGAACTGACTTTGTCTTACCTTCTTATATTTCTGTTTGTCCACTCCTTTTGTGGGTTTTGGATCAATGATGGTGGCCTTCATGATGCATTTTATGTTGAATTTTCTCGCTGCAATGCTGTGTGATCAATCGAGAAAGTGAAGTTGGCTGTGTTTGTTTCTGATAAAGTTCCTGACATTGTTATGGGGGATCCAGGACGTTTCCGACAGGTCATCACAAATCTTGTGGGCAACTCTGTCAAAGTAAGTGACATATTCAAATGTCCCAGTATTATTTAATATTTTATCTATTTTTATTTTTATTTTTATTTTTTTCTCTAGTTGGTGCTCACACACACATGCTTCCATTGAGGCTTGAACCCCTGACCTCCTTTGGGAAGTAAAGGCCTGATACCACTAGGCCACTAGGCCGTTGGTAATATTTTATCTATTTGTTACATAGTAAATCTGTTGGTTGGTGGAACCCTACGATCCTTAGTTCAAGTCTTGTCCATTCCCCCTTTTTTTTTTTTTTCTTGGAAGTAAGCGCCTGATACCGCTAGGCCACTGGCCCGTTGGTAATATTTTATCTATTTGTTATATAGTAAATCTGTTGGTTGGTGGAACCCTGCAATCTCTAGTTCAAGTCTGTCCATTCCCCTCTTTTCTCACCCCTGCCCCCCTCTACCAAAAAAAAAATGTAATAACAAATTGTAAACGCAATTTTCTTAAGTTAATAAAGTAGGTTTCTTAAGTTGAAATTTTCTCAAACCTTATCCACCCTTTAAATCATGTTTGAACTTGCAAACCTACTTAAATCCTGATGTAGTCTGCGCTAATAACATTTAGCTTTTGACAGTTTACCGAGCAAGGGCATATATTTCTTCAAGTCCATCTAGCTGAACATGCAAAGCCTGTAATGGATGCTAAAGCTGAAACCTGTTTGAATGGAGCATCTGAAGGTATGGTATTTGGTGGCTGTCAGATTAAATCCTTAAGTGGTTGTCAAGCTGCTGATGATCGGAACAGTTGGGATACCTTCAAGCATTTGATTGTCGATGAAGAATTCAGATTTGATGCTTCAAACAAAATGACAACCACTGATGAAACTTCTCAGAGTGTCACTTTGATGGTATGCGTGGAAGATACAGGGATTGGGATCCCTTTACATGCCCAGGAGCGGGTTTTCACGCCATTCATGCAGGCAGACAGTTCAACCTCCAGAAATTATGGAGGAACTGGTATAGGTTTGAGTATTAGTAAGTGTCTGGTTGAGCTGATGGGTGGACAGATAAGCTTCATAAGCCGTCCTGAAATCGGAAGCACATTTACTTTCACAGCCGTCTTTGGTAGGTCTGAGAAAAATGCATTCTGTGATCTGAAAAAGCCTCTGTCCGATGATCCACCTACTGGTTTTAAAGGATTAAAAGCAATCATAGTTGATGGGAAACCAGTTAGAGCTGCGGTAACCAGATACCATCTAAAGAGACTTGGTATCCTGGTCAAAGTTGTAGATAGCATCAAGATGGCAGTTTCAATAACTGGGAATAATGGTTCTCTGAAATCTAAGTAAGTACTCTTTTTTTCCCCTCTTTTTGATAGGTAAGCAGGTGATATTTTTCAGTCAATTCAAACATGGGACAACCCTACAAAAAACTTGGGGCATACCCCAAGAAACATACAATATGTGGAACCCCCAGGTAGAAAGAATCCAAAAAGGAGCCCAAAAACAATACAAACCCCAAAACAAGCAAACCTCTCATCCCACATATCAACCACAACCCAAACAAGACAACTGCTAGGGATTGGGTTTGTAATTCATTGAGATAGCTTTCAAGGATGCAGCAATCATCAGCACCAGAATACTGATCCTTCGCAGCAGAAATATGAAGCATATATACACCAAATACTTATCTTTTTCTGGTAGATAAGAAACTCTATAGATAGGGAAAAACAATTACATAGATTAAGGAGATCTTATCCTCTTGAAGACAAATAACCAGATGGATGACCAACGGGCAAGTGGCCTAGCGATATCAGGTCTTTACTTCTCAAATTAAGGTCAAGGGTTCAAGCCTCCATGGAGGCATGTGTGTGTGAGTATCAATTATGAAAATAAATAAATAAATAAATAAAATAACCAGATGGATGGCTAGCCTTCTGAGACAAGCATCACACAAGGAAGCCATCCACACAGTGAAAAACAAATAGACCAAACAAATGGATACATAACGAACAGCTCAAGCTCCTCATTGGAAGATGCTTTCCGGAAGTTGGCATTGTCTTCAAAACCACATTTTAGATTGGTCTTTCTTAACTCCGCTAATGCACATCAATTTGCTTCTGATCACATTAACTGAGACTACGTCCTAATATTCATTTCAGCAATGTATGGTGTCTCTTTCCTTCCAAATAAAGTACACAGTAGCAGCCAAACCAATTTATTTACAATTTGGGAATCTATGTAAAATGAGCAGCAGCTCCATAGGTGATCGCCTGCTAGTTGTTAAGAAGACTATTGACTATTGATTGCTGCACTTGAAGAAGAATGATCATAACCTATTACTGAAGTCACAAGTATAAAATAAACGGTCATGCTTTAGGTAGGAACTTCACAAAAAATTGCTGCTAATAAAAAAGTTAGTGCCATGACCAATAAACTTATCCTGGTTGCTCAAACTTTCCTTAACGGCTAGCCATATGATAAGGAAATCAGATTGTGCCAAGGAACAGCAGGCCAAATGATTCTTAAAGAATTTCAGGTTGAGTGAACACGGAACTTACCTTCACCAGAAACACGCCATCCAAAGTCATCCTCTTGAGAAAAAAACGGGTTGATATGCTAGAATATCTCTTTTAGGATCCATTTGATTATGATAGTGAATGAAATCGGAGTATCAGACCAATGCCAAGTATTATTTATGATAATGGCAGAGCATCTAGCTTCTTTAGTCAAGCCCAAGATTCATCACAACTCGAACACCGATCAGCTTCTTTCTGTCAATTAAAAGAAGCATTTTTGCTATTTTTGTTATAGCAGCTGCTGAGTAGGTACAAAAGTGTGCCAATTGTCATACCAAAGGGAAGTTCTATTCCCTATATGATTATATGCCTAATGAAAAGCTTGAACTCCAGTCTGATCTCAAAATTTTCCTCCAGGCCCAGCTACAATTACTTGAGACATTTGACAAGCCAAAACTGTCAACCTCTAAAAGATAAGAATTTATTCATTTGGTCAGATAGATCCTCCATGAGAAGCAACCAGTTTCTGTATATGTCTGGCAGCGGGTCCTTTATTCCAGGACGTCACAGTTCTAGATTTCAACAGCACCTTCTAGAAAGACCAGAGGGTGACAAATAGAAATCCAGGCCACTTGTGCTCCTGTTTTCTTCAATTTAACCATTTTTAATAGGAAACTCTATGAGTTTGCTCAATTATTGCTTATATAAATTCCTCTGAGAATATAACAAAAGAACACACTTGATAACCTGAATTCTTTCCGCAAAAGAACCCTCATATATCTGGCAGGAAGATGGCCAGCCTTGATTGAAAATCTACGCCAATCTTTCCTTATCATTATCTTTAACTCCAGTTACGTGCACATACCTTTTGAAGGATTGGGAATCAACCCTGAAAAATATCGTAAGATCTTCGGAGCCTCTCCCAGCACCTTAACAGAGCCGTCACTCCCCTCTCCTGAATAGCATCAAGTCATCCACAAAGCATTTATCGGCAATCGTTTCTTTCTCACTCCTCCAGTGATATGTCCTAAGAATCATCTTTTAAAATGTAGTAGTTAATCATCAATGGCAATGACAAAGATGTAGGGAGACCCTCGTAAGTTCCTTAGAACTTTGCAAAAGTGTTGAGTTCACCATTGATGCTGATAGTTAACATTGAAATATTCAGCGAGAAGGCAGGGATCATTGTAACAGAGCCAGCATGGTTATTCAGGTTCTTCCAGAGCATAATTCTTTCATATAATTCGTTAGCCCCATAAACAAAAGAAACAAAACAGCTAAAGAATGAGAAAGGACAATCTTGGTCAGTTTCACTATAATAGCTAACTTTAGAGATTTGAATGTTTCAAGTTCCAACAGACCAAACTTATCCGAACGTATCCAAAATCCTTAAGACCCTTACTATGCGTTGAAATGCTGAATGTTGTGTACAGCAAAAATCTACAAATGAGGCAAACTTTTATTCCATCAGATGTCAAAAGAAGTTTCCTCAAAAGGATATCTTCCCAAAACTAATAAAAGTAGATATTTCGGACTATTTAATTTTTATAATGCTCAAAAATAATATCACTCTAACTTCTTGAATTAAATTACTTCTATCATGGCAGAATTGAAGTGCAGCCAGATATGATTCTAATTGAAAAGGATTTGTGGATATCTGATGAGGATGGTGGCTTGAATATACGGCTATTGGACTGGAAACAGAATGGCCACACTTTTAAATTGCCAAAGATGATTCTTCTTGCTACAAATATTAGTAATGCAGAGTTTGAAAAGGCGAAAGCGGCAGGTTTTGCTGATACTGTGATAATGAAACCTTTGAGAGCAAGTATGGTGGCAGCATGCCTTCAACAGGTGTTGGGAATGGGGAAGAAGAAGCAACAAGGGAAAGACATGCTTAACGGATCCACTCTTCTTCGTAGTGTGCTTTGCGGCAAGAAAATATTGGTGGTTGATGATAACAGGGTAAACTGCAGAGTTGCTGCTGGTGCACTTAAGAAGTTTGGGGCTGATGTTGTGTGCGCTGAAAGTGGTAAAGCAGCTCTTGCCCTACTTCAAATACCACACAGCTTTGATGCTTGTTTCATGGACATTCAGATGCCAGAGATGGATGGGTACGCATTATGGATTCCCTTTTACTGGTTCTTGATATGTAATTCATATTCTTCTTCTTTGGAAACATCATTTTATTTATACTCAAAAACTGAATCAAATTATCTGGCTTCATTTAAATTGATTGCCTTAATTTCCTTTTTCTGCACCATGTCTTTTTTCCTTCTTCTGTTATCCAATTTAATGCTGCATATCATCCATTGGTATAAATCCTTGCCCAGATACTCCTCACAACTAAAGAATCTCAGAAGCATATATAATGTGACATTGGCTGACCTATGAAAATCATGAAATGTTGATATCTGCTTTATTCGATATGCATCTTGATACGTCATAAAAATGCTGGAATGGTCTCTTTCTTTCTTGCACTTGAAAGTTATTACGATATTCAGTGATGTTAACTACATAAATTAAATTTTTTTTTTTATGAAATTTGCATGTCCCATCAAATTGATGTATTATTATAGACAAGACATTTGAAATGAACTCAATACCATTTTCCTTTTCTTTTTGGTAGCATTGAATGAAAGAATCTGTTACACTTGACACATGCATTTCAGGGTTTCATTCACAACTTTCTGATGATTTTTACCGTAGCTTGTGGTAGGCCTCCATTTTCGGTGATGGCGCTTTTCTTTAGGGCAGTTCATGATGTGTAAAAAATGGACTATTTTAGCTTAAGTGGGACATTGAAAAAGGCCTACAATTTGTTTGGTAGAATGGTCAAATGTTCTAATTGTTGTTAACACTGCTTTAAAAGAAATATAAACCTAAAGCAACTTTTGATAAATTCTCTAGCTAGATGTTACTGTAATTACACTCTATGATGATAGCATGATTGATGATTGAGATCAACTAATCCTAATTATTATTATTGTTATTGTTACTGTAATTATTATTATGTAATACTTTTTATGAGGAGGAAAATTTAATATCTTACCATTTTTTCATTTCAGCTTTGATGCAACCCGACGGATTCGGATGATGGAGAGCGAGGCAAATGAAGAGAGGAATGGAGTATCCTCCATTGAAGGAACTGCGAAAAAGCCGGTGTGGCACTTGCCAATATTAGCCATGACGGCTGATGTGATTCATGCGACATATGACGAGTGCCTGAAATGTGGAATGGATGGTTATGTCTCAAAGCCCTTTGAAGAAGAGAATCTCTATCAGGCAGTTGCTAAGTTCTTTGAATCCGAACCCATATCAGACTCACAACAAGATGGCCAATTCCATATTAGCTGGGCACCTCTAAATTGAAAAATCTCAGTGGCTGGCTTGAACAGTAGCAGCAATTTTCCCCATATTCGGCTGAATTCTTTAAATTGAATGCTCCAAATAAGGAGGTAATTGTTTACTTGGATTTGAGAATTTGTTGATCAGCATGAGTACTGGCTTGGCAGTTATTTCTAACCAACCTCGGTTTAGGTAGATTAGCCTACATGTATACTATAACAGAACCATCCATCCCGGCTCGTATGTACAGATCTTTAGTTGGGGGGCGGGAGACAAAGGTGTATAATCTGATATTCTTGTATGCTTCCCTGGACCCTTCCTCAGGAGAAGCTACCCCAATTCCTTAATTTGTATAATTGTCTCTTGTACAAGAAGACCTTCTGTTCCAACTAGGTGTAGTAGAAACTTTGATGTAGCTCCTGGTTTGTTTTGCATTTGTGTTTCAGTTTGTGCTTAGAAAGACCTTGCAGAGTTGTAGCTATGTGATTTGTGTTTCTGGGAACAACCTTTCTACACGTTATGGGCAGGCTTGTGGATTAAAGACTCCAACTAGTTCAGTTCAATTTTGATTGGGAAAAAAATTTACATTTCAAATTATATATACTTTATGTTCAGTTGCTGTATGGGATAATATATCAATTTGTGATGCATCATGTATGGAATTTAATGCAGAAAGGTGTTTAAATTATACAAAGAGAAGAAGACTTTTCTGGTGTAGTTTTCAGATCAGAAGATTCACAACCCAATTGTCTGTGATATGTGTTCCAGAGCTTATGGATAAGTGGAAAAATTAAGAGCTAAATTAGTTTGGAATGTTACAGTAATAGTTTTACTTAGTCCAAATCAATAATAATTTATGTGCCGCATTTTGTTCTTAGTCGGTGTCGTTCTCGTCCATCTACTAACGTACAGACTTTCTTAGCTTTGTTTCTGGGAAGACATCCAAGTCATAAGCTATGAAAGACTTTTTGGGTTCTTCGGATATTGATGTGAAAAGCCAGAGTCCATAGTCAACACCAAAACCCACGCCATTTTCATCCCTTCTCTCTCTCCTTCTCCCCTTCATCTCCGACGCTCCGTCTGCCCCAAAAGAGATATCTTCTCCCGGTTTTCATCACTCAGACTCCCTAAAAACCCAATGCCGGCGAACCCTCGAAAGAGAAAGCACTCTCCGTTATGAACACCTCAGCCATGACGACTTTCTTCCTCTTTGTTTCAGATATTCTCGAGAAAATGAAGAAACTTCCCTTGGGTTCTGGGATTTCTACCCTTTTCTTTCTTTGCTTCTTCTCAACTTTCGTCACCGTTCGCTCTCAGAACAGTTCAACCGATGCTTCAGTAATGGAGGCTCTCAAGGACAGCCTCAATCCGCCGAGTTCACTCGAATGGGTCGACTCGGACCCCTGTAATTGGAGCGGCATTCAGTGCTCCAGCGACTATCGGGTCGTCCGGATCCAAATTGGACATCAGGGGCTCAGTGGGTCCCTCCCTCCGAACCTCAACAAACTCACCGCCTTGCAGGGGTTCGATGTTGAAGCTAACGAACTAACCGGGTCACTCCCAAGTTTTTCCGGGTTGAGTTCACTCCAAAGTCTCTCAATTGCCAACAACAATTTCTCATCAATTCCCTCGGATTTCTTCGCCGGAATGTCGTCTCTGCAAGAGGTGAACCTCAACTACAACCCATTATCGGCATGGTTCATACCGGACAGTCTCCGAAGTGCTTCATCCCTACAAAATTTCTCGGCGAATTCCGCTAACGTTTCCGGGGAAATTCCAGATTTCTTTGGGGGTGACAATTTCCCAGGTTTGCTGAGTTTACAACTTTCTTTTAACAACCTCGAGGGCGGATTGCCCGTGAGCTTTTCGGACTCGTCGATTCAGTCCTTGTGGTTGAGTAGTTCTAATCTCAATGGCACCATTGATGTGTTACAGAACATGACTCAATTAAACGAGGTCCAGTTAAGTTCGAATTCGTTTTCTGGTCCCTTACCGGACTTTTCTGGGTTAAAAGGATTGCAGACCTTGGGATTGAGGGACAATATGTTGACGGGTCCGGTACCGGAGTCTTTATTGGATCTTCCATCACTTCAGACTGTGAATTTGACGAATAATTTGTTACAGGGGCCAACACCAAAATTTAAGTCTTGGGTTGGCGTTGATATGATTAATGGGACTAATAGTTTTTGCTTATCCGATGCTGGTGTTCCTTGCGATCAACGGGTGAGTACATTGCTTTCCATTGCTCAATCAGTTGGTTACCCAGTGTTGTTTGCAGAGAAGTGGCAAGGAAATGATCCTTGCACACATTGGGGGGGATCACTTGTGCTAATGGGAACATCACAAATATTGATTTTCGGAAATTGGCTCTTTCGGGTACCATTTCTCCAGACTTTTCTTCCATTATATCGTTGGAGAGACTGTTTCTTTCTAACAATAATCTTACTGGTACTATTCCGTATGAGCTTACCTTGTTGCCTAACCTTAAGTTATTAGATGTTTCAAACAATAGTCTTTATGGTAAAATTCCATTCTTTATGAGTAATGTGATTGTAAAAACTGATGGCAACCCCGATATCGGAAAGGATACTAGAAGTAGGCCAGTGAGGAGAATATATCGGGAAGGTGGCAAGAAATCTTTAATTGGAGTGGTCTTGGGTTCTGTAATTGGTGGCGCTTCTTTGATTTTCTTAGTCGGGATGGGAGTTTTCTGTGTTTATAGAACTAAACAAAAGCGTTTTGGTGGAGTAGAGGCTCCAAATATGACGGTGTTTTCCATCCAAGTTTTAAAAAATGCGACTAACAATTTTAGTGAGGAGAATATATTGGGTAGAGGTGGATTTGGGGCTGTTTACAAAGGTCAGTTGGATGACGGGACGAAGATTGCTGTCAAGAGGATGGAGTCCGGAGTGGTGGTGAGTAAGAAGGGTTTGGTTGAGTTCAAGTCTGAGATTGCTGTTCTTACTGAGGTTCGACATAGACATTTGGTTGCGCTTCTTGGATATTGCTTGGATGGAAATGAGAGGCTACTTGTTTATGAATACATGCCTCAAGGAGCTCTCAGTAGGCATTTGTTCAAGTGGAAGGAGGAAGGGTTGACACCCCTTGAATGGACAAAAAGGCTGGCCATTGCCTTGGATGTGGCAAGAGGTGTTGAATATCTGCATGGTTTAGCCCATCAAAGTTTTATTCATAGGGATCTTAAACCATCCAACATTCTCCTCAGCGATAATATGCGGGCTAAAGTTGCCGATTTCGGACTTGTCTGTCTTGTTCCAGAAGGATAAGTTTCAGTTGTAACAAAACTTGCCGGAACTTTTGGCTATATGCCACCCGAATATGCTGGTAATTCTTTTCTTTTCTACTCTCTTGTTGCTTTTAGATTATGAGTATAACCTGTTGTGCTATGCCTTTCTATGCTTTCAAGAGTTTTAAAATTCCTCAAAATAACCAAAACACAAGTAGAATCATAAACAACAGTGGAACACCAAACGCCCCCATTATTGAGACCAGATAAGAATAACTCATCACCATCATCTTTGTCATAATCCCATATGAATGGATTCGGCACATGAATTCCTTTTTTCAGTGCTTATATATTATAACGTAATTTGATATTATTATTTTTTTCTTTTATTCTATGCAAGAATGGATTGATTTTACACAATAGACTTGAATGGTCTCTTACTGTAATCTAGTATTTTCTGAGTTAATTTCTGAAACCAACTTTTACAGAATCAAGAGGGGATGAGATAATGACTTTGAAAAAGGAGATGATAAAGATGAAACGTTACTGATGGATTCATGTCACTGTTGGACCTAAAAGCATGCTCTGGTTTAAGATTGTTTCTTACAACACTATTTGAGTCGTATTTTTTGCTAGTTGTTAAGATTGAATAAAGTTTATTACCTTTGAATTATCTAGTTTTTATTGGCTGAGGAGACTGTAGGTCAGCATGCACCCTTAAACAAAAAAAGGTCTCGGCTAATGAGGCCTTCCCTTTTTAGCTGCATTGCAGTTGACTATTCTTTAGACCATGAGACCAAGTTCAGTTAATCCATAGTTTTGCTCTGCATTGAATGTATTTTATTTGACAGGAACGGGACGAGTGACTACCAAGGTTGATGTGTTCAGCTTCGGGGTGATTCTACTGGAGTTGATTACAGGAAGAAAAGCGGTAGATGCAACACAGGAGGAGGATAGCATCCATCTTGTCACATGGTTCCGCAGAATGTACGCAAACAAGGACGCATTCCCCAAGGCCATTGACCCTGCAATTGAGCTCGACAAGGAAACCGGTGACAGTATCAGAACTGTTACTGAGCTAGCTAGCCACTGCTGTGCAAGTAATCCTTACCAGAGGCCCAATATGAATCATGTGGTCAATGTTCTTTCGTCTCTAGTGGAGATATGGGAACCAGCAGATTCTTCATCATATCTTGGCAGCAGCACTAATAATACCCAAACAAGCATACCTACCGGACCAACTCGCCTGAGATTAGTAACCGTGTAAGGCTGGGGAGTCGCGTTCTTACTAATTGCTCTCCAGAGGTTTGGTTTGAACAGCAATGTACGTACTTCCCAATTTCTCTAACAAGTTTCCAGGTATGCGTAGCTGTTGGACCTAGCTTCTGTTACAGCCGCATTTGATAGTTCAACCTTACAATGAAAACTATCTTGATTTGAGATTTATCAGCCAGTTTGAACAATCTTATAATGGTTGAAAAGTTCTCTTCTTCACAGAACTTCAAAACTTTATACAGATCTAGTCTTGAAAAAAATTTAATGATTCAATTTGATCATCTGATGGATTATATTATTTGATTCAGTTGTCAATTCATTTCAAATTTTATACCCTTTATGTTCGGTTTCTGTATGGGATAATGTGTCAGTTTCTTATATCAATTTGTGATGCATCATGCATGGAATTTAATGCAGAAAGATGATTAAACTATACAAAGAGGAGGAGATTTTTCTGGTGTAGTTTGAAGGGTCTGTTATCTGTTTTTTTTTTTTTTTTTTTTTTTTTTAAATGGAATGTTGGCCCTTATTATTGCGGATGGGATACAAATTTATTGATTCACTTGAGCTTAGCTTGTTATTTGAAGAAAATTTAAAGGTGGGGAATTACTTACACTTTTGGGATTATTTCCTTAGAGCTAAAAACGCTTTTATGTTTGAAAAATTGCGTTTAGATGGGTTTAGATGGGTTTGGTAATTATTAAAAACTTTTGAAATCTGTTTGAGATTACTTCTCTACCATTTAAAAGGGTTTTTATTTTAAAAAATTGTTTTTAGATATGTTTGGTAACTATTAAAAGCGCTTTTAGTGGTTACTAAATTTAGCTTAATAGAGTGTTTGAATTAAACTATAATTTGTAGCTTTAATGACATAATTATAATACGTTTTTTTCATAATTAAATTATTTTGTTACAATATTTTCTTAAACATTTTTATTGTTAATTTTACAATAATATCCTTTAATAGGATGTTACCGTATTTAATTATAGCAACTTTATTAAGGAATGGGTATAATTATCTATATAAAAAATAAAAAAGACATAATTGACTAATGAAACAGAGTTACTTAAAATATTCAACATCTACTTAGAGCCTGTTTGGGGTTGCTGTTGGAATAATAATAATAATAATAAAACGCTAAAGCCCGTTTTGGAAATAACATTCTGAGTAGAAGTTGAATATTTTAAGTATCTCTGTTTGCAATTTTGTACTTTCAATTTTTTATAAAGACAATTACACTTCTTTATTAATAAAATTGTTATTATCAAATATGATAACGTCTTATTAAGGGATATTATTGTAAAATTAGTAATAAAAATGTTTAAGAAAATATTATTACAAAATAGATTTAAAAATAATTTAATTATAATAAATATTTATTATAATATGTCACTAAATATCTAATATGTTTTTTTTACTGATCTCAATTTTTTTTACATCTCAATTAATAAAAGCGTTCTTTTTATTTCAACAGCAATTCCAAACGTGATCTTGTTCCTATTTTTGGGCCAAGTCTTTCGTGAACAGGATTTACAGATTTCTAATGTGGCAGAGAACTTGGTGAAGTTTGACTATGATTACAGTTTTTATTTTATTATTTTATTTTAATTTAGCATAATAGTAAAAATTCGAACAGACGAGAATGAGTACATATGTTCGAATTTAATAGCCCCCGTTTTGTACAAATGACACCAATGGTTGAGGTTTCGTGTATTGTTTTTCACTCTGTAGAACTCTATTTAGTTTGTGTCTATAAAAAATGGTATTAAAAATATTATATGAATAAATGATTTGCTAAATTGGCAGATAATAAAATTCGAAATGAGTCCTATGACTAAGCTAGATAGATAAATTAAATATATTTTGCTAAAATGATAGATGGTTGGAATTTGAAGTGAGCCGCCCTAGTCCCATCTGTATGGGTTTAAGATGAGATACAACTATGTGGCCAGCTCAAACAGTTTGAAGGGTCAGAACAAATATTGAATGCCGGTGGACTCCGTTTTATATTAGTTGTTCATTTTAAAAACTTGACTTATTATTACTTTTTATTTTTAAGTCATTTGATGTCATATTTTTTTTATATACTTATATATTATCTAAATCTCATATTAAATATCTATTTTAATAATTTTAAGTTAAATTTTTTTAAAATAAATAATTAATACAAGATGAAAATAATACATAAATAATACGCGCCGTCGTGTGCACAGCATATACACGGTTTTTCTAGCACACTCAATACCTCTCCAATTAATGTCACCACTGTCAATGAACTGTAATTGAATAGAATTAAAAGTCATGATCGCTAGTAAATAACAGATATCACTACTTAGTATATTTTAAAATAGTAAGTTGACTTTTATAATTTATTACTTTCTTTTTAATTAGTAAAAAGCAGCTGCTTGATGACACGTTATAATAAAAAAGAATGATATAATTAACTAATAAAAAAAATTACTTAAATATTCTATATCTACTCTTTAAAAAGCTTCACTACTAGTCATAACATAGTTTAAAAAGATACAAATTCTAACTTAGTCTAATACATCTAACCGTAAATTTTTAAAATAAAAATACTTTTAAGTAATAAAGACGTGATTCCGAACGAACTAGAAGAATAACAAGGGAAAAACAAGTAAAAAGTCTCTTCGCATGATTCATTGTCACTAAATAGATTACAAAATAATTAAATCATCAAACGGCCAATGTTGCTAGACCTAATTCAATGAACATCAATCAAATGAACGATTTTAGCATTGGATTGAACCCAAGAAAAAAAAAAAAAATACTCTTGATGGTTTAATAAAAAATGTAAAATAATAATAAATAAAGAAAATTGAGAATTGTAGAATATTTATTTAAAAACTTTATTTTCTTTATTTATTACTATATATCTTATTATATTTTTTGTTTCTATATTATTTATGGTGATGCAATTCCTTCTCTTTTACTATATATATTATAATATTTTTACTACCCAAAATAGATTGACTAATTAATTATATTAGCTTTCATATCTTTTAATTTATTTCACACGCTCCTTTTGTACTGTACTCTTTTTGTTCTATCCTTTTAAGGGTTTTAGGAATAATGGGACCCACACGCATCTTCGAAATCCTTCCCTCTTCTATATGCATGCCAAAACCCTCGAAAATAGAATTCTTCTCTGATTTTGATCAATCAGACTCCATTACAACCCAATGCCATCAAACCCTAGAAAAAGAAAGCACTCTCCTTCATTGACACCTCCGCCATGACGATTTTCTTCTTTTTTGTTTCAGATTTTCTCGAGAAAATGAAGAAACTTCATCTGGGTTCTGGGATTTTTACCCTTTTCTTTCTTTGCTTATTCTCAATTTGCGTCACCGTTCACTCTCAGTCCAGTTCAACCGATGCATCAGTAATGCACGATCTCAAGGACAACCTCAATCCGCCGAGTTCACTCGGCTGGCTTGACTCGGACCCCTGTAATTGGAAATACATTCAGTGCTCCAAAGACAAACGGGTCACTCGGATCCAAATTAAAGGTCAGGGGCTCAAAGGGTCCCTCCCTCCGAATCTCAACAAACTCACCGCTTTGCAGGTTTTCGAGGTTCCAGGTAACGAGCTCACCGGGTCACTCCCAAGTTTTTCCGGGTTGAGTTCACTCCAAAATCTCTTCCTCGATGACAACAGTTTCTCATCAATTCCCTCTGATTTCTTCGCTGGAATGTCGTCGCTGCAAGCGCTGAACCTTGACAACAACCCCTTATCGGCATGGTCGATACCGGACAGTCTCCAAAACGCTTCAGCCCTTCAAACTTTATCGGCGAATTCCGCTAACGTTTCCGGGAAAATCCCAGATTTCTTTGGCGGTGACACTTTCCCAGGCTTGCAGAGTTTACATCTATCTTTTAACAACCTGGAGGGCGAATTGCCGGCGAGCTTTTCGGGCTCGCCCATTCAGTCCTTGTGGTTGAACGGGCAGATGAGTAGTTCTAAGCTCAATGGCACGATTGATGTGTTACAGAACATGACTGAATTAAACGTGGTCTGGTTACAGTCAAATTCATTTTCCGGTCCCTTACCGGACTTTTCTGGGTTAAAAGGATTGCAGACCTTGGGATTGAGGGACAATAGGTTGACGGGTCCGATACCAGAGTCTTTATTGGATCTTCCATCACTTCAGACGGTGAATTTGACGAATAATTTGTTACAGGGACCTAAACCAAAATTTAAGTCTTCTGTTGTCGTTGATATGATTGATGGGACTAATAGTTTTTGCTTATCCGATGGTGGTGTTCCTTGTGATCAACGGGTGAATACGTTGCTTTCCATTGCAAAATCTGTCGGTTACCCGAAGTTTTTTGCAGAGAACTGGAAAGGGAATGATCCTTGCACAAATTGGTTGGGGCTCACTTGTGCAAACGGGAACATCACAGTTGTTAATTTTCCGAAAATGGCTCTTTCGGGTACCATTTCTCCAATTTTTTCTTCCATTAAGTCATTGCAAAGATTGATTCTTTCTAACAATAATCTCACGGGTACTATTCCTAATGAGCTTACCTCGTTGCCTAACCTTAAGTTATTAGATGTTTCAAACAATGGGCTTCATGGTAAAATTCCATTATTTATGAGTAATGTGATTGTAAAAACTGATGGAAACCCCGATATCGGAAAGGATATTCCGTCACCCAGAAGTAAAAGTAATAGAACAGATACTTCTGGAAATGGTGGAAATGGTGGCAAGAAATCTTCAACTGGAGTGGTTGTGGGTTCTGTAATTGGTGTTGCTGCTTTGGTTTTCTTAATCTGGATGGGAGTTTTCTGTGTTAAGGGAAGTAAACAAAAGCGTTTTGATATAACAGAGAGTCAAGATGCGATAGTGTTTCATCCTCACCATTCAGGTTATGACCAAGATGCTGTTAAGCTCACCATTGCTGATTCGAGTGCTACTGACGGGTCCAGAAATATGGTAATTCCCATCCAAGATTTGAAAAAAGCAACTAACAATTTTAGTGAGAAGAATATATTGGGTAGAGGAGGATTTGGGACTGTTTACAAAGGTGTGTTGGATGGGACTACGATTGCTGTAAAGAGGATGGAGTCCGGAGTGTTTGTGGGCGACAAGTGTTTGAGTGAGTTCATGTCTGAGGTTAATGTTCTTTCTGAGGTTCGACATAGAAACTTGGTTGGGCTTCTTGGATATTGCTTGGCTGGAGATGAGAGGCTTCTTGTTTATGAATACATGCCTCAAGGGCCTCTCAGTAGGCACTTGTTTAACTGGAAGGAGGAAGGGTTGGCACCCCTTGAATGGACAAAAAGGCTGGCTGTTGCCTTGGATGTGGCTAGAGGTGTTGAATACCTGCATGGTTTAGCCCAACAAAGTTTTATTCATAGGGATCTTAAACCGGCCAACATTCTCCTTGGCAATGATATGCGTGCTAAAGTTGCAGATTTCGGACTTGTGCGTCTTGCTCCAGTAGGGGACGTTTCGATTGTTACAAAACTTGCCGGAACTTTTGGCTATATGGCACCTGAATATACAAGTAATTCGTTTCTTTTCTAATCTCGTGGCTTTTTTATTATGACTGTCACCTATTGTGCCATTCCTTTCATTGCTTTCAAAAGTTTTAAAATTCCTCAAAATAACCAAAACACAAGTAGAGCCATTAACTACATTGGAACACCAAACACCCCCATTATTGAGACTAGATAAATAACACTTTCAAATTAGGGAATGAGCAGCAACTTATTATTATAACTCAACATTATCATCTTTGTCTTAATCCCTTATGGGGTTGGCCACATGAATTCCCTTTTTCAATGCTTATATATTATAACTTAGTTTGATATTATTTTTTTCTTTGATTCTTATATTCTAAGCAAATTGACTATTTATGTTCTCTGAATTCTGAAACTAGAAAGAATGGATTGATTTTACTCTATAGACTTGAATAGTCTCTTCCTGCAATCTAGTATTTTCTGAGTCAATTTCTGAAACCAAATTTTACAGAATCAGGAGGGGATGAGATAATGACTTTGAAAAAGGAGATGATAAGATTTAATGTTAATGATGGATCCATGCCACTGTTTGGGACCTAAAAGCATGCTCTGGTTCAAGATTATTTTTTACAACACTATTTGAGTCATTGTTTTGGTAGTTGTTAAGGTTGAATGATTTTTATTACCTTTGAGTTATCTAGTTTTTATCAGCTGAGGATATTGCAGGTGCACTGTAGCTCAACATGCACCCTTAAACCCAAAAAAAAAAGGTCTTGGCTAATGAGGCCTTCCATTTTGACTATTGTTGAGACAACATTGACTCCGGCTCAAAACACCCCAGTATATGGCGTGTGAGATCTAGTTCAGTTAATCTATAGCTTTGCTCTGCATTGAATTCATTCTAGCCGTGTTCTTGTCCTTATCGTATCATGAAAGGTAGATACTGTTGGATCGGGATACTAATGGGACATTTGTTGCTCCATCACTTTTATCATATTTGTATGATGACTTTATTTGAAGAGATGAATATGGATATATATATATATATATATATATATATATACATACATGTTGGTTTTGAAGTTATGAAGAAAATATGATGGATTATCTTAACGAAAATTTCTCCCGTTGAATGCTATTCTCTCTTAATGTTCTCTTTTTACAGTTCGTACTAGATATCTTGTCAGATTCAAGCATAAAGAAATTTTCTCTTATTTTGGTGTAATGTATAGTAGATGTCCCGTCAAACTTAAGCATACAAGTTGTTATATTTTGTTGTCGATCAATTAATTTTCTTCATTGCTCTAACATTTAAATTTTGTATTTTATTTGACAGAAATGGGACGAGTGACTACCAAGCTTGATGTGTTCAGCTTTGGGGTGATTCTTTTTGAGTTGATTTCAGGAAGAAAAGCAGTTGATGCAAAACAGGAGGAGGATAGTGTCCATGTTGTCACATGGTTCCACAGAATGTACAGAAACAAGGACAAAGAGACGGACGCAATCGAGAAGGCGATCGACCCAGCAATTGAGATTGACAAGGAAATCATTGACAGTATCAAAACCGTTGCTGAGCTTGCTAGCCACTGCTGTGCCGAGGATCCCAGTCAGAGGCCCAACATGAATCATGTGGTCAATGTGCTTTCATCTCTAGCGGAGATCTGGAAACCAGCAGATTATGAGGATAGGTACGGAGTTGACCTCGAGGAGACCATACCAGACTTACAGCAGGTACTCAAGAAGTGGCAGGATCAGGGATTCAGTGGCATGGATAGTTCTTTTTCAACATACCGGGGCACCACTAATAATACCCAAACTAGCAGAGCTACTGGACGAGCTGGCATGCCAGATTCCGTATCATCATCAAATGCACGGTGAGATTAGTAACCATATTAGGCGCTGGGGGATCGCGTTCTTATTAATTGCTCTCAAGAGATTTGGTTTGCTCATTCTTTCTGCTTCTTCCATGCTTTCCTCCTTTTTTGTTCTTGCAAGGATTGTTCATTTTTCCATTCTTTTTCTATATATATATATATATATATATATATATATATATATATATGTATATGTATTTTTTTTTCCTTAGTAGTTTGAACTGTAATGTACTTCCCTGATTCTTTTAGAAGTTTCTGGAAAGCACTCTGCATAGCTGTTGGACCTAGCTTCTGTTAAAGCCCCATTCGATAGTTCAATCTTTACAAAAAGGAGCTTGATTTGAGATTTATAAACCAGTTTGAACATTCTTATAAACCTTGAAATGTTCTCTTCTTCATAGAATTTCAGAACTTTATACTGAGCTTGTCTCGATATTATTCAGTGGTCTGGGATCACCCCCTTCATTGCTTTGCTTATGTGTAGAGTAGGTTGACAAGATGCTGATCAACATTTCAGTGGCTGGGATCATCCCAACCACAAAATGATATTGTTGTTCGGATCACTCAATAATTTCTTCAACTCCGGGATCAGTCTATTGAGTCCTGATCCTATCTACTGTGTGTTTTTTATCTGGCCGTCTACTGCAGTATAACACGGTATAATGCACAATGCAACAAATGAGTATATTTTTTCAGCCTGTTACCATAGGATAGAGTAATAGAATCATCAGACCTAGCACATATGAAATCACATGTATCTTTTGATGCAATATTTGTGTTGTTGACCCACAAAAGGTATGGGGCCCATTTTATGTTGATTTGGAGTTAATGGCCCTCATCTTTTTTCATTCTTAGCTTGTACTTTTTAGTTTTTTTGCTTGGTAAGCATAGGAGTTTCCAACTAAATGAGAAAAAAAAGTGGTAACAGTTTTTAAAAAGGGCCACTAAACGCAATCATATAAAAAAAAATTGGTCATCATTTTCATTTTTTGATTATTTTTATTAAAAATTATAAAGAAAGTTTCATAAAGTTCCCAACACTAAAAAAAAACATTTTCCATTTTCATTTGATCAAACTCATTATTATTATTACTATTGAATGTAATAATGATGTAAAGTGTAACATTTAATTGTTAACTGAAACAATTTTTTTTAGTTCTTAAAATAAGAATAGTTTTAAGAGCTTAGAGAAAGCCAAAAAAAAAAAAAAAATCAACGAAATCAAATTAAAAAGAATAAAAAATTCAAGAAATTGAGATCAAACAAGTTGGATCGAAAAAACCAACCCACAATCAACAATTGCTTTTCAATCTAACAAGTGAAAAAAAAAAAAAAATCAATGGTCTCGTAAAAGAAGAGAGAGACTATTTAAATAATTCTATCAAATCGAACAATGGAATGATTAATTTTGAAATCTCTCTCTGTCTCTCTAAATCTCTCTCCCTCTGGTACACATAAAATTAAAAAATTAAAAAAACTGTAGAGTAAACTTGAATGATAAATCAAATTGAATTGTAGATTGGGTATGCAAGCACATGCCTGTTAATTATTTTTTTAAAAGTATTTTAGATCTCCTTTCATGTTGTACAAAACTTATACGAAGTATCAAAATGTTTTTTTTTTCACTGTTAAATGATCTTACTTTTCTAAAAAGAATAAAATGAACCGAATAGGCATTCAGCCTTTGAAAAATAATTTAAAGGATGACATAGAAGAATTTCATCGATGTTATTCTCAACTCGTGAAAAGGACCATTCAACAATTTTTCGTGAAAATGTGAATTTCAATCTTATTTTATTATTACTATTATTTTGTTGTTATATTTTTTTCCCTTGACAATAACACAGTCACCACTTTGTCTTTATGAAAATCTTGAATATCCTGGTATTAATCACTTATTTGATACTAAAAAATAAAAATAAAAATAGTAAAAATCTTTTTCCTTCTTTTGCACTTACAAAATCTTTTCCAGTTGTAAAATAAACTCTCTGTTTCCTATTATTTTTCTCTATTTTATTATTTTTCTCTTTATTTCCAATTCCTTAACATGTCTTGGAAAAATATATATATATATATATATATATATATATATATAGTTACAGTATTTTTGTTCCTTAACATGTCTTTTACTTTAATTAAAGGAGAGACGTGTAACTTCGTTATTTGTTGGAGTACGTCACTGGATTTCATTACCTCCGAATCTCTGATTGATTACCGTTATCAATTATAGTATCTTTTGGTCATATTGATTTTTTAATTTTTTTTTACAGCAAAACAATGTCAAGAGCATTAAAATGCTCTTCCACTTCAAAAATCGAATTAAAATTCAGTGAGTGGTGACAAAGTGAAAAAAAGAAAAAAAAACCGACGAGACTCGCGAAAGTCGAAACTCAATCAGAGTCTCTGGCTCGAACACAGTACCTTCTATACACAAAATTCATCGATCTCTTCATCTGAATCAGCATGATGAAACCCTAGCTCTCTCTCCCCCTCTCTATCTTTCTCTCTCTCTAAAACATGGCGTTGAGATCCAGCGGTCGCAAACTCTCATTTGAAGTTCTGGGTGCCAATTCTTTCACCGAGGACGATGATACCTTCATTTACAGATCGAATTCTGATCCTCCGCTTGGACAAAATGGGGAGACATCGAGAGCTTCACCTTCTGAATTGAAGTCCAATCGGCGTAAACGCAAGGCAAAGAAGAAGAAGAGCAAGATCATCCGACAATGGTCGATATCGGAAGATTCGGTTGTTGATGATCTAAGACATACTCTATTAGAGAACGGTTCTTCTATCAATGAATTGGAGTTGAATTGTAATAATTACAGTATTCAGAGCGTTATTTGTGAGGAAGTGACGGTGCCAGAAGAGAGTGTGGGGACTGTTTGTGCAACGCCTCCGGTTGCGAAACCGGAGTTTCAGAATGTGCATGGCAGTGATGGATATTTGGTTGGGGAGTTGAGGCAGAGGACTGTTGTGAATGGAAGTGGCGGATGCGAGGAGGCAGTGTCTCGGACCGGTGAGAATGCGAAGGAGAAGGAGAAGGAAAAGGAGGAGAGCCGTAGTAAGGAGTTGGATTCGTCGTTGGGGAGACAACGGGTTGAACCGAGTGGCAATGCTGCTAGGAAATTGGAAACGGCTGAATCATTGGATTGGAACCGTGTGATGGCGGAAGATCCAAATTGTGAGTTAATAATAATCATTGTCAATTGCATAATTTTTTGCCCCCTGTTTTCAAATTATTGAGGTTTCCAAAATGTGTAGAATTTCGAAAATGTTTAGACTTTTAGACACTAACTTGCAACTCCATGGTGGATTGGAATCTACATTAAAATACTCATTTAGGTCACCCAAAAATCAAACAAGGGAAAACCCAGAGGAATCTAATTATCAGTGAATTCAAATGCTACAAAGTAATACGTCAAAACTTAAAAAATCAGTCAAACCCTCTGAATTTTTGGCAGGCTTGAGATTATAAAATAAAAGTTCCTCAAATATTATTGAGATTAAGAAAAATAGAAATGACTTGTATATATATGTGTGTATATAATCAGTGACTCCCTCTTCATAAATTTTTGTTCTCCCTAAATGTTAATGAACTAAGAAAAATGATTTCTTTTGCATTATCTTTTATTTTCCCCTAATAGGTTCTTAAAGCAAACAGAGCCTAAAGAAACTCCTTAAGGAACTCATAGCTTGCGTTGTAATTAGTTCCTTTTACATTCCTTCCTAATAAACAAAATGGGTCAATGGGAGGCCATTATCCTTGTAGCTGATGCCATGAAATGAAAGTAATGTAAGGATAAATTTTCACCCTAGTGAGCAGAAAGTTGGGTTGGCTGCTGTAAAGGATAAGCTTTTGGAAGTCCCAAGTGGTGCAGGTAAGTAGGTAATAGAACTTCATGCTCGAGGAAGTGAATACTTCTGATGATGGCTTGTTTTTCCTTGCCTCTGGCACTGGAATAAATTTGATGCATGAGTTATATTGTATGCTTTGAACTTTATGTGCATTGAGCAGAAGTGTCAAATGGCCTTATAAGTTCATTGAGGCCAGTTACTCTGCAGACATTTTTATATCACCAACAATTTTTATTTTCCCTCAACTAGCATTATAGACCTACTTGATGAGCAAAAGCTGCAGTTTTTTTTATAAGGCTTCATGCACATGGCAGATTATTGAACCTCCTAGTTCTTCATCTTAATATTGTTAATGTTTGGAAACAACTGCATATTCATTTCTTGAAGCAAGAAATTTCCATTTAAACGGTCAGTGCATCCACTAGGCTGTCTATTAATTTTTGTACTGCTGGCTTTTTCAGTCAAGCACTTGTAATTTAATATTCACATTCTACAAGAAGTCTCTTATTTGAATTCTAATGGTCGTAGCAAGCATGTAAGTTCCCTTGTGTTCCTGTCGGCAACTTTGCCTTAGGAGGATCATTGCATTTAATTTGTAGTACATTGATAGAACAATGATCTTTCTTCTAATGCAACTTAGCACGACCTTTTCTAGGTTTTGGTCCATTTCCCTCTATATTTGTTCCTTGTAGTTGTAAAAAGAAAATATCTCTCCTTTCTTTCATCCTGCAATTTCAGTTATGGTGTTACAATTTGCTGTCAGATCAATTTTCTGTGGAGAAGTCACCAGTGAAGTACTTTATGGAAGAAATGTATGGCGGAAATTCCTTGCGTAGTACAACTACTCTTGGCAACGAGAAAGAACGGGAAAGAGTATATGATACTATTTTTCGCTTACCATGGCGATGTGAACTGGTAATATTGGCTCTCACCAAAAGCTGAACTTTACACATTTTATGAGTATTAGTTGATTGTTGCACTTTTTTTTATGCACAAATGATTTATTTTTCTTGTTTTGTTGCTTTTGTGTCCCATAGTGTAGTTTGTTGGAACTAGAGTGTTATCATTTAGGTAAGGGGATAGCGTTGCAAATGAACTGAGTCAAGCCAAGGTTGAAATTGTTCAGGCTCAACTTTTTTGTTCGTGGGCTTAGCTACAGCTCAGTCTGGGACAAGCTCTAAATGCTGACCTTGATCTTGGCTTGGGTTGTTCTTTGATCATATTTAGCTTGGTTAATGAGCTCGTAAAACATTTTTTAAAATTTTTATTTTTATTTTTTGTTACTTTCTTGATCAATAAATAGGTACAGAACTTTTGTTAAGTAATAAATAGGTATAGAACTTGTATAGGACACACAGTCATGAGTCTAAATTAATTGCCTGTTTATGAGCCTACATGAGTCGAGCCTCCTTTTTCAGGTTTGCTTGTTTTATCAATGAATGGGCATGAGCCAAGCCTGTGTTACTATGAACAGTTCAGTTATTTTGCAACCCTCATTAGGAGTGCACCTAATCTTTCTTGCTCAAAAGTTGCTTCGAGAAATGTCCCTTTTTTGTGTCTAAAAGTGTCAAGATGTCTTTGCAGTTTGAAAGAGGGGATTTTTTATTATGATACCTTTACTACATATGTTGCTGTTTAAAATTTTGCTTGTACTTCACCACGTAATCTTCTTAGCACAGATTCTCATTGATGACAATGCTGTTGCAGCTTATAAATGTTGGCTACTTTGTATGCCTCGATTCGTTTCTTTCGTTGTTGACTATTATGCCAGCAAGGCTTCTCTTGACCTTTTGGAGACTTCTAAAAACTAGGTATTTCTTGTCTTTCTAAAAATGTACTTTGTGTAATAAAGTGTCAATTAAATTATCTTACGTTTGTTCAATTTGTATAGAATCTGTAGATATATTCTGACTATACTATATAAACGGTAGTTGTAGTTGTGAGATTTTTTTGGGCAAAATTGTCATTAAATCTGATGGAACAAAATGGTTGTTCAAAATAGGAGTTTCAGTACATTGGGCCATAGAAATTGCATGTTCTCAGTTATAATATGTTGAAGGAGATAGAAAAAAAGATTAGAGGATTGGTTGTCCATGAGTTATATTAATTTGTTTTCTCAGAAACCAAACCCCCCCCCCCACCAAAAAAAAAAAAAAAAACACACACACACAATATGTTGAAGAAGATGGAAAAAAAGATTAGAGGATTGTTATGAGTTATATTAATTTTAGAAAACTGAACCAAAGAAAAGCTACTTCTCTCCTTCAAATCTGGGCAACTGCTTACACTTAACTGTTGGTGTTCTTATTTTATTTTATGTTATTTTGTTTGGTGTAATTTAGCTGCAATAACTCGTGGTTTTTACCTAAATAATTTAACCATGCTTGTGGCAGGCAGTTCAAGAAGCCTTCCGCAGCAGAGCTGTCTGATTTTGGCTGTTTTATTGTACTGGTTTGTGGAGTTGCTCTTTTAGAACAAACAGGTTTAATAAAGGAATTTGGATCCCTTACTACTGTCAATTTTCTTTCCACCATATGTCATGTCATGATGTGCCTCATTTTCCTTATTTGAAATTGCTTTATACTAATATTGCTTTATATATTTTATATTTTGTTGCCTCAGATATCAGCTTAATATATCACATGATTCGTGGTCAAGGAACGATCAAACTTTATGTGGTGTACAATGTGTTGGAGGTGAGAAAATAACTGTTTGACTCCAGTATGAAGGGAAAGCCTAAAAGATTCTTGTAATTATATTACTGAATATCCTTGTAAGCCTTAAAACCAAGATGAACCTTCAGATTTCAACTCAGATGCGACATTTTTATTTATTTTTTGAATGTAAAAGTACTCATAAAAAAAAAAAAAAAATTATGAATGTAAAAATGGAATACTGTTAGTAGAGATATAAGATGCTTTGCATATGGAACTAGCACTAACAAATATGATTGCAGTTCCAGAACATGCTAGTCACCCATGGGATAGTGTGTGGAACTTTCTTAAGTTTAAACAGGAAACTTTACCTCAACATTGTGAGGAAACGGATTGTTCTGTTTGTTAGTTTTTTTTGTTTCTTTTATTCATTTTTTTCCTGTACATGTTCAGTATACCATTTCTCTCTCTCTCTCTCTCTTTTCCTTAATGAATCCAATGCATTCTTTATGCAATTCTTTTTACCATTTTGTTAGTTTTTACAGAAGTAAAAGGCTTCTTAAAGACACCCTAAGTATGCATATAGCTTCACAATCTATTAGTTAATTCATTCCTTCCTATTTGAATAAGCTTCCTGATTTCTTGTTATAATTGTTCTCAGAAGTTCGTGCTAATCAAAGTCGAACTACGAAATGAAGACATAATGGATAGAGATAAAATATCCTACAAAATATTGTTAAAACTACTCTCTAGAACTTAAATTGGATCCTGCTATTTCTTCCATTCCAAATATTCCAGTCCAGGCTGACCAATGCATAATTACTTAAAATTATTCCTTGGACTCTTCGAACTTGAGAACCTGGGAGTCAAAAGGGAAGTATTGTCCTTCTGCAAGGGGCAAAGAGATGCTTGCAATGAAAATAGATATGCCTTGGGATAACGAAGGTTTAGGTGATGAACTAAGCATATACTTATTGTAATTTTTCTATCTCCTCTCCACTGCTAGTTGTCACATGTCTTGGATAAAGTTATTTTATTTAAGCTTCATTCTAATTAGTACATTTTACTCCTATTATGCAAGTTATTTTATATGTAATAATTTCTTAAAACCAACCCAAATGGCTTTCATATAGTTGGGGCTCCAATCAAGGTTGAAGGTCCCATGCAATATTGATAGAAGCTATAAATTCATGGTAATTTACGATTGCAACAAGTTTTAGGAAATCATTTTAAAACATGTCTAGGCTTCTAGGAAGCTGTGACGTCATATAAAAGCTTCTTATTTTTATGCTCGTTCAATGATTTTGGTCCCGATCCTATACACTTTTATCTTCTCATAGTTGAATGGTTATTTTTTTAACTTGTGGTTGATGTGCTGTTCGAATTATTCTTTATAGAGGATTTAGTTTACCTACGTTGAACAGGGATTGATCTATCATTATTCTTCAATTTTGTTGGCTGAATTGATAGTTTTAGTGAATGCTTGGAAGTTAATATTAACTGCTCTGCTCCTTGGTGACAGATTTTTGATAAACTATGCCAGAGTTTTGGCGGAGATGTACTGCAAACCTTATTTAATTCTGCAGAGGGCCTTGGAAATTGTTCACCAGAAACCACGAGATATTGGATATGGAGATTTATTTCTGATGAAGCATTAGCTGTGGCTTCTTCTAATATCCTTCTTCTAGCAAGCAACTTTAATCTTTATCAGTTTTATTATATATGTTCCTGATCTGTATTGTGGTTCCTTAACTATTCATACTTGTTCATTCATTTATCTTATTAGCTCAGGCGATTACTTTGTCAACATGTATTGTTGCTCATAATAATGCCCTGCTGGCTATGCTGGTATCAAACAATTTCTCTGAGATAAAAAGCAGCGTGTTTAAACGTTTTAGTAAGGATAACATTCACAGTCTGGTGTATTATGGTGAGTTGTTATCCTGGTCATTTTTTCTTAAATTTGTTTTTTATGCATAAAATATTGCAACATACTGCTCGGGCACCCATTATATTGGTTCTTGTTGGACAGTTTCGTCCCAATATGAATTATTACAGCCTTGTTGTTGATGTGAGTTGCAAAGACATCTATATATCATTTTAAAATATTCTCTCTCTGAAATGAGGCGTTTATTTTTCATATCTGGAGGGATGGTTTGGTGACTTTTTGTGTTGGAATTTGGTTTGAAGGAAAATGTTCACTCTTATATAAGAAGACATTTTATTTTGTTGAAAGAAGAAGAAGAAGAAGAAGAAATCTGTTATGGCTTTTACTATGTTTTAAGTAAAAGATACTAGTCAAAAAAAAAAAAAAATTCTTTAATCAAATGGGACTGTAGCTTCTTTAATCACATTGACTAGGATTAGCATCCTCTGTCATAAAGCTTTTGCTTGTAATTTATAATATAATTTATTTTTTTGTGCTCCTGGGGTTCTATTTGGTCTCACATTTCCTTTTTTCTTTTATGCCATTGCTTATGACCAGATTCAATTGAGAGGTTCCACATTTCAGCATTTATCTTATTTGTTTTAGCTCAAAATATTCTGGAAGCTGAAGGTCCTTGGTTTGAAAGTTTTCTTTTTGTGAGTTCACTTGAAACCTCTGAGCACACTATACTTTGAAGTGATCAAAAGAAAAATATAGAAATAAAAATTGACTACTTCTGTTGTTATGTCCTCTTTGTTTGCTTATATTTTTTATGTGGACATTGCAGAATGCTCTCCTTGTTTATATTTGTGAAATGATGATTGATATAATCAAACATTCATTCATTGCTAAATTCAATGACATAAAGCCCATTGCATACTCTGAATTTCTTGAGGAACTTTGCAAACAGGTATGTGTTTGTTGTTTATTTTTTGCTTGGTATGCTTAATTAACGTACTCTTGAAAGCGAAAGGTGTTTTTACTTGATCCCAATACCAATCTGTTTGCATGGACTTATGCTTCTTTCAACACAAACATGCACTTGCACAGTCTCACAGACACTGGGAGGAAAATTATGCCATTAACCTGTCTACAGTCTACAATCCTCCTGTCATATCTGTTCACTTGTATGTATCTAGCCCCTTATGGTCAAGCTTTATTTATCTGCGATAATCAGCAAGTCAAATAGTTCTTATGTAATTACATGCTAGTTGGCTGCTATATCTGCTGTTCTCAATATGCATGCAACTTTAGGGAAATGACTCAATTTATTATAATATGCTCTATTAATAAAGGGCTGAATACAGTTACCTCTCCTAAGATTTGGCCCAATTACACTCTGATGAAACTTTTCAAATTTCATACACCGTGTACCCCTGAAGTTTGCACATTTGTTACTAATAACCCCTCTGGCCAAACTCCGGCCAAAAAAAATGCTTGCTCTGACCCAAAATGCCCTCCCTCCATGTGAAATGACTTTTAAACCTGTACAATGGCATTTATTTATGAAAATACCTAATTTTTTAGGACAAAATTTCCCTTGTTCACTTATCAAAAAAAGAAAAAATGCCCTTGTACATGTGGGTCAATGAATTTACAAAATAACCAAATGGGTTTGTTTAACTGGAAAACAACAACATGCTGGTGGTGAGTGGGGACAGGAAGAGAGAAAGAAAAGGACAAAGAGGAGGGAGTAATGTACGTGAGAATGGAGAGGAGGGTTGGCAAGTTCGTGAGGATGTTTCCATTACCTATTCACATAGCAATTGTAAAATAAAAAAATTAGGGTTGTTTTTCTTACAGTTGGTCTCGCCTCTCCTACAGATTTAGAATTAGCATTATATACACACACACACAAATGAGTCTAGGTATATGAATTATACACATACAAACAAACACTTGATTACACACACGCACACATTATATATATGTTTGCAAATGGGTCTGTTCCATGATTTCCATCTCTTCGTGTAATCCCCATTCTTATATGTGTGTGTGTGTGTAATCAAGTGTTTGTTTCTGAGAGTTTGAGTTTTGTTTGTGTTTAATTGTGATTGAGAGTCATCACATAATAAGGTGGTTTAATTGAGAGAGTGCTTGTGGCCATGGTGGGAGGAGGTGGCAGTGGCCATGGTAGGTACAAGAGACGATGAAGAGAGAGAATATGAAGTGAGAGAAGATGAAGAGCATCTGAGGTTAGGGTGAAGAGAGAGAAAATGATTCTCAGATGAGGATTTGATGGTCAAAATATGCCAAGTGTTCTTTTTTATATAAGGTGGGCAATTTGGTCTTTTCACAGCTGCAGATATTTGGCTTTTAAAATGTTGTGTTGGGGTATTATGGTAAAATCACCTTGGAAATTAACATCGGTAAGCCTTATTTCGTTGGGAGGTCAGTGCAAAAAAATAAAAAAAGTTTCATCTTACCCTAATTACTAATTAGGGCAAACCTCGGGAGGTCATTGTATTTAACCCACTAATAAATGATGACAATATAACATTGACATAACATAATCATTGCAACTCACCAACAGGCCTGTGGCCTAGCGGTACGAGGCTTCTACTTCCCAAAAGGAGGTCAGGAGTTCGAACCTCAGTGAAGGCAGTGTGTGTGAGTTCCAACTAGGAAAAAAAAAAAATCATTGCAACTCAGTAACTCAAAAAAAAAAAAAAAAAAAAAGTTTTTTTTGATAAGTAAGATTTTATTGAAAACGCTCAAAAGGGGAGTGGAACCCAAACAAACAAAAGGGCCAGAGGGCGCCTTAGACCTTCAAAGAGGCCAAAAAAACAATAATCTCCTCCGTAGATCTGTAATCTCTCCCTGAGACCAACAAAAAAGAGTGGAACTAATAGAGAACTTAAGCATAGAAATAGGTTTCTTTTTTCCATCAAAGTATCTCCTATTTCTCTAGAGCCAAATACACCACCAAATACAAAGAGGCGTAGCCCTCTAATCATCTTGAATGAGAGCCCCAACGGAGATGCCTCTCCAAGCCTCAATCAACCCTCTAGAGGAACAAGGCATAACCCATATCTAGGTTTATTATTTTTTTCATTTTTTTCCTTCTATTAACAGATGGAATAAACTTTGGTCATAAACGCATATCTAGGTTTTAAATAATGATAATAATGGAACTTTTCCAAAAAAAAAAAAAAAATGATAATAATGGTACTTTGACATGGAATGCAGGTGTATTGAATCTAAGGTACTGGACGCAATTGTTGGAGCTGTGATTTTTTTATTTTATTTAATTTCATTTTGTGTTTTTCAACACTTTTTTTTTATAAGGGAAAAAAAAAACAACACATGTTTTTAATCCAGAATCCTATAAATTTGGGTTTTTAATGAACTTCACTGATTTCATAAAAGATACTTCTCTATCTATGATGGATTCTACATCAACTTTTGAGTCATCGGAGAGAAACGCTTAGAGCACTTGTATACCATAATCAAACTGTAACCATTTTCATTCCCCCTAATACCCCAGGAGTACAATTCCCACTACTGTTGATCTCCACCTCCTTTCCCCACAACAGAGCTACAGGATTGTTGATCTCCACCTCCCCTTCGAATGGTCAGGCTTGAAAGCCAGAACAAGATTCACTAACAATCTTCGAAGATCTAACTTCAAATAACAAAGCTGGAGAAGATGTAACCTAAATCAAGTGAAAGATAAGAAATTTTAGAAACATTTGAAACTTGCCCGTCTAATGAAATGTACCAGACTCTTTATTCAGATCTGTCTGTGGTTGGATTGTGTAGTTCAACTTTTGGGGTATGGATCTAGTCATTGCCTTTGTTTTCTGCAGGCTTAGAAGTTGAAAATGTGAAATAAATTGAAAAAAGTGACAAAGAATGAGGTTCATAAACCTCATTTGCAGAAACTGGTATTATGGCTTCACAACAGCACTTAATAATCTGTTATGACTCTGATTTTCAGAAGCACCAATATATTGGCCCATAACAGATTCTTCATTTGATGATACTATTACATAATCATGAGCCATACTTACGTGGTATGTTGAGCCATACTTGTGTGCTATGTTCTTCACATTATAGTTTTTTTAAAGGTGAACATCTTGGTAGGTGTGGCAAATGCGTTAAGCTGTTTGTGAACAGCTTATCTCAACACTTTATAAAGCTCGGATGGGCTTATTCGAGTAACAACAAAGTCATTAAAAAGCTTGCTTGTGTTAGAATGTTTTATATATATATATATATATAAGTGTTGGGCCATTATGTAATTACAGAAAGTTGATAGGGGCCCTTATGTAGTTAAGTAAGACTTGTACTCTTTATATAAGCCTTGTACACTTTTTTAGGTTTGAGGATGATGAATATACAAGTCTGAAACTTCTCTCTCTCTCTCATATATATAACTTTAAACATGGTATCAGAGCGTACGATCATGGGTGTGAGAATCTGTAATTGGGTTCTTATTGTATAAGATTTGAATTGCAGTTGTGGTGTTGGTGATCTCTACCGTCGGTTCCTTGTTTGTCGTCATCAGCAGCGGCTTGTTCATCATCGTCAGATTTGCAGCGTCGTCAGATCTGGGAGTTGTTCGTCGTCGTCTCTGCCGTGTTCGTTGTCGCCGGTAGCTTCTCTTTAGTTGCCAGCGAGCTCGCCGACCTCTGCAATCTTGATTCGCAGAGGTGAGGTTCATCTCTGTTGGCCGAAAGTTGCAGCGATCGTTGCTTATTGATTCGGCCGTTACTTGTGATTGGGTCGCCGTCGTCGCCGCCGTGTTATTCCCCGGCATCTGTGAAGGTGTGAAGAAGAAGACCTCTATTTGGCTACACAGTTATAGCTACTTCAACCCTGGTTTGCTAAACCTGGATAGCCCAGGTCAGTCCAACCCGTTTGACTAGGTCCGTTGACCAGACCCGACCCAGTTGTCCAGACCCGATCCGGTCCAAGATCCGACCCGTTTTCCAGGTTTGGCCAGAATACAAAATCTGTTTTTTTTTCTTCCGTTTTTCTTCTCTGTTTTGCTGGATTCAACATGGCATCTAGTTCAGATTTACCTTCACCCACGAACAGTCTTAATTCTCCCATGACTTCAGTTAAACTCAATGGGAAGAATTACATATTGTGGGCTAAATCTGTTGCTATTTTCCTCAAAGGCAGAGGTCTTGGTTCTCATTTGACTAAAGAGAAACCCAAGGCAACTGATGCCTCCTTTGATGCATGGGAAAAGGAAGATGCTCAGATCATCTCTATGATGATAAACAGAATTGAACCCCAAATTAGTTCAACTCTACTTTATTTGGATACTGTCAAGGAGATACGGGACAGATTGCTGCAATTGTATTCTGGGACAGGTAATGTCACTCATGTGTATGAGCTCTGTAAGCAGTACTTCAATCTTGAACAAGGTAATCAAAGTATAGAATAGTATTATTCCAAAGTTATGGGAGTCTGTGAAGAGCTGAATATGTATCAGCCCATTACAGGTGATGTTCGCAATATGCAACAACAGCGTGCGGACTTTAATGTTGTCCGTTTTCTTACTGGTTTATCATCAGCATATGAGCCTTTTCGTGCACAGATTATGAGCAGTCCAACACTTCCATCTCTTGCTGAGGTGTTTTCTAGACTTCAGCGTGCTACACTTGCAAGTGATACCTCAAATTTGAAAACTGGACAGAGTGGTGAGTGTTTAGCATTAGTGGTTTCAAAGGGTGAACATAATACTTACCGTGGAGGTCATGGGGGACGCTCCACACGTGGTGGTCGTGATTCACGTGGAGGACGTGGCCGTGGCAGGGAATACAGAAAGTGTACCCATTGTGGTCTTTCTAATCATGGGATCTTCATGGGAAACCATCTAGTTATGCCAATCAAGTTTCCTCTTCTCCGAATGATGTTGCTTCTGGATCGCACAACGTAGCTGAATCAGAAACAATTCCTGTTCCACGGGATGAGTTTACTCAGTTTTTGTCTTATAAGTAAGCATCTAATTCATCTTCCACGGCTATTTTTGCCGAGTCAGGTACTGCACACACATGTCTATTGTCTTCCACTCGCAGTCCTTGGATCATAGACACTGGAGCATCTGATCATATGACCGGATGTTCTTCTCTTCTATCTGATTTTCATTCTGTACATCCTTTTCAAAGTGTTACTCTTGCTAATGGTTCATCCACTCAGGTTTCAGGTTTGGGGACAACTCAACTTAGTGATTCATTGTCTCTCTCGTCTGTTTTACATGTTCCGCAGTTTCCCTTTAATTTAATGTCTATCAGTAAGCTTACCAAATCTCTCCGGTGCTCTGTTACATTTTATCCTACTTCTTGTGTGTTTCAGGATCTCAAGATGAAGAAGACGATTGGTACGGGGCATGAAGCTGGTGGCTTATATTATTTTGATTTTGAACCTTCTCTTGTGGCTCTTCAGTCTTCTCTGTCTCCATTCCAATGGCACTGTCGCCTTGGTCACCCGTCACTTCAAGTTTTGAAGCGTTAAGTTCCTAGTCTTAGTCATTTGAAATTCTTGTCATGTGAAGTTTGTCAACTTAGTAAGTACCATCGCGTGTCTTACAAGTCTAGGGTTAATAATCGTGTCTCTAGTCCTTTTCATTTGGTTCATTCAGATGTATGGGGTCCAATAAAACATTCTTCAATCAATAAATTTCATTATTTTGTGACATTTGTGGATGATTATTCTCGCCTGACTTGGTTTTTTTTAATGAAAGATCGTTCTGAGTTATTTTTAATCTTTCAAAAATTTTGCAAAGAAATCAAAACTCAGTTTGGATGTCCAATTCGTATTCTACGTTCTGATAATGCTAAGGAATATTCTTCAACTCCATTTGATACATATCTTAGTGATAAAGGAATTATTCATCAAAATTCATGTGTTTATACTCCACAACAAAATGGAGTTGCAGAACGTAAGAATCGACATCTCTTAGAAGTAACTCGTGCTCTTTTGTTTCATATGCGTTTGCCTAAACGGTTTTGGGGTGATGTTGTTCTTACTGCCTGTCATCTTATTAACCGTATGCCATCATCTGTATTAGATGGCAAATCTCCACATTCTATTTTATTTCCTGATTCTCCCTTGTTTTTTCTTCCTCTAGGGTTTTTGGATGTGTATGTTATGTCCACAATCTTGGTCTTGGTTTTGATAAATTAGACCCACGTGCCACAAAGTGTGTATTTCTTGGCTACGCTCGCTCTCATAAAGGTTATCGCTGCTATAGTCCTGTTTCTCAACAGTACTTTATTAGCGCAGATGTAACGTTTTCTGAGTCCATCCCATATTTTTCAGATACTGATTCACTTCTTGATATCACTCTTGAGTCACCTCCTTCTGCCGTTCCTCTTCCCTCACTCTCTCTTCAACCTTGATCTCTTGTTCCTTCATCTGCCCTGTTACAAGTGAACACACACTCGAAGACCAAAGCCATATGTTGTCATGCGTCCTCCATCGTCTTCAGAGTCTTTGGATCCAGCGCCTTCCACTGTGTCTGATTCCTTACCTATTGCATTTCGTAAAGCTCCTCGCTCATGTGTTACTAACCATCCCATTGCTCATTATTTCTCTTATAATTCCATATCGCCATCATTCTCCTGTTTTTCCTCTAAGTTGTCTACTACATTCGTTCCTAAGACTGTGCAAGATGCGTTATCTGATTTGGGCTGGAGGAACGCAATGCAAGATAAAATGGATGCTTTGCATAAGAATGGCACGTGGGATCTTGTTCCATTACCTCCGGATGTCACACCTGTTGGTTGTCGCTGGGTATATACTGTGAAGTATCTTCCAGATGGGTCTGTTGAGCGTTTAAAAGCACGTCTTGTTGCCAAAGGTTATACCGAAACTTATGGTATTGACTATAACGAAACATTTTCTCCCGTTGCTAAGATTTCTTCTATTCGTGTTTTGATTTCTCTTGCTGCTAATAAACATTGGCCTCTGTTTTAGTAGACGTTAAAAATGCCTTTTTGCATGGTGACTTAGCAGAAGAAGTTTATATGGAGCAGCTACCTGGGTTTGTTGCTCAGGGGGAGTATCTTCACACTGTTTTGTCGCCTTAAAAAGCTCTGTATGGATTGAAACAATTTCCACGGGCTTGGTTTGGAAAATTCTCTGAGGTGGCGTTAAAATTTGGTCTTAAGAGATGTTAGACCGACCATTCGGTGTTTCACCAGCGCACTAAAGCTGGCTTCATATTTCTTGTGGTGTATATAGATGATATTGTGATCACAGGTGATGATTCTGAAGGCATTGCTAAGTTGAAGTTGTCTCTGCAATATCAATTCCACACTAAAGACTAGGGTAAACTTAGGAATTTCTTAGGTATTTCTTAGGCATTGAAGTTGCTAGATCCAAGAAGGGCATAAGTTTATCCCAACGCAAATATATGTTGGATTTATTAGAAGAAACAGGTATATTGGGTGGTCGTCCGGTTGATACTCCTATGGATTCAAATACAAAACTTGTATCTGATGAGGGTGATCTATTTAATGACCCAGGCAGGTTTCGTCACCTTGTTGGGAAATTAATTTATCTCACTATCACTCGACCTGATATTTCATATGCAGTCAGTGTTGTAAGTCAGTTCATGGGAGTTCCTAGAATGCCACATTGGATTGTTGTTCTTCGGATTATACGATATCTTAAGAAAGCTCCAGGTTTAGGGTTACTATATAAATCAAATGGTCATCTTAGGGTGGAAGGTTTTACAGATGCTGTCTGGGCTGGTTCTCCTTCAGATAGGAGATCTACTACAGGCTATTGCACATTTGTAGGTGGAAATCTTGTTACATGGCGAAGTAAAAAGCAGACGGTGGTAGCTCGATCTAGTGCTGAAGCTGAATATAGGGCAATGGCCCATACCACTAGTGAGTTGACATGGATACAACATTTTCTAAAAGAACTTGGGTTAATTGTTGAGGCTCCTACTCCATTGTTCTGTGATAATCAAGCAGCAGTTCACATTGCATCAAATCCTGTGTTTCATGAGAGGACCAAACATATTGAAGTTGATTGTCACTTCATTCGAGAAAACATATTAAGTGGGAGCATCTCTACTCCATTTGTGAAATCTGAAGATCAATTAGCTGATATGTTTACCAAAGCATTGGGTCATAATCGATTAAGAATTATCTGTTCCAAGCTGGGATTATTTGATATATATTCTCCAGCTTGAGGGGGAGTGTTAGAATGTTTTATATATATATATATATATATATATATATATATATATATAAGTGTTGGGCCATTATGTAATTACAGAAAGTTGATAGGGGCCCTTATGTAGTTAAGTAAGACTTGTACTCTTTATATAAGCCTTGTACACTTTTTTAGGTTTGAGGATGATGAATATACAAGTCTGAAACTTCTCTCTCTCTCTCGTATATATAACTTTAAACAGCTTGTAAGTTCATTTGATTAAGAGGCTAATCCTAAAAGCTGCCAGGCTTTGACTTGATTAGGTTTGTGAACAATGAGCAGATGTTTTGTGTAATTGTGGAAACATTTATCCCTGCAAATCCTATCAAGAAAAAGAAAAAATGGCAGCTCAACGAGGCTTCGGCCACTGGGGGGTATGAGAAGGGTCAGATGTACACCACCTTACCTCCGCATGCGGACATGCTGTTTTCCACCACTATGGGGTCTGGGGAGATTTAGATGGACGCAACTTTATCAAGAAAAGACATTTAAAAAGAAATACTCTTAAATAATAGGAAGCGGAAGAGTTGAACAAAACTGATTTTGTTGATGCTTCATATTTAGGAATTGTCGATGCCTATTGGCATGATGGCATCCCATTCGATGCGTACATGCTTTGCTTTCAGATCAATTAATGTTCACCAAATTGGCAATTATAACTTTACATGGACTATTTGTTCTCATTTTGGAGCCAGTACTATCCTGGAGAAGACTTAATCTTTTGATTTATTGTCTTTTACAGACATTGAAAATTCAAACAGAGAACGGGAAGAATAACCTCACTTTTGTTCCTCTGGCACCAGCTTGTGTGGTAAGCATAATTTATACTACATTAGTACTTATTTGCTATTTTTAGGTATAAGCTTCTAATCTGTATTTACTATGTCGGTTTTATACTATATATTTTGGTGTAAGAAATTATATTTTTCTGGGTTTTAGGTAATCCGAGTGCTGAGTCCAGTATATACTGCTCATCTCCCCTATTGTCCCCTTCTATGGAGGTTCTTCTGGATTTTCCTCTTGTCCACCTTGACTTTTATCATGCTAGCAAGCGTCAAGATAATGATAGGGTTGGGTCTTCAAAAACATGCTACTTGGTACGTCAACAGGTGCCGGAAGAGAAAACTGCACACCGACTAATTTAACAGAAGAAAATAGATTTGCATGACAAAAGTCGAACTTGCTCTGGTGAATGCTTAAGAAATTACATCATTAATACTGGACCAGCAGCATGGTGGATTGCCGAACATGGCATCGGAATAGGGTATTGGACCAGCAGCATGGTGCTTATCTGTTGGTGCTGAAAACAGCCCACTCTGGACCATTAGAATTGAGTTTCACTCGGTGCTTTCGCCCAATTTTGTTTACGGAAGAGGTCAACTACTGATTCCAAAATATTGTTGTGTATACAAAGAGGTTAGAAGGATTTGGTGTTTACCAAAACGATAATATTTATGTATTATGGAAAAGAAGTATTAGTTTGTTTTGAACCTTTAGCCTACGGTCTTGTGCATACTATACTCGACCTCTGGAATAATATGATCATTTCTTATTTGCCTTTATTTTTTTATTTTTTTATTTTTAAAACTTGGGGATTTGAATGTTTTTTAATCTTAACGTTCGAATTTACTGCTGTATGGTAAAGAATGGAATTATGAATGTGTAGATTTGGGAGGAGAATACTCACTCAAAATGCTCTATATTTGAGTTTGTTGGAAGTGGGGGAGAGAGAAACAAATGATTACAAAAAGTGAATCATTTAAACCCTTTCCGGTTGAAGGGTTAAATAAATATAATTGAATCAGGAGAGGAGGGATCTTTGGCAAAATTGTACATCGATAACAACAATTTTCAAGTATGGTGAAGGGGAAGTGAGTGTACCTTTGCGAAAGGTTGTATGGATGTAGTTCTTGTGCAGATTTTCTGTTCTTTCTTTGATTGTTGAGTCCAACAAAGAGGTTGCGTTTGGACGACGACGACGAGACAAGACTCCGGCGCAAGACACAATCGAATGGTAAAATGGTAAGTCCGACAAAGAGGAGGAGAGAGAAGACTCCGGTAAGACAAAATGGTGAATCGCGAGGACTAAAGATGGCAATAGGGCGGGGCGGGGATCTCATTCCCCATCCCCATCCCCGGTAATTTTTTTCATCCCCATCCCTGCCCCCATCCACGTTTAAAATTTCACTTCAATCCTCATACTTGCCCCCACCCTCCATTCCCAATCCCCATTTGATATACACTATAATTTTTTTTAACACATAATTTTTTTTTTTTTTTTTTTAAAAGTATGTTTACATATACTTAATATAATTTAGTAATATATCATAATATATAAAGGTATTTTAGTACCCGCCCCGCCCCATCCCGCCGCGCCGGGTCGGGATGGGACTGGGCGGGGACCCAATGGGGATGGGAAATTTGCCATCCCTTGATACACTTATTTTAAGAGAAAAAATATATATATCAATTTTCAAAAAATATTATTTTAAAATTAATACTAACATATTAAAAAAAAGTAGAGAAAATACCACCATATTACATGGTCTTAATTATATAAAAAGTTGTTATTTTAAGGATGGCAACGGGGGCGGGTTTGGGTGGGTGTACCCTCCCCAGCCCCAGTAACCGTTTAAAAACTCCACCCTTGTCCTCGTCCAAAACTACAAAAATGGGGGAACTTTCTACCCCATCTCTGCCCCCGTCTAACATTTTTACCTCGTGGGTATCCCCGCCCTGTTTAAGACCATAAATTCTCCTTTATTTAATTTTTTTTTTATCAACTAAAATTATATAATTAGTGAAAAGTTTTGTAAAAAAAATGGACAATAAATAGTTTAACATAAAATTAACATTAAAAACATCATAAATGGTCACACACAAGCTACTTGTTCTACATTTTCAGATTTTTATATATATTAATGAAATAAGAATATTTAATTAATTTAGCTATCTAAAAAGGGCGAGGCAACCTCCCCCATCCTGCACCGAACTCTCGTGGGTTTTCATTACATCAAACTATTCCTGCCCAAATAAACTAAACGATTCCCTAAAGCCGCTGAATACCGGACGGGGCGAGACGGGTACCCCAGCAAGGCAAATTGTCATCCTAGTATCACCTCACAATACGCCCAACATTAAAATATCTTCTTTACTTTAAAAAGTGTTCAAGTATGCCAATATATAAATTTCAAAATAATAACATTTTAATATTTTCTTATAAAAGAACGATTATTTTCACACCGATAATAACAACTTTTAAATAAAAAGTGGAGAGTATTTTTAATTTTTCATTGCAAACCCAACTAAAATGAACTGTAATAAAAAGAAGATAAGATTGCTCTTAAATAAATAAAAATATAATAATAAAATAAATGGAGAGGATGGTGGGGGCGCGCGAAGTTCCCCGCTATAGACGTGAAATCAGTTACAAGATTACCTTTAACAACTTTCTCTCGCTCTCTCTTCCATTTTCGTGTAACTCAATCTCAAACAAATCTCTCTTTTTCTTCATTTCGCTTTTATCATCTCCTCCAATTCACTGAATCAGTTTTCTAGTTCTGCTGCGAATTGCTTCGACAATCTTCAAATGTCGGTAAGTTTTTTTTTATCTCTGAATCAGAATCTTTCATTTCTTGATGTTCATAAACTAGACCCTTACTTAAATTCATCGATTTTGTAGAACCCATTTTCATTGGACTTGTTTTCATTTGAATTAATGCATTGTTCTACAGATACACATTGTAAGATATCCCTATATCGTTGTATATTTTGAGAAATGGTTCTTTTGATCGAATTTTTTTGAACAATACTTGTCCTTTTATAATATATCAAAAAATAAATCAAAAAAGAAAAAAAGAATAATATACTTTTTAGATGGGTCAAAGTGACAACAAATATAAGGACAATGCTCGCCGTAGGTCATATAAAAAGGAAGTTTCTGGTAATGTGGTCTAATAAAACACTGACACGTGTCCTAAGTTTTTTTATAAAAAAAAAAAAATGATCATAGTGGCGGTGAAGAACAAGAGAAGATCTATAATTCTTATTCCCTTTTCCATAATGTTCTAATGAGTCAACCTAATTCAATTCAAGTATAGTAAGACGAAGAGATGGATCAGTGGAGAGAGACGGTTTCGTGATTAGGGTTTTGGAATGAAATACTACTCAATATATTTATATCCCTATATATATATCTTATACATATGAGTTGGGTTAAAATGGGTTTCATTCATTTTTGTTTTTTAAATATTACATAATTTTTGGGACCATAGTTGTTGAAGGCACGCCTAGGCTCCAAAAAATCCCCAGGCTCAGCTAGAGCGCCTCAACCTATTACAAGCATGCTCACGCTTTTTAGTAGGCTCCAGGCTCAAAAACGGCGCACCTTGCATTTTTTTTTTTTTTTGTCATTTATTTATGTCATTTTCTTTTTTTATCTTATGACTACTAAAATAAAATGTTCCGTATCATATTGTTTAACCTTATGACATATTTGACAAAATTCATAAATTTATGGTTCACTACTTGCATTACCTGCAGTTAGTGCTTGATTATGAATATATATAATAATATATGTTTAAATATGCATTGTAATTACACATGTGCCTTACTTCAATCAGGCTCGTGCCTTATATTGCGCCTTGCACTTAGGCTCTAGAAGGCCTTTGGCGCCTTGGTGCGCCTTGAGCCTTTAACAACTATTGTTGGAACACGTCAATCTTTCATTAGGCCACATAATCCATCAGAAAAAGCTTCCCTCTTACATGGCCTAAGGCAAGTATTGTCCCAAATTTAATACTAAGATTCAATCATATCATGATATGTCAACTTAAAGGAGAAATTCCTCCTCACGTGTCAGCCAGAAGAAGTAGGTTGTCAAGAGGCAAATGTTGCTCGAAATTTTGTGTGTTATGGATAATGTAGAAAATATGGATATTGTCATCTACTTGATAAGCTATTTGCTTTTGTTTTGTTTCAAATGGTTAGAAGTCAGTAGTGTTACATAAACATACAGGTTATGGGTTAGATTTGCAACCTTTAGTTCTTTGATTGTTGAAACAAGTTTCTTCCCTTTTTAGTGTGCAACAATTGCTGTAAATGTTGAAAGGCTCTTTATTTCTACTTATTTTTAAGTAAGTTATGGATTTTTGTTTTAGTACTGTTTACTATGTGCAGGAAAATTGGAAAAAAAACTTATGTTTGATTAGATAAAAGAACTTTGCTTCACAAGATATTGGAATTTGTTATGGTGCGGGAAACGTACATCATAAAATTAAAAGTTATGGAAAAATTCAGGGTGGTGGAACATACAATTCAAACTGCTAGATGTGGTCTCATTTACTAGCCTGTTCGGTTGGGAGCTGAAGCTGCTGAACTAAAAGCATAGCATCATGTCCTTGGTAGCTTGTCTTGTCGGTCTAAATGATATGAGGACAACTTTACTTTCTTACTTCTTGATGTGTTTAATCTCATATTGTCACCAAATTGGCTTGTCAATTGTGGATTGATCTTTAAAAATGAAAATTTGAATTTAGCCACCATGTGTTGCTGCAGGAACTACTAATTTGTTTTTGTTTTTTCTAATGTATGTACCTTGTATGTCTTTTCTTTCGCCGTTACATCATTCATAACTATACTAGGTTCAGTTCTTGTTACACTTTCTGTTCTACTTTCTCCCTGGGAAGCTCCTAACTGAGCACCTGGTGTGCAGGTACCCACGGAGGCTACTGATCCAAAGAGTGGAGAAGATCCCCAGCCCACCACTACTCAAAACTGGACAATCAATGTTACTGATGTGAGGAAAAAAACTCGATAGAATGCTTATATAAGAATGGAATTTGTTCACGAACAGGGTATCAGTAGAGATGAAAATGCTTTTGCCTTCTTTCTTGAGTTTTCTTATATGTATATTCTCTTTGCTACATTCAGATTTTGATGTTCAATTACTATTTTTGTGAAATAATATTTTCAGTAAAAACTAATGAATAAAAATAATGATCATAAAGGTGATGATTGCTTTGCAACTTAAATTCGGTATCTAACGATTAGAATTAGACACCAAAGTAAATGGCTACAATTCTGCCTTTTGTCAATAGTAGCTACTCACATTTGTAAGACTAAGTAGGAAAATGACAGTAAATTATTTTGGCATCTATTGTTGTGATGCTCTAATTTATACAAGGACTGGATAATAAATATATATATATATATATATATATATATATATATATATATATATATATGTATGTATGTATGTATATCATATTGTTCAATGTGTAGTCAATGAAAATTTGTTTGTCGCAATTTTTATCACAATTTAATTGAAAAGTACAAATATTCATGTATACTTTTACTCTCTCCGTCTACAGATAAGAACAGTTAAAGTCAGTAATATCTCATTAGCTGCATTGGAGAGTGACATCAAGGAATTCTTTTCCTTTTCTGGTGATATTCAATATGTTGAAATGCAAAGGTCAGCCCTTGTGACTTACCTGACAGTCAACTTTGTTGCAAAACTTGTGCTTTAGGTGGTTAGTTTTTTACAGGGAAACTGAAGACACACAGCTTGCATATGTTACCTTCAAGGATTCACAGGGAGCAGATACAGCAATGCTTTTGTCGGTATGATATTTAATTTTGAATTATGATAATAACATTTATGATTTGAAAATAAATCTATGTGGTAAGTTGCTGCACAATGCTTTAAAAGGCAGATGTGTTGGCGAAGACACGAAAACCTAAACCATGAAACCTTAATTTAGATTTCATAAAATAAATATATTCCCGAAATAAATAGAATAACAGATATGTTTCTAAATAGGGGGAAATAAAAAATTTAAAAAAAAAAAAAAAAAAAAACTTTAGATTTATGTGTAGAAATTATTTTCAGTTGTGGGCAATGCCTCAGAGCTTAGTGAAGCATAATATAATAGATGCACACTTCAAATTTTGGCATGTGAGCTTGACATTTATCTCGGTCAATTTCTCAAGCCATTTCTAGGAAGTTTCGACGTGTAAGCCTCAGTAGCTTCTGAAACAGTTTTGATGCAATAGGAGTACCCCTTCAAAATTTTAATTGATTTTTGTTTTTATATATTGATGCAGGATGCCACCATAGCTGATCTTGCGGTGACCATCACACCTGTTGAAAATTACCAGCTGCCTCCTGATGCACCTCCGCTAAACCCGGTAAATCTCAAGCCTGCTATAAAATCATATGTTTCTGTTTTGTTTTTTAAGAGTATTGTTTGATCTGATGTTACGCCTAAAATATGGGAATGTGCACGAATAACTGGTAAATCTGAATTTAGCTACTACCTCTTCCTTAGGTGTGGTTTTTAGTTTAGAAAAACTGAAAACCTCTTGATCACTATACTTTCTTGAGCTGGAGACTATGAGCTGGACTTCTCGCAGTGTATATGTATTTTCATAGGTTAGTTTTTTTCAATATTTCATATTTTGAAATGGTTCAATGTAGAGTTATAACTCTACCAATAATTGGATGGGTCTTTCTGAAATCCTCATTAGGTCCAATATCAAACTTTCCGGCAATTGTCCAGTGCATGTGGGACAGGGGATTGCATGTATCCGGTGGTGGATTATGAAAAATGTTCTATTGAAATTGACTTGTACCACACTAAGTTGCTGCAAAGATGACTTGATTTAAGCAGCAGTGTATCTCCACAAAAGGACACGACTTCTCGAACACACGATTTAGTGATCAAGTGAGGTAGATAGAATTCGAAGAAACACTATCTTACAAGATCTGAAACTACAATTGAAAAGTTATATAGCATCGCTAAGATTAATTTTCTGGTTGACTTATGTATAGAAAGCTAGTAAGTTCAGGGTTTAATCTGCAGGGGAAATATTTAGGATGAAATTTTCTTGGTTTTCAAATTGCAACTGAAAATTCAGGAAGAAAATTGCTATAATTTCTGAACAGGTTTTGGCTGTTAGTCTTGTAGGGTTGCGGAATCGTACAGGATTACAAAGATGGCTTTTGAGTTGAAGAATATAAAAAAAATTGTCGTGATTAAAATTCAAAATTCTACATGCAGAGAATCAAAGAAAAAAAAGAGAAGAAGGAAGTAGGAAATTTTAGGCTTCACTCCTAGAGCTTCTTAATCAAATCTAGAGTTGGAATTCAATTCAAAAGCTGCCGATTGCTGAAGCTTTAGTGAACTTGTATCCATTGAACTGAAATAGCTATGTGGCTATACATATACATTTAAAGTAATCCCAAGTACTCCAGCATGGCTTGAACAAGATACTTCAGTATTATTAGGAAGGAAAAAGATTTTAAAGCCGATGAGTTGGGCAGAATTCCTTAACCGACTGCTTCTAACTGTTTAATGTATGCCAAATATAAAAAAGTGGGACCTTCCACTTCCTTGTCTCTTGCATTAATGACCAATCAAATGTATTCGGTCAAACAATTCTGCCTAACTCTTCGGCCCAAATATCACTACTCTATTAAGAATATGACTATGTGACCTACTACAAATAAAAAATTACCAAAATTCTCGTCTCCAACTTAAATAAAGCATACACAAAATTGAATCTTCTTATAAACTCAAAAACAACAATGAATAACTCTCATTTCTTCTCAAAACTTATTTGGTACGTTGAATGAAATTGCTCATAATTTGCTTTCCCTGAACTTGCTCTTTCTTTTAAGCTAAGGATTGCATTATTCTTTAAACAGACACACACACACACACACTAAGGATTGCATTATATGGAGACACAGAACCCGAATGTGTTGCATTATTCAATCTGATATGAAAGGACACTACTCTCTGAAAATCTCCCACTTCCTTCTAATAATATTTTAACCACAGATTTTTATTTTTTATTTTTTAAATAAAATTTGAAATAGGCCGTCCCAGAAACATTGAATTTGCAGAGATAAAGTGCATATTCACCAGAGCTCCTGTTGATAATTCATAAAACCTATAGAATATTATTTTTTCTGTGTTGTGATAAAAGTGAAATGGAATTTGTAACACAGTGTTTGTTGATTAGTATTTTGTTAATAATAACTTTAAAAATGAATGTAATGAATCTATAGGATAATAGGACCACCAACATCCAAGTTGTGCCTCATTATGAGAATAGTGGAATAAAGTAATAGCTTTGTATACTCCCAGGAAGTACGTGATACAATCTTTAGTAGTATCCAGGTGTGCTTGTATACCTGCTAGACTTTTTTGAATCTTTCGAATCGATGATATTAAACAATAAGGGAATTTTGTTATTAGTCCTTATGTATACATAGCATTTTAAGGGGAAAAGATGGTAATTTTAGTATTATTATTATTTTATTGTGCACATTATAATCCTTTTTTTTTTTTTTTGTTGTTGTTGTTCCCTCATTTGAAGGAGGCTAACCCAACTGCCCCTGCTTTAGCTGTTAAAAAGGCTGAGGATGTGGTGAGCACGATGCTTGCCAAGGGATTCGTCTTGGGAAAGGATGCCCTCAACAAGGCAAAATCTTTTGATGAGCAGATCCAATTAACATCGAATGCCACTGCTACAGTTGCTTCCATTGATCGTAAGATAGGGCTGAGTGAGAAGTTAAGCATGGGGACATCTGTGGTAAATGAAAAGGTGAAAGAAATGGATGAGCGGTTCCAAGTGTCGGAGAAGACAAAAACTGCCTTTTCTGTTGCTGAGCAGAAGGCTAGTAGTGCAGGGTCTGCCATCATGAGCAACCAATATGTATCTGCAGGAGCGTCCTGGGTTTCAGGTGCACTGAATGCAGTTGCAAAGGCAGCTGAGGCTGTGAACATGATGACCAAGGAGAAGGTGGAAAAGGCCGAGGAGGAAAGAAAGGAGATTCTTCACAAGGAGAGGGCAGCAATGGTTAACGACTTTGCACAGATACATCTTGACGAGACTTCAGTTGGAGAGCCTCCCGTGGTTGCACCTAAATCAGCCGAAGACAGCAAGCTTGAAAATATATGATTGCTGCCATCCCTCCCCCCGACCCCCTATACATTTGGTTTCTGTAAACTTGGTTCTTTCTCAATTTGTTCCACAATTTGTTGTGGAAATTATTGGGTTGTATATGCTTTATATCCCAGGGCTGTAATTTATGTAAATTGCTTACCATTAGGAGTCATTGTACTTATGATTTCCAGGATTTCCATTTGGCGTTGTCTATGTTTTACGGAACTCATTATCAGTATTTATAGAAAATATCCTATATGTTTTATATGCTACCATTGAAGTGGCTTCTAGATTCCTACTTAGTGTGTGCATAAATTTTACAATCATGCTGTCGGGTAAAATAGATTTTTGCTGTTGTGGCTTTCAAAAATTCATTAATTTTACGATTAGAATAACTGAGGTTCAATCTCAAGTTAAGAACATTGAAGGTTGCTGCACTTATCATGTCCAACCATGTTGCCACATTTTCCGTGCATTGCTGTTTCGAAAATATATCAGAACATCTCTATTCCACTGAACAAGATTGCTCGTCTTCATTTAAGGCAGAGTACAAATACCAATTAGGGCCATTGTTTGGTGCAATGGTAGAAGGTGCACGTGTGAAAATTCAGGTTTGAGTCAAATAGCACCAATTATACAAATACTGTCGAATACATCTGATCCTCGATGAAAAGGAAGGTCTCACGATGGATAATGGCCTTTACTAGCCAAATGTGTCAATGCAAAGAGAGGCTTTCAGCATGTATATATCAATTGAAGAAGTATAAAACCACTGTGGAAGTATACAGAGTGTTGGAATCAAAACACAAAGATACAAATTCTATTTTCGATACTCAGTCATTTGTTGAGCAGTAACAAGCTTCATATGAAAAGAAGGTACATATTTTGTCTACAGATTATATTTTCTTCTATGGACAGCTTACAACAACGACAACGATGACAATGTGTCATTCTCCTGTTACACTGAGAAGGGAATAGATTTGTGTTATTCTATTTCATCAAACTACAGAAAGATTACCTTTGTCTCCTGATCACCCTTGTCTTTGTGATCCAAGTGTGAAGAGGTGTAAGAAAACAAAAATGCTATATTCACATTCCAATGAATGCTAATATATGTACTTCACCAACCATTCCAGGCTCTGCCAAAGACGAACACACCATCACTACTTTCTTAGCTAACTCGAAAACAAACATAATATCGTATACATGTTAAGTTCCAGTAGATTGTAAGTGTGACTGCTTAACAAAGAATAAACGAAATGGTGGAACGATGAACCATACAAATAAAGGTTTTAATTCATACCTTGATGCATCCGGGTAGATCATCATCTTTTGTTCTGGCATGAGTCTGCGAATGTAGATCTTAAAATTAGTAACCTAAAGAAATTCTCTTCCTAATTTCATATACAGAGCAAGGCCAATAAGAACATTGTACAGCTGGTTTAGATAAGTGACAATCATTTTTAACACAAGTGGAAGGAAAAAGAAGTATACACTGCCAAGGCCAATATAAGAATCGCCGTAAATGTTATGTTTTGAACTCTATATGAGATCTTGTGCAACCTTAAAAACAGCTTATGTTACGCTGTTCTTTATATATATATACCTCTATTATCCGATGGCAGCAGGAATCTTGATTGGCTGCTAGAGAAGCAAGGATGACTAGGCCAGCTGCCACAGTTGAGGGCCAGTAACACAGCTGCTCGTGGCCCAGTAGTGCTAGCACTGCCAGGTACTTGGCAGTCTTGTCCACCGCTTCATTAGCTCTTGCAGCTTTTAGGTAGAACCTATAATTTTTTTTGAAGGTAAATTAGAGGACGAAACGTAAAAGGTGAGCTACTGTCTATATAGGGGCTGATGTATCTTTTAGATTGCCCTCGTCCTTGGAACATGATCGGGGGAAGACAGTTTACCATAAGAAGTTGTAGACGGTGGGCAAGAAGCACTGGAAGTTGAGGACTTCCTGCACTAGCCATTCCATGGCCACCACCTCACATCTGCTATACACAATGGTCCCAACAGCGAATGTCTTTTGTCGCACACTGAATTGAAACAAGAAAAATTTATGGTTAAGTTCCCATCATTTGAACAAACCAGTAGCAAACCATTCACGAAGAACCTAATTCTTTCTCCCTAGTCACTCAAAATATTAATTACTAGAGGATAAGAGATGGAAGACTTTTAATAACTTGAACTATTTGAGTTCAGATCCTTATTCGTAAGATGGCAATTACCAAGCTATTGGAAGGAGGATTCATCATACTATAGAAAAAGGACAGCAAATATCAGATCAGTCCAGTCTGGGGTAGATAAATTCCAAAACAGAAGACCATGGTGATCCGGTTTGATTATTACAATGCCATCTTTAGGTCTACTTAAAGCATAAATATCTCAATTGTTGAAAACAATTCTCTTTGAAATGGAAAAAAACCAATCATTGTTGATAGTAAAGTTCTAAAAAATAAAATAAAATCATTAATCACAGCCTTCCTATCTCATTACTCCCTGTTTGGTTAATTTACATTAGCTTTGTGGTTTGGTCATACAAAATATTACAATCATTGTGTTTCAAAATGAAAGATAAAATGACCAACTACAGCGATTGACTGATCAAATATAGCATTGCTCAAATTCCACTTTCTTAGGAGACTGTTTGTTTATCATTTGGTTAACAAATCATATGCTTCTCATGTGAATATAACCTCGTTCATCACGATTCAATCCACAAAGGCCAGAACATGGACTCCATTGAGGAAACTTTTCATAGTTCTATTTGGAGTTGTTACTGTCATTAATTCAATTCAGCTTAGGCTTACCACTGATTGCTCATTCAATTAACGTAATGTCTCACCTTCCTAGCACAGGACAAGTACCATATCAATATTCAATGCTATGATGCCATGTGCGACTCTGATAGGCGCAATCTGATCCCTGAATGTCAAACTAGTATGGCATTTTTAAATTTAAATTTTAAATTGTATCTGTAAAGCTCCTAGGTTCCAACCTTTGCCCTTATAAGACCTAGACACATCTATTATGATGGAAATGACACCTTCATATAAAATATTCATGTTTTTATCTAAATTAATATAGGAAAGGAAGCTAATTAAATTTAGACAGTAATACCTGTTGAGGGGCTGGTTTTCTTCTATCCTGGTGGCTAATGTCAGACAGGCAATTCCAACAATTTGAAGACTCCTCTTGTTTTTGAAGAACCCTTTACATAGGAATCGGTCCAGGAGGTTAACACCAAGAAACATCGTCTCCCTGTGGAGATCCTTTGTGGCAGATTGCTGCTTTAGAGCACCATAGATGAGTCAGCCACTCAATAGTGAAAAGCAAGGAATGTTACACGCAATGATACGCATATCAAACTCCTATAATGGCTTAATTTACCACTGGAAGGTTATGTGCAGTTGAAGCAATAAATGAGAATAAATAGCTGGAAGTACTTGAATCCACAGCTTAGTACATGTCATCACTAAAAGGATTATTTTAAGCCTAGCGCAAATATTGAGCATAAATGTAACAGGGGAAAAAAGGAAGGACTGGTTCCCATGGATTCCAATATCAGTCAAGTGCCACAATGCCTTGTCCTGCTAGTGATTCTATTGAATTACAGAGACCACTGGGAAGACTAGTTTTCTTAATGGGATAATTGCACTCAGTCAAGCAAAGGTAACCCCACTAATTAAAGCTAAAAACCTTTTAGTTGGTAAATGCAACTAGAAGTAAGTAATGTGATAGTGTGCAGAGCCACAGCATTGCACATTTTGAAACGGAATTCAAACCGGTTCATTTGCTCTCTTTCAAATTACGTGCCACCATGTCCTATAGAATTTCGGAGATCACTGGGAAGACTAGTTTTCTTAATGGGATAATTGAACTCAGTCAAGCACAGTTAACTCACTAATTAAGCTAAGAACCTTTTAGTTGGTAAATGCAACTAGAAGTCAGTCGTAGTGTACAGAGCCAAAGCATTGCACATTTTGAAATGGAATTCACAACGATTCATTTGCTTCTTTCGTCCAACAAACTTAACAAAACTCGGATGTAATTGGATCACTTGAGAGAAGAGCAATGTAGCCAATACAAGAAAAGTGGAAGCAATAAAGCGTGAAATGAACGGCATGCTGTATACGAGGAAAACACATGGACAGATATGACTTTTGCACAAGAAGTTATTGTAGAGAAACGTGACATAACAATCTACTCGTCTAACTGAACGTACATTTGCTCTCCAAGCACAACTGGCCAAGATTGAGAAGTAAAATGACATAATAGTCCTTTGATGAACGAATAATTTGCGACTACGGCGATTAATGAAATGCAATCGTGGCTCGAGAACAACTGACCTCAACTATCCAGTGGACCATCTGCAACCGTTGCTGAATGATGAGTTTGCCGTACTCCGTCGCGGAGCAGTACTCCTCCGCGTAGTCGCGTAGATACACTTGCCTTCTCTCTCTGTTTCTGAACATCTGATAGCTCTCTTCGTCTTCCTCATCTTCAAACCTCAACAACTTGAGATCAAAAATGTTAAAACTAAAACACACACACATATATGTACAATTATATATACACACACACGTATACATATACATGAGTATAAATCTAATCATATATGATAAAAAAAAGTTAAAACAAAAACACACCTTACACACACATATACATATACATATACATATACAGAAGCATTAATCTAATCATATATGGAAAATTTTAAATTCAACTTTTGTGAGAAATTACTGTGGATCCATCAGAATAGTCATCTTCAACGCTTGAAGGAACTTTCGAATTTAATGGAGAGGTTGATCTGCAGAATTGTTGACTGTAATGAAGGAACAACGAGAAAGTAGGCGATGGAGGTTTATCACCGACCGATCCCTCGGAAAATTGGCTTCCAGAGTCGAACCATATGGATGGAGTGTAGTCTGAAAAATCTAGGTCTGAACCTTCCAGTAAAATCTCCGATTGTAGTTCAGAAAACAGTGATGAGTAATCTGAAATGTCTCCGTAAGAGAGATGCTCCGAACAAGCGAGATCAGAATCAGCTGCAATGAACTTCGGTTTCTGTTCTATAGTCGATTCGGAATTCGAAATTGTGAAATTCGTATCGGCATTCTTTGGTGACACTTCAGTTCCAGAAACTCTGTTTTCACCGTCTTCGATTGTTTTGTCAGATAATTTGCCGATATATGAACAGATGCTTCCAAATTTCACTTCAGATGACGATTCTAAACCAGAAGTAACTGGAGCAACTTCGTTTTCCTTAATTCCAATTGAATTATCTGTTCCTTTCACATTTTCTCCACCGGAATTCAAAATTTTCCAGGAAAATTCGTCCAAAACTGTTTGAACACCAGAAAATCCAGATCGAGTAATTGCTTCAGAATCTTCAATTCCTCTAATTCGCTTCGCATTGTCAGCTCCATTAGCAGTTCTTCTCCTCAACTTCGAACTTCTATCCACCGATTTCCTTCCAGAACACGACTCAACGCAAGAAGACTCCAACAATTCTACTTCGTCATTTCCAAATCCTCTCTTCTCCTCCTTCTCGCTCTCTCTCTGTCTGCTATAAGACCTCGTAATTCGTCGAGAGTTTTCACACCGAACCTCCTCTTTCGATTCAGATTCGCTGATCTCCTGAAAACCTATCTTCTTCGGAGAAGCTCTAGGTTTACTGATTTTCAAATCATCTGGTCCAACTGAAACTCTGCTTGAATTGCACGAAACATCTCTCGTCAACTGAGAATACGCACTCGAATCAACCGAGAAATCAACCGAGCAAGTTTTCGCATCAGAAAAAATCGAACAGAGAGACGTACGCAGAATCGGAGAAATCTGCCATCGTCTCCGGCGAGGAATCCTGGAACGAAGCTTCTTGAAGAACTGTACTGGATGAATTTTACACTTCATTTTAATCGATTCAGTGATGCTTTTAGGGTTTGATTGGTTGAAGAAACTGTGAGTTATAGAGGCTTGTTCTGAGTTCGTGTGAGTGGACTTGTGAAGTTGAGTGAAGCAGTTAAGAACGTTGGAGAGAGTTGGGGTTGGGACGTGCCGGAGGGTGCATTTTATATGCTGCGGTTTCGTAGGCCCCACAATTGGCGTCGCTCACGTTTTACTCCATTGCACAGATTTAAACATCCCAACCGGGTCGGGCTACAGAAAATTTGAAGCCCATGAAATTGTGTCGGGCTTCGACCAGTACATATGGGACTGGGCTAGGCCCACAATGTCACCCAGCCAACGAACTCTAGGTAAGTCAGTATTGTGCTTTATTTTCGGGCCTAATCCGTTTCTTTGAGAGCAAAAAATGGGATTATATTTAATGCCTCCAGGTAGCATATTAGATTGAGTTGGACCTGTGAATACTTCTCTTCCTTATTTTAATATTGCAGTGGAGCACCTGTGAATGTAAGGGTTCAGAAGCCTGAGAAATCATATGCTTTGACTGGAAGTGAATGAAATAATCGAACACAGAAAAGTGAGACAGAATAAGCTGAAAGGAATGAGAATGAATGGGAGAGAGAGAGAGAGAGAGCATAAACGAGGCGAAGTGGAAGTGGGGTCCTCTTCATATATCCTCCCATGCGTGACCCTTGGGGGGTATTTATGGGGCTCATGACTTGGGTATATGACAACTGTCATCCACCACCTGCCATCATTTCGGTTAAATTACAAATATACCCCTAGAGGGTCGCGGACCCTTTGTATCCACGAGGGGCGTTTATGGCACGCAGATGCTGGATCTGCACGTCCATTAGTCGCACTCTTATACTGTGTAATTTAACGAACCTCTCTCTCAATCCTCCATTCCACAATCAACCCATTTTCTCGTTTGGGATTATGACGCCTCATGTCCAGGTGCGACACCATAATCGCCTAAGCTATATTACTATGCACAAGTAAACATAACTTCCGGACCTAAATTGTGTTCTTTAACCAGTTATATCTGCTAACCCTTGGTGATAGCCTCACGACTGGCTTTCTCCTATTTTAGCAGCAAAACTTAGTTCAACACTTTCTAGATCAATATTACAGTATACGACACTAGGTTATGAGTTTTGGCGTTAGTGCATTTCGTATTACACCTTGTCCTTCTATCTTTGTGATTGTTTTATCAAGGTATTCTTTAAAATACTCTTTTGCTTCAACCGCATAATCATTGTCTCAATGTGTCGCTACCGTCCTGAGATGTACTAAGAGTTTCTGTATATGATTCTTCCCTCCTTCGGAATATCATATTTAAGGATTCTTAAGATACACCCGCAAGGGATAGTGCCCCATTTTCTCATCCCTAAAGCATTATAAATTCCTATATATATATATATATCCCAATATGTTGTAATGGTCTTATAAATCCCACCTTAATCCTTGCAAATCTATAAATTGGATGCGGATGAGGTTTACCTGCACTGTTGTCCAAATGAAGCCTACCTGCACCATTATGCGGATGAAGTCAACCCGCACACTAACTTTCCTTACATAACTTTTTTACTAAAGTAATGAAACAACATGCTAACTTTCCTTTCATTACTTTAGTAACAAGCTTTTATTTAGTAGTCCTAAAGCTTTTGTCAAAGTCAAATCTTCCATTACATCAAACTGTCCTTGCATATACATATATTTGTTATATATATACAATCTCCTTTATATATCTGTCTTTACTTCCAAGTTTATACTAAATCCCCTCCTACTATCAATTAACTTCAAGTACCAACGACATCATCCAATCCCATCAATTATAATGACCCACGAATCTCTTTAATGAATATATAAGTATAGTTTTGCATCTTTTTATCCTCAAAGTACCTTTAGTGTGTCTCAACCATTGACTCCTTTAACCTTTTCTGATAACCTAAGGATCATCTTCAGAATCTAATTCCCCTCTGTATACAATCATCTATCACAATCTTGTGGATGAGTCTCATTCGCACCCAATCTACAGTTGCCCCTTGCATTCTTTGATATTTTAATGGCAGATGAATGCAATAAAAACTGGCCTAAATTTGCTCAATTCGCTATAGATTGGTTTCCAAAATGTGCTTCAGTTCAGCTACCAGGATAGTGCATCGCTTATTATGTGAGGACCGTGTCATCTTTTCCTTTTTTCGGAATTTTTCTTTTTATTTTATTTATTTATTATTTCTTTTCTTATTACCTTAGGGTTTTGGAGGACCCGATGTAGGGTTTGGTGTCCGGAGTAGATTTTTGACATTTTATATATTTAATTTATTTTATTTTATTGTTAATACATAGTTTAATTGTGCAACAAAGCATACTTAGTATATTATGTTTTGTGGGGGTATATATGCATTATTTCCTTGAGAGACATTTTCGTTTTTAGGGGTCTTTGTGCGATTATCTTTTGGAGATATTTTTGTTTGGGGACTTTTTGTAATTATTTTTGGGAGATATTTTGTGGAGGGACGGTTTTGTAATTTTGGAAAAGTTGTGACAAGTGTCATTTTTTCATTGGCTATGTGTCGGCACTTGGTTGGTGACATGTGGAGGGCTCGGATGATGCCAAGTCTAGGCTTGACTTTTGTGTTTTGTGTGGAGGCTTGGGATTGTGACAAGTGTAGAGTTAGAATGGTTGTGTGTGTAAGAGAGGTAGTGCTAGTCATGTATAAGTGATACATATCACATTGTGAGTGGGATTTGTAGTGGCTTCATCTTTTTCCTCTCACATTCTCTCTCTAAGCCACCATTGTTACTTATCTTAGAGCTTATTTTGCCCACCTTCTACTCATCTTTTGACTTCACCATTAAAGGACAAAAACTTCCTTGCACCTTGGACTGCAAGACCTTTCTTTTAGATTTCATCTTTGCTCTTTTATTTTTGGATTCTAAAGAGTCTTTCTCTAGTGAGGTTTTATCATTTGTTGTATGCATGTTATGTAAGTAGTAATAGGAATCATGAGATTATCTTTCTTAAGTTAAGTCCTTATATTATTTTCAAGCATGTATATTTATTGTCTTGTGAGTTGTTATCCAATTAGTAGAATTAAGACGATATTTTACTAATTTCTTGAAATGTAATTGTTGTATTCTTATATTCTTTTACCATTATAGATTGTTAAAAACTCATTAAGTGCTTGTGTGATTATGTAGCGAAGTATTGAGACATGAAGTGCTAGTATGATTTAATTTCTCTATGTTGATATTTCAATGTTAGCTTATGTATATAAATGACTTGCTAATACCATGTCATATTTAGTCTTTGGGACTTAGGCCATGAAATGTTTGACCTTAACACCTTGTGTGTGCATGGAAGGTGAATTTTGTGCATTGTATACATATAATTATGTTGTGGACATTATCATTGATTTTTGGAAATACTTGGGGCATTGTTACTTTGACATGGCTAGAGTTCGGCTCTAATGCAAGAGGTATGAGTTCTCCCCAATTATAGTGGTCACTTGGATAGTTCCCGGTGGGTTAGTATCCTGAAATAACTTATTTTGTCTTGGTTGCATTACATAATCAAATTTGATATCCAAGATATTCCTATTATGTGATTTCGTAATTCATTTCCAAGTTGACAATCCTATGTAATTGTGACTTGTGGTTTTGGTATTGGATATTCTAATTTGGCTAAATACGCTCTTATGTTGTGGATTTTGATTAAAATGTTTCAATGTTAGTTCTAGGATGATCCCTTAGATCCACCTTTGAACTAGACATTAGGAGGCATATTCCACATGTGATGATTTATGTTATACTTGCAAAGTCATTGAAACATTAGATTATCCGCATAATGCATTTTCCTACGGAGTAATTCAATTTACTCACACCCGTTGATACATATAGTTTCAGGTAAGGAGGTGCTCTTCATGGATGACCATTATCCTTAGCTTGTTGTGGACTTAGTGTCATGAACACTTTTATTTTGTATACATGTAAAGTGTTTAGCATGTCTTTTGGTGTAGTTTTGTAACCATGGGTGTTTAATATATATTTTAGATCATTCTATGTAATAAGGCCTTAGAGCCACTTGTTTATTTCATTCTCATATGTAATAAACACTCATGTATGTATTCACACACGTCTACATATTTAAATTCTATGTTGGACCATTTCATGTTGGGGACTTAAGGCTTGTGTGAAGCCTTTGTGTTTTCTGGTGTGCAATAGAGTTTTCTGCTATTTTTCGAGCTATTTCGGTCGACCGACTCTTTATTTTGGACGACTGGTTGCCTTTGAATGTATTTCCAGTTTTGGGCAGTAGCCAAATTATTGTAGGGGCCAGAACCGACAAACCTTTTTTCATATTTCGGACAACCAAAATACTGGGCCTCATTTCGGTAGACCGAAATGACATTTCGAATGACCGAAATGTCTGCTACTTTGTTTGGTCTTTTGCCTATGCATGCTAGGACCCTTATATCACTTCCATTTCATATTTTTGACCTTGTATGAGCCATTTTATAGTGTTTACGACCTAATTTGACCTAGTTTAAAATTATTATTATCAAATATGGTAACATCGTATTAAAGAATATTATTGTAAAATTAGTAATTGAAATATTTTTAAAAATATTATTACAAAATAAATAAAAAAATAATTTAATTATGAACAATACTTAATCTAATGTGTCACCAAACAATACTTATTCTAATGTGTCACCAAATAATTAACATATTTTACATTGACCGCAATTTTTTGACAAAATGTTTTTTATTTATTTTTTTTTATTTTTATTCCAACAAGAATTCTAAACGGACTCTTATGCTATGTTCGATAGGAAGGAAAGACCAAATATTCACAAATTTTTATTCGCCCAAATATGGATGGAAGATAGGAGAGAAGACCAATAGGCGCCTATTATAGACGTTTATAAATATTTAATAAATTTTATAAATAAAGTAAGTGATGAGTTTAATGGTAAAAATAATTTAAAAGAATATCTTTCATTTTATCCTACAATTTAAATTAAATTGTTAATTTTTTCATTCTCTTTCATTCAACCAAATAAAAAGAGAAAAATATTTAATTTCTTGATGTCTCAGTCATCCCTTCTTCTCTCCCTTTCATTTAATTTTTTTCTTTCTCACCAAATGAAGTATTAATTTGTAAATACTTTGTATTGAAAGTAAGAGACCAAATTGCTGACATAATTATTACGTGTCAAAATTAGTAGGACTGATTTAAAAAAGTTAAATATTTCCGGTAAAATGACTTACAATTAATTAAAAAAATAAAAATAAAATCTTTTAGATCTTTGAGCATGGGCTAAACTCGGCCCAACTCATCCCAGAACTTCGTTCTATTGGGCCATCAGCTTCTATATGCACACACATATTTCAATGCTAGGGTTTGTAAACTAGGGTTTTGCAGCGACGATACTAAATTCTATATATAATAAGCCCCCTTCCTTCAAAGTGCTCGTCTGTGTTCCCCATCAGGGTAAGGTATGGATCTTTCACTTCGTTTTCTCTTGCTATTTCCTTTTGTGTGTCTTTGCTTCTGGATTAGTACGGTGGTTTTCTCTCTGGTGATGATCAATAAGAAAACTTTCGTTCTACTGAGAATAATTTCATGCGGAATGTTTTTGGAGACCTGAACTGAAGAGACACTTCCGATTCTTATAAATTGTATATCTTTTTCGTTTTTGCTTATTTGCTTTGAGTTTTTGGACTGAAACCATATAAATATTTAACTTTATCTATGTGTTTATGTTCATAATCTGCACTCTATCTATGCGTTTATGTTCATAATCTGCACTCTTATTTAGAAATCGAATTTCATGTTTATTTTTGTTTCTGATTTCCTATCAAGTGAAGTAATTGACGCCTTACATTCAACTGATAGTAAGAATGGGAATTTAAATTTCCTTAATTTTTGTAAATTTAGTTTTGAAGCTCTTAAATGTATTTTCGAATTGATTTGGGTTTTGTTATGTTTTTAAGTGAGCATCAAGGTATTTCTTTCTGGCCTCTGATGATGATGAAAAAAATAAAACTTTCGTTCTTCTGAAAAGACCCATGTGGAAAATCTATGGAGACCTGAACTGAAGGGCCTGAATGAGATCCTTGAATGCAACACGTTTGTTTTTTTAAACTTTTGGACCAATCTTTGTATACCTGCTGAGGAACAAATATATATATATATATATATATATATATATATATATATTTTGCACATCAGGTTATATTGTCTTAGGTTAGAAGTTGAAATAGTTGTATTAATGAATCTGGACAGTTGCATATTCCATTAAGTGCACATTTTTGCTTTAATAGATTTTACATGAATCCATTCATTGGACCTAAAATTTGTGTGTGTCCTTTCTGCAGTCTTGCCCCCAACTAAATTTTGGGATGAGGTGCTAGTTTTTTTTGTTACTTATCAAAAAAAAATGGTGCTAGTTTGTTTGTTGGTCATTCACACTCTGAATGGTGTTCATATTTTAATATTAATGGTAGCTCTCATGAAGCTTTGAATATTGTGTTGGTCATATAATTTGTTTGTTCATTTTATTTTAAATACTAAAGATCTCTCTTGTCTCTAAGGATGATTAGAACAAAACTTTCGTTCTTCCGAGACAATCTATGCGGAAAATTTTGGAGACCTGAACTGAAGAGACTCAAAGAGAGATCTTTTAGTGTGAAATTTTTAATGTTTTACTTTCCAATCTTGATTGTTTAATCAGCCCAGATGATATGATCTCTCCTCCCTATAGAAGAAGTTGAGTGTTCAACTTCTATTGGAGGCAATATTGTGTGGGGTGCACACTGCAAATAAGAAATAATAGTAATATTATTTTTTACAATCTCATAGTGGAAAAGAAAAGGTGTTTTGCTGGCTGGAAAAAAGAAAGAATGATAGAGAGGGGGGTTTAAGAAAGAAAAAAAAAAAAAAAAAAAAAAAAAAAAAAAAAAACCTAAGGGACAAGAGGATTAGTGTTTTATTAGGAAAGGAATTAGGCCAGAGACAAAAAAAATTATTGTGAAAGTAAAAAAAAAGTAGTATTTAGGGTTTGTGAAGAACAAGAAGAAAGAAAAGAGGACTAAGAATAAGAGAGAAAATAGGAGAAAGAGGAGAGAGAGACCATTCTTCACATATGGTCATGATCGTGCAAGTTTTCGAACCTTTGAACTAAAATATAAGTATAAATTTTCAATTGTTTGAATATAAAATTGTTGTATTAAACAAGTTTGTGAGTAATTATGTAATTAAAAACTCCTAAAATTTTCTTGAAAATCCCCAAAGAGTGGGACATGTCGTGTCAGATGTGTATCCACGGATATTCGAAAAAATATAAAATACTCTGCACATATTTTGGCGCAACCATATTGGAGGAGATACATCAGCAACCATATTGGAGGAGATACATCAAATCTCATGAACTAAGGAATTTTGATTTCGTATGTACGGTTTTTTTTTTTTTTTTTTTTTTTTTTTTTTTTTTTTTTTTTCTCTATTTAGGATTATGCATATATAATCATATCGTATATTCGATCCATGATTTTAAGAACACAGATCGTAATCCTAAATACAAAAGAATCATATATTCATCATATTCAAAATTTCTTAGTTCATTGGATTAGACGTATCTCCTCCAATATAGAATAAATGCTTGATGTTGATTGCTGATAAATTTTTTGGCCTTTTTTTTATTAACATTTTTTGGCCTTTTTTTTATTAACATTTTTTTTTTTTTTTTTTGGCTGCTAATCTTTTTATTATTTCATTATATCACTTCCTGTGTTTTGGGTGGTTAATTTCTATTTAAAAATGGAATGTAACATACGTTGGAGCCATTTGATGACCCTGGGGATGTTCAAACGTGGCATAGTAACTCTAGTTCCATGAACCTGAGAAATTAACATGGTATGACTTCATCTTTTAAGTTCCTTGAATTTTCAATCTGTTTTGTTATTTAGAGGACCTATCATTGAAGATCCATTTTCTACTTTCTTTTTTCAAGTTATTTCATGAAGGAGACACAAGTATTCACTCTTCACAACTGTGCTAAAAGAGTCAATGTCCCAGCTTTTATACTAGTTCCATCATCTACTAACAATATACTAAATTGATTCAATCATTCAAGTATAAAAGGTCACATTTGTTTCATTTTCCATATTGGAGTGCATTCAAATCGTAATATAAACGAATAAGGCAAAAATGTTGCCATGACGGAGGCTTATAACAAAAGTTGTAGATGACAAGTTTGTTACAATTTAGTTGAAAAGTGATTCTTGAAGCAGTTTTTCCCAGTCAAAGCCATGCATGAACTTGCTTTCTGAAGTATCTGAAGTAACTATTTTATTAAACAATACTTTTTAAGGAATGTACCTCTCTTCTTAAGGATCCTAAAGAACAAAGATATTTTTTCTGCTCTCATGATATTTTTTGTACTTCAATTATCTGTATCATCCTAGTATCCTGAAAGATAATTTTGAATTCTGTATTATACATTTGAATACCCCATTCATATGGGATTGAGGCAAGGATGATGATGATTATTCTTTTGAAATTGCAAATATTGTGGAGCCAACTCTTCAATGCTTGATCCCTGTATTCGACATCAACTAAAGAAAATTAAAATTTTTGTTCTTATTTATGTTATTTATATATTTTTTGTTATATATAAAAATATTTGTGTAACTTTGGGTGTATTTGGGAGATTGTGCACATTGTTACTTCGGTCAACCCACTAGAATTAATTTGCTTGTGCACTTAAGGTACCGCATTATCTTTTCCGTTATACCGGTTTTTTTATCTTAATTTTAGGAGGACAAAAAAGGTACCATGAAAAATTTCCAAGAAGCTTTGTCTCTTAGTGCTTTTATCCTTTTGATTTTGTAGATGTGTGAGGGTATGAGGCTTTTGTATAAAATTTCAAAGCTTGTGGGTGCGGCAAATGTACAGTTTTTATATTAATTACAAATATTTCTAGATTGTTATGACATGATTATATGTCCAAACATCTAATACTTGTTTACTTGCTATTTTTTTTTCCGTCTGCTGACTGACTTTTGGTTGCTTTGTTTACTAGTGATTCTTACGCCAAGAGCTTTGGTTGAAGAAAATTTCAGAAAGCTCAATTTTTCAAAGATGAGGTAGTTGGCTAGTTTCTGTTTCTTTGATTGAGTTAGTTAATAATTTTTAAAATATTTGTTCAAACTATGTGTGTGATTTTGGTTACTTAAGAAACTGACTGCTGTTCCTTTTGCTCTCTCTTTCTCCAGCCTACCAACGGAAGAGAATGTAAGTTAAACTGCAGTTTCATCAATACTGCTTGTTATAAAATATCTGATGTTAATTATTTATATATGTAGCCACATACATGTGTACGCATTATGTATTTGGACATGTTCTACTCAATGCCCTTTGGAGTACCCAGTCATTCATTTGGATTTTGTTATATTTAACAATTCTCATTCATGTTCTATATTTCTGTTATGACACCATAGTTTCCTCTATTTTTCTTCTTTTCTTTTTTAGTATTTAGATTAGAAACAAATGGTGAATTCCTTATAGTCTTTATTTCTGTAAAATCTACTTACTTTCCACTGCACTCCAGTTTTATCATCTTTCATACCCCTGTTCAAATGATGATATGGCACAAAAATGGATTATGACCCTTGATTCAATCATATGAGGTTTTTGGATGGACTTCTCCCACCCTGCAGTACTGGGAGTTGCTTTTACTATGAAGCTTTTCTATATTTTTTACAACATGAGTTGTTTGTTTGCTCATCCGTTGTTGAGTGCTGCACGTGCTGTCTGCGGGGCATTTGGATGTTCAAGGGAAATTGAAATTGAGGGTGTAACTTGAATATATGCGGGTGGAAATTGAGGGGGTGTAACTTCGACACACCCCTTCACGTTCTTTTGGCCCAACATGTGTTTCCAATTTTAATTATCAGGGTGATGGTGAGGTTTGAACACGAGACATCTGGCTCTGATACTATGTTAACAACTATTTACTAAAAGCTCAAGTTGTTAGAGAGGGTGTAAATTAAATATATAAAACCTTCAACAGTGTTTTTGTGTGGATTTTGGCCTCGTGATTCCATCATATGGATTTTTGGATGGATTTTTCCCTTAAGTGAGCGTTACCTGAGAGTTGCTTTTACCTTAGTGTGTTATTTTCTCATCATAGTATCATACATGAGTGATTTAGTCGTTTGAGGGAATTAGGAAATTAAAACAGTCCATTGTGTGTTAATATAGGCATTGTAATGTTCCATCATTTTTCTAGCAATAATTTTTTGAAAAATGTTAACCTTTTTTAATGCCTATTGAAAATTCTAAAGCTTTTCAATTACCATTAAATTCCTGATTTGCCTCTCTCCATGCCCCTCCCTGAAGTGACCTCTCTTATCGTGCAAAAATGATATTTTCCTTTACTGTCCGTCTCATTTTACTGTTAGTTCCAAGAATACTGTTATTATTAGTCATGATTTATCAGTGCTTATTGGAGCTGTTTGCTGCAGGTTGGCAAGAATGAAGAAGAAGAATTTAACACTGGCCCAATATCAGTTCTGATGATGAGCGTTAAAAATAACACACAGGTAATTGTTGATGGTACTTCCAACAAAAAAGGTCTTGTTTGGTTTTAGGTTCATATTCTGTCCATGAGGAATGTTTTTTTTTCTTTGCCAGAAATTGAGCAAACGAGGATTTTCTATAGCAAAGGCATCTTTTCTTTCCTTCCTAATTTAAGTAATTTGCCTTTCTCCAACAGGTGCTCATTAATTGTCGTAACAACAGGAAGCTTCTTGGCCGTGTGAGAGCTTTTGATCGACATTGCAATATGGTTCTCGAAAATGTTAGGGAGATGTGGACTGAGGTTGGTTTCATCTAGGACTCTTCCCCTTTTCACAATATTATTCTTTCATTTTACCTTGTTAACAGAGATGCACCTGCTCAAATTCATGCCATCACGGACATATAGTTCTGCAACTTATTACTTCAAATTCTTTTTGCAGGTTCCAAAGACTGGGAAAGGCAAGAAAAAAGGCCATCCGGTGAACAAGGACAGGTTCATTAGTAAGATGTTCCTCCGCGGAGACTCTGTTATCATAGTTCTTAGGAACCCCAAGTGAAAAGCTAAATTAAAATTTTGACGTTCCTTGTGTAGGCAACTTGGGCATCGTGATTTCACCATGTTATCCGGCTCTACCAAGAACCATTATGGTTTTCTATAGTATTATTGCGTATTGACCTATTATTGTAAAAAGATAGGTAAGCTTGTCGTAGCACTTAATTTCTCAGAAGTTTCTCTTGCAAACGTTATGAGGTATGACATTTCTGACATCAACTTAATCTGATTTATAGATCTGAAATTTTTCTGTCGCTCTTGTTCATGAAGGTTTTGGAATGGATACAAAATTGTTGAATTAAAAATTACTCAGATTGAGTGGGAATATACAAAACCCTAAATTTGTAACGAGTGGAGTTTGATTTAAATATGAAATGAGTGGAATTTACATTTAGGTCTTGCTGATCCAATGATTTGGATTTAGTCGATTTGGCAAGCCAATATATGGAAAGCACTGATGGAACTTTTGATTTTGTGCTTTGTGGGCGTGACCCGAGGTTGTGTGTAGTGGTCAATTTCAGCTTTGATGATATGTACTGCAAGTGGTGTGTATTGTTTAAGTATGTGTTTGCGGATGAGACAGTGGATGGTAGGTACCGGGGTGGATCGTGTTTTAGAGTTAAAAAAACTAAAGTTGTATTTTGTCTCACAGGGGCGGCTCATAGGCAAAAATTAATAAGTGGCATTTTTATATCATAATATTTAATATATTAATTATTAAATAATAATTAATTAAAAATCATTCTTTTTGCTTTTTGAGATCAAACTTACTAATTAAATTCTTATATTCAATTGTGGTTAAAATATCTTTTTAAATAAATAATGTAGTCAATTTATTTAATTAATATAGTTGATCGTAGATATGATTTTATTGTGAATCAAGTTATTGTTATTTTTTTCTTTCAGTATTGTATAATCTTCAATTCTTTTAGATGATTTGATTGTTTATTTGTTGTATTTTTATCTAAATTTTTTTTTAGGTTTTGATTATTAGTTGTAACAAATTTATCAATAGCTCCCTTTTGATATTGAATTAGTTTATCTATTTTTTTTTTATTTTTTTTATTTTTTTAGTTTTTAAAATCCCGATTCATACTTTCTAGCATACATATTAAAAAATATGAAAAAAAAGATAGTCACAAGACTCACAATTCACAAACAAATATATAAAAAATATAGATATATATAAATTTATAATAACAAAAGTTAGTAAAACTAAAAAATAATTAAGAAAAAAAGAACAATATAACTTGATTTAGGAATGTTATTCTAGTTATTGACATGGGAAAGAATGACGACAATTAGAGATACAATCAAATATCTGTGACTAACCCCTCTTTTCTCTTTTTTCCCTTTTTTTAGAATAAGGGAGGAAAGAGGCTTCAAATTCTTTAATAAAAGAATCTTTAATAAAAGAAAAGTGCGTTTAAATTGAGATTTTATATTAATGAATATTGAGTCGAAAAGAAAGAAAATTGTAAAGTTGTAATGAGAGATGACTGAAAGTAATTTGTTGAGATTGTCGAGAATAAAAATATAAAAAAGAGAATATGGAAAATTTCTTCGCTTCCCTCATATAACGGCTAAATATTTATTGTGTGATGCAACTTACCGAAAAAATATTAAATATAAAGAAAAAAAAGAAAAAGAGAAAAAAGAGATGTGTATAAGATAAATAAAGAAAAAAAATATTAATGAGATATTTTAAGAGATGAATAAAAAAAATGAGATATTATTAGGAGATGAATAAAACAAATGAGATATTAAAGTTTAATGAAAAGGTAAGGAGAGAGAAAACAAAAAAATAAGATTTTTTTAGGAGAAATTTTTTAGAATTAGTGTTGGAAACAATTACAATATATATATATATATATATATATATATATATGAGGCAATTATAATATTTTGAAATCTTTTTATTGACTGGGGCTTTCGACGATCGTCTAACTCGCCTAAGGCTCGAGTCGTCCCGTTCCAACATGCATTCTCGATCTCATAAAAAAAAAATGGCTTCTGGTCCAGCATTTAGAGAGAAGATGTCAACGAATCTCTGCATTATTATGTCTTTTGTTAACTTTTTGCACGTTGATGCATTCCACTAGGGCTTGTTGAATCCATTATCCACAGGACCCATAATCAATAAGCTTTTGGCACCCAGAAAGCTTCACTGTTTCTTTGTGTGACGGCAATGTCGAAAAGGTCCTAAAATTTGAATGTATATTTAAATGTATTTTTTGTTGCACTTTCAATATACAACGTGAGTAAAAAAATGTGATTTCAAAAATATATTATGCTTATGTTTGGATGCACGTAGAATTGGAGTTTTGAAATTAAAATTAATGGATGCATATAGAATTGGAGTCTTGAAATTAAAATTAATGGAGAAAGTAATTAAAACAATAATACAAAATTTTGCAATATGCAATTAATACATTAATTTTTTTTTTTTTAGATTGTCAAAGTTATTCAACATATATATTACTAAGAATTAAGAAAAGATATCATTTAACAAATTATTGTTGATGCATTTAAATTATTCTGGTACCCTTAAATGCATTTAAATTAACCATCAAATCAATAGTATTGCATTCTCGATCTAAAATTAACACATTGTTTCAAAATTTAATTTACACAATTAACTCCTGAAATAAGTTATTGATATCTTCAAATAATGTATTAGCTTAATCAAATAAAGTCTTATGAAATAATTTGTTGATATTCTAAATTTGTTAAATATATGTGACACAAAAACACATATTGATGCCACATAAAAATCAAATTAGTACTTGCATATCATTTCTCTTAAAAAATATATATATACAAAATCAAATAAATAAAAAGTAAAAATAAAGGATGAGGACTGCCTTAACTTTCCGTTTCAAGGAATATGCAGGCATGTACCAACAAATCTAAAAAGCCATCGCCCGACACCCACCATTGGAATATATGCACAACACCGCTATTAAAGAGGCTTTTCTGTTTGTACTCTCTCTCATTACTCACTCACTTCCTCTCTCTCTCTCATAACAACCACCAAAACAAGTAGGTAGAGAGAGAGAAAAAGCTTGAGAGATTCAGTTGCAATTAATGGCGCAGATTGGGACCACCCCTGAATCAGAATCAGAGAAGTTGCTTTTGAATCAGCACACTGAGAAGCACTTCACCGCCGGCGAGGTCGTCCGTGACATCATCATCGGCGTTTCGGATGGCCTCACCGTTCCCTTTGCCCTCGCCGCCGGACTCTCAGGTGCCAACGCTACTTCGTCCGTCATTCTCACCGCCGGCATCGCCGAGGTCGCCGCCGGCGCCATCTCCATGGGACTCGGCGGGTATTGTGATACTTGTTTTGTGGTTTTACTGTAATTTCGTGTTTGATTTTGGATTTCGTTCGTGGTTGGAGATGCATGAACACTGAACAGGTGGCGAATCACGGGATCATATTAGTGTTTCCTTGAAATGGGTGCAGGTATCTAGCGGCCAAGAGCGAAGCTGATCACTACATAAAGGAACTCAAGAGAGAACAAGAAGAGATCATCACTGTCCCTGACACAGGTCCAAAAACTAATCACATTATACTAATTCACACACACACATATATATATATCTCTCTCTTTATGTGGTCATTCTTGCCTTCTTTTCCATATAATTTTGTCTTGTATTACATGTTTATATTATTTCCGCCTCTAATTTTTCTTTTTTTTTACGAAAGTTATCTCTTCTGGTCACTCCACCCAACCATCCTAACATCCTCATTTATCATTTTTGCTTAGTTGTATATAAAATCATGATCTCTTATCTACCGATGAGCATGAAATTTATCTACACGAAGCATAATTTTAAATTTTAAAAAAGTAATTATCAAAAACAAATAATAATTATATTCAACGATTATCATGTTTGGTGTGGATAAATTTCAGAGGCTGCTGAGGTTGCGGAGATATTGGCACAGTACGGTGTAGAGCCGCATGAGTATAGGCCGGTGGTGAATGCTCTCAGGAAAAACCCACAAGCATGGCTTGATTTTATGATGAAGTAAGTTTATTTCATCAAACCATCATCCTTTTTCTTTACCATAAGCCATTCATGTTTTTACACTTACTCAGTAATGTAGGTGATTTTGGAAACAATCTCAATTGTCATTTTATACTAAAAGTGACTTGGTAACATAGTTTTATTGAATATGTTCTGTAAATACATGAAAAACATTTGTTTATACTGTAGAATGATGCTACTATAATGCTTTGTTCATCTTTACATACAATTTGATCTTCCTCAGAAATCTTATAGTCTGCCAAGATCCATGGCATGAAAAAACCAGTGATTGAACAAAACTGTTGTTGCAAGTGCAGGTTCGAACTTGGATTGGAGAAGCCGGATCCAAGGAGAGCACTCCAGAGCGCGCTGACAATCGCAATTGCTTACATCGTGGGTGGATTAGTACCCCTTTTCCCTTACATGTTCATCCCAGTTGCTAGTAAGGCTGTGATTGCATCGATCGTTGTAACCTTGGGGGCATTGCTAATCTTTGGCTATGCAAAGGGTTACTTCACCGGAAATAAACCGATTAGGAGCGCTCTGCAGACTGCTCTGATTGGAGCCATTGCGTCTGCAGCTGCCTTTGGCATGGCCAAGCTTGTCCAACCATAGACACCACACCCGGTGTCATCATCCAATAAAAAAGCAGCTGCTCTTTCGACACAGTCGTTTAGCTTCCTTCAAACTTCATTTTATTTTAATCATGTTTGCTGCAGAATTATGAGCCATCAATCTTAGCATGGTAAATATTAGTTCATGTTGGTTATGTTGCTTTTTGGTCCTTGGTGATGGATGGTTGTTTTATTGTCCTTCTCAATGAGGCTTTTAGTTTTGTTCCAATTACTAATTTGGGTATGTGAATAGGATCAGCTTCTATATAAATCCTTGAAAAACAAAGATAATGCAGCATCTCTATATTTTGAAGTTGAGGTGTAGTCTTTTGGATTGTAGGGAATGGTAAGATGAAAGTTGGTTCTAGTTAAAGCTTTTATATCTAAACGTGCACCACATGTCAACCGGTTTATAACTCTTTTTCAAGAGTCCGATACCATTACACACCTCCCTAAACCGACCAATTCGGTCGGTTTACACCAAAATATTCGTTCGAGTCCGTTACACCGCAATTACGAACCATGGTCCTCATCCATAAAAAACAGAACGTTAACATTGCTCACCCATATAAAACAGGACTTTAACATTGCACCGAGCAGATTTTCATGGGGAGATGGTAAAATTGCTGAAGAACATCACAATGTAGACAGAGGGAGAGACTTCAAACAATCAAATCATGAAGAACCATAAGCTTGCACTTGACAGCTTATAGGAACTGCATTGGCAAAAGTTATAACTATGCATAATCATACATGTATGCATGCTTCAATAATACAGAGGACCTATAATGATATACAGAAACCTTAAAAACGAAATACCTAGGGTGGCACCGGCACGGTTAATTCATTCCTCTAATTCTATGTCTTGAAAGATCTATTATATAAATATTAACAAAACATGTTGAAATATCATTCAGAAAACAAATTGCTACTGTGACGATCGAAAAGATAAGTGCTGATAGAATCAGAAAACCAGGTTCCATCATGAGTTGTACTGTAAAGAGGTGTCAATTGCCCACAAAAATACCAAAACTTCAGGTCATCTCCTGGTATTATTTAGTATTGAGCAAAGATGTTTTAACGCTTGAGGCGGCGTTGAGAAGCTAGAAGTCCCATTTGTTCAGTTAGAATTACCATATTTTGAGAACCATCCAACTGCATTTTACACGCTGATGTTTCCATCTTCAAAGGCCGAGAGATCTCCAATCCTTCTGCTAAGTTTTCAAACTTAGCAGATTCTTTTAGCTGGGATCTGCAAGATGTTGATTCCATCTCCATTCCAGAGTCAATAGTATCTTCAATATCAAGCTCGGAACCATCGATTTTCTGTAAGAATGGACTAGATAAAAGACGATCCATTGTGCCATCATCATCAGTTAGATCTGGGAGGATAACCATGCCATGCTTATCTGGAGATTGAAATTCTTCCTCCAATGGAAAATCAATATTCATAAAAAAATCGTCATCTGGATTAAGACCCAATTGCAGTGATTCTTCCGAAGTTGAAATTGGTCTATAAAGATCATCCGGAGAGTCGTCAATTGGCCCTTGGTACCTTACGATCATCCCCTCAGAAGGTTCGTGATCATCTGAAACTCGTTTAAGAACACTCTTGCCCGGTTCAGCCACACGCCAGTTATTCTCTCTTGGCTGAAGCAGCTTAACCAAAAATCCAGGGTTTTGCATGGCCATCACTATGAATGAAAGCATCTGCTGCTGATTTTGTTCCATACCTTGAAGTTGATCTCTTAGGACCAGCAACTTACTCTGTGAGCTTTGCTGCTTCTGCCTCAGTTTAGCCAGTTCCTCCATAAGAGCATTTTTATCAATCTGAAGATTCTCAACTTCCTTCCACAGCCCAAAATTTTTATTTTCTTCACGTGCTTCAACATCCTTGTCTTTTTTCTGGGATGACCTCCGCTGATCCAGGCCCTGAGACGATTTCCTTCTACTAATGTTCTTCAACAACTGCTTTTGGCCTTTCATAAATCCTTCATTTGCAAATTCCCAGCGATCAGTATCAATTTTTCTGAAACCCTGAAACATTAAATGTTGCAGATGATCAGTAGGAAATAGATTAACAGTGCAGTGGCTATAAATGTGAGAACATTAACTTCCATAATCTCATCGTTTTTACTAAGCAACAACTAAGGACTTAATCCCATAGAGATTATAAATTTTCACCTGTAAATTCAATGGATGAATTACCTCTCGATCCTTTTTTTCTTACGACACGACAATCAATCATACTGAATCAGATCGGTATCGTTATATATCAACTATTTATTTTTATAATAAATATGCTTATAAGGTGAGAGTACAACTTCTGGAAAAGGCACATGTTTAATGTCTAGATATCCATCTACAAAGACTTATTATTTCTCCTCCTTTTTTCAAAATTTATGTTTATTTTATTTATTTATTTTCATTAAGAAATTACTCTCAAATGACCGGAACTAAAAAAATTGCAATGCATTTGCCGGCTTCCCCTGAAATTACTGCCCCAACCTACCCAATGGAGCCTTCATGGCATTTCCATTTTATATCCTTTACTTCAAAAATTAAAATTAAAAAGCAAAATAAAATGATTTTAAGCCAAAAAATTGAACCAAAAGATATATTATGTCCCCCAGTACTAAAAGCCTCAACTGAAAAGGTAACTTAATGGGGTATTATCTACATTAAAATGTTGACATATGGCTATATTCATGGGAGGATCTTGAACGCACATGAAAGATAACAATGAATACCCTTACCATATATATTCAACCAATGGAGCCATGCTACACACTTCCAGAATGTGATTCTCCACTTAAGACTGATCATGGGAGGCCACACTGCTTTAAACTTTTGGGATAAAAACTAAAAAGTCGACGCACATTATCTAGTTAAGGTTCAAAAGCTATGGATGACCACAAAGATTTTGAAAGTGGCAGCTATAAATGCATCACAATGGTTTTTGCTTTCCTTTCAGAGACAAGTTCTGGCATAGGCATGCAATTATCCACATCACAAGTTTCATAAACATAAATCTATAGCATAAGGGAAAAAAGCTAAAAGGGAGATCAAGGCTAGTAGGATTATGACATGGTTGGTAATCATGGAGAGTAATCTACAGACTTCTTAAATGACCCTGATCCAATGAGTGAGCGGCCCAAGCCAGAATGTCCAAAGCATGAATTAGAACCACACCACCACTCGGTCAGTTCTTTTGCCTATTTATTGACTTCCAGAACCTAAATTTGCACCCTGATTCCTTAGGTGATAAGCTACGCACATCCAATATATGCATGAGAAACATTGTTTCCTTAAAATCTATCCGTCATCTCAATGCCAGAACTAAAAAGAACTTCTTTTCTAAACTACGACTTCTAGAAAGTATTTAATTTGTTAGTTGATACTAATGGTACACAAATAAAAGTTTATTTTGCGTCAAAACTAAATCTGAACTAAAAATTGGAAAAACGCGAGCAGCAAATTTACATTGCCATTAACAAATGGATTCTAACCAAGGAAAAAGAAGGGATGACCAGCAATTAAAATCTTTGGATGATTCTAAATTGCACTACTCAAACTAAGGAAATAGATACTCTAATCCCAGCCAATCCAAAATGTGTTTAATCAGATCATTCTGGAACAACCTCCTGTTCCAGAAAGATCGCAGACTGGTATATCCAAACAGCCTTCCATGCGAACCCACACAAATTAGAAAAGCAATATGCATTTTGTATATGTGTGGGAAGAGGTGGGGCAAAATTTATGTGGCAAAATAGTCACTCAACAAAGTCTTATCTCAACCATTTACGATCGACTACATAAAACCTATTTTACCAATCTATTTTATAGTCACTTTATAGTTATATCACCTTTGTAGCATCACCTTTTATAGTCCCTCAGCCTTACTCTCAATGGGAATCATGTCACTTCCTCTCAATGATACACATCATATAACTATTGGTATTCGTGACCATGGCCAAAGAATCTTAATTGGATTTCTCCAATTTTATTTCCAATTAATGCTACAACCACCATTGAACAGTGTTCAATTACAAAATTTATCCCTTCTTCTCATAGCACATATCCATCTCCGTACTCTACCATTTCGACCAAGCTTATCACTATTATGCTCAACAAATTTATAAAATTTTCATTACGGATAATGTCAATCACACACCACAACAAAAGCACACCTTCTTTTATGCTCAACAAATTTTAAAAATTTTCATTACAGATAATATCAATTACACACACAACAAAAACACTCCTTCCTTTAACCCGTCATTCTTTAGTTCTATATACAACATCATCCTCAATCTCTCCCTACATATGAAAATTTAGCCTAGGTAACAAAATTATTTAATCTTAGCACCTCTTCACATTTGATTTTAACTATACTCTCATATGTGTTCCTAGATTTGTTAAAATTATATTCTATGCATGTAGTTTTAGTTCTTCTTATGTGAAAATCTCTTAATTCTAAGGTCCTCTTCAAACTCGTTACCTCCACGTTATAATGGAGCAATCTTAAAGTTACGCTGGGAACCATCCTGGAGTTAGTTCATCTATGACTAAGATAAAAAGTTATAATCGATTCTGAAGTAAGCCTATAGTGATTGAAAATTTATTTGTTTCCTCTGTAGTATTTCATACCATAATCACAACTCCATTTTCTATGTTCTTTTTCTTTTTGGTAGGCATACAGTCCTTTAACATAAATCTATTTGCTACTCCTTTCTTATTTTGGAACCTGCTTAATTTTCAAAGTACATTAAAAATAATAATAAAAAAATAAAATAAAAGCTTTTTTTTGACAACCAAATACAAAAAATAGCAGTAGATTAGAAAGATTCACAATTTATGGAGAAAAAGAATTTAAAATCCACAATCACAAATCAAGCACGCAATGAAAAATTCTTGATATAAACACACACATAATAAGGACGAACCATCTAAGAAGGGGAAAAAAGAAAACTAGAGAATCTCACATAGATATTGAGTTGCCTAATAAAGCTGGCGAAATTGTTGTGCTTGAAGTAATTGGGAAGCAATGCGGAGGAGAACTCAGGGGCATTCCATATGACGAAGCTGTCATCGGACGAGCTCCATGAAATCAAACCGTCCGTGGATTGATCATCGACCATCTCATAGCATTTGGACAAGAAGGCCGGTACGCCAGACCCATTCTCGGTCGTCTTCACCATAATTGACCGATCAATCCGATTCTTGCAACACAATTCGAATCAAGAAAGTATCACAGTTTTGTAGGGTTTAGAATTTCGGAACTAATTTTGATATGTTTCGATCAATTTGGGGGACTCGAATTTGAATCAGAAAAGAGAGAGCACAGAATACTTGTATAGACAGATTATATATATAGATAAAATATCAATTAGATGTATATAAATATCTTTCGACGTGTATAACATATATATATATATATATATATATATATATATATATAGGCAAAACAATGTGACAAAAAAGTCTAAAACCTAGGGAGGGAGTAAAGAATAGAATTGCGAGGAAAAGGGAAAGAAAGAGAGGATAGATTGATTCTTTGAGTGGACTGACTGACACAGGAGTCTTGCTTTTCTGTCCTGTGGAAACAGAAAAAGTTGGGAACTTTCCGGGGACAAAGTACCAGGTAAGTCCATGGGCCTGGTTCCGGTGGGCCTGAAGAAGTCGAAGTATGTATGCCAGGTATGGGCTCTGACCGACCTCGAAACTAACCTAAATAGCCCAAATCATGACCGGCCAGCCTAGCCCATAAACAAAGAGAGAAGATAATGATCTTAAGGCAAGCACCATTTTTTTTTTTTCGCGAAATATAGCCAAGCCCAAAATTTTGATTGGCCCATTGGGGCTATGTAGAAAATCTATTGGGGTTTTAAATGTGTTTGAGAAACACAATTTAAATAAATTTAATAGAAGAAGGAATCAAAAAGTTTAGGGCATGTTTGGTTTGTAATTATGAAAATAGTTTTCTATTTATATAAAACTGTACAAAAAAAACTCTGTTTAGTTTATGAAAACTCACTTATAAAAATGTTTGTTTTCAGATAAGTATAAAAAATTGGGGTTTGCTTCGTTTGTAAATCTGTAAATACTGTACTTCTCAATAATTTAGAGAACAGAAAATAGTTTTTAGAGAACAGTAATAGATATTTTTTTTGAAAATAGACTTTTTTATAACTGAGTTTTCAGAAAACTGAACCAAACAGAATTTTTTGTACAATTCCCAAGAATTCAATTAGGCATGTTTACAAAGAACTGTCTTTTATAGTTCTCTGAAAACAGTTTTCTATTTTCTGAATTCTTGAGAACTGTTTTTCAAGTACCAAACCAAGCAGATGATCTTAGGGGCCTGCTTGGTTTGTAAGTTTGAGAACAATTCTAAAAAATTCAGAAAACAAAAAATTGTTTTAAAAAAACATGCCTATATATTCTAAGTAATAACCAAGCAGATTCTTAAGCATCCATAATCCGATTCCAAAGTGACGTGGAGTGAACTTAATATCATCGTATCAACGCATGTGATCTAATAAATATTTCATCTCATTTCAAAATAAAAGATAAAGAGTTCAAATCTTTTCTAAAATTATTATAAAAGTTATTTGAGGATGTGAGGTACATTTGAGAATTTATCATCTCATTTCAAAATAAAAGATAAAGAGTTCAAATCTTTCTAAAATTATTATAAAAGTTATTTGAGAATGTGAGGTACATTTGAGAATTTATCATTTCACTTCAAAATAAAAGATAAAGAGTTCAAATCTTTCTAAAATTATTATAAAAGTTATTTGAGAATGTAAGCTACATTTGAGAATTTATCTGAGTTATATATATATATATATATATATATATATAATTTAAATATGAGTAATGATACGACAGTAATTTGCTTAGTGACAAAATTATTATATGAAAATCACATCAAACAAGAAGAGAAATCAATTTTTATCTTCATAAATTCTCATTGAAAATAAAAAAACTTTGAATTAAAATAGAGAGAACTTTGGGTTAAAATCATATTATTTCATGGTCGAACACAATTTTTAGATGTTCTAAATAATTCTTTATTAGGGAGAACAATAAACATGCAACTTAATGTTTAATAAAGTACTTATTAAGTAGCTTTTGGAAGATCTTTTATCTATAAAACTAGACCAAGTTGATTGCATAAATTTCTTATTGATCCACTTGTTAGGTACCAATTGAATATAAAGCCAAATTATACATATAGATAAATTAAGATTATGGAGAGATTATTTTTTACTTAAAAGAAGATTATGGAGAGATTTTGGGAGGAGACAAAAGAACCATTGTCGTGTACGAAATTTTATTGATTTGTTGAAAGAAACTAACTGAAAGCGAAGTGCACCGAATAGTTGTAGTAAATTGTTAGACTTATTTTTTTAATTCATTAATTATGCAACAAATAAAAAAATAAAAAATAAAAAATATTTAATTAGACAATTTATTATAAGTGTTCCGTGTGAGCATTAGTACTACTCTAATAAAATAAAATAAAGTAAAATAAAAATTTGTTAGAAAATTAACCATTATGTCATCGATTTGTTTGGAGTCATGTCTAGATCATATTTTGAAGAAGTTTTTTAGACGATAGAGACTCGTGTGCCAAATTTATAATATTTGATCATATGCCAATCATTAGCTACATACCATAGGATTCGACAATAAGGACGAGTATATCTAGTTATTGGAATTTAGTCATTGGATTGAGAGGATTATTTTATTATTCATCAATTAAAAAATAGCTTTTTTTATTTTCTGTTTTTTTTTTTTTTTTTTTTAATAAAAATTTTATTATGACTTTTGTTTTGTCACACAATGAGACACCATCTTTTCACATTATAGCTTTCAAGAAGAGTGAGAGTTCCATACATATGTTAACCAGAAACAATTCATATACGTGAAAATTTTCTTATATTGCGAATTGGCACTTTAGATTTAAAATTAGAAAAAAAATCTTTTAATTTTAAATTTAAGACACTAATGATGAGAGTTTTTGCACCAAGCACAATTCTATTGCAAAATGTATCCTAAGCTACTATTGAAATTGACGCTAAAGATACATCTGACCTCATATTTTCATTGTGTATGTATATTTTGTGTATTGATTCTTGGAAAATGATAGGGTCATCGAATAATTTTCTCGAATAAGTTCTGAATCTGATGTGTTTTTGTTCACCTCATCTACTTAAACAATTTTTAAAAAATAATTGTTTAACACGTGACAAGTATAGCCAATCACATCAAATTCGATACTAATTTGAGAATTCTTTTTCGCTTCCCTTGTCATTACTCTTGATTCTTTATGTATGTGTGTTTGCAATTGGGGTAGTTGTAGCGAAAGAAAAAAAAAGGAATTTATTTAGAAAAGGAAAGTTAAAAAAAATTGGTATGTGATTGTGTGTGTATATAGATGTGAGATTGTATATTATCTCTGTATATAGAAAATCATAATTTTTCTCTCTCTACATATACATCAATACACATAAACACACCCAATTATTCAACTTTCCTTTTCTAAATCAATCCTTTAACACCCTGACTACAATCCCAAACAGACCGATTGCAATCACACACAATTCAACTTTCCTTTTCTAAATAAATTTCTTTTTTTCTTTGGGAGTGAAAGTTAAAAATGTAATTTTATTATTTATATAGGTATGTAGGTGTAAAGGTTAAAAATGTAATTTTATTATTTAAATAGCTAAAATAATAAGCCAAAGAGTAATAAAGCTTCAAAGGGTGTCATTATAATTAACCCTTAAAAAATTAGGGGCACCAATAATTTGGAGGAGATTCAGTATTCAAAATATCACTATCTAAAAATACGAAAAAAATAGAAATAAAAATATAATCACTAAAAAAAGATATATACAAAAAAAATCAGGTAAATTGGAGTCCGATAGAATTTGACAAAAAACGATTATGGTAAGTTATTTCCTATATAAATGCAGCTGTTCCCATATAATTTGACAACAAGCTTGGAGTACGTTTGGATTTGGACTTAGTGATGGCAGACAATGTTATTCATACCATTCTCAAGGACGAAGCTCTTCAGAAGGTTAGCCACTCTCTCAATGTGTTTTATATATAATATATATATATATATGTGTGTGTGTATTATACCATATTTGCTTACTGATTTGTTTTTTTGTCTTTTTGGGAGGTAACAGTACATCTTAGATACAAGTACATATCCAAGAGAGCATGAGCAACTCAAGAAAATCAGAGAAGTCACGTTCAACAAATATGGCAGCAAGTAACTACATATACATACATATATATATATATACACACACACACACAGATGTATATAATTCCTACACTAGATGCATGAAGTTTGGAAATTTAATTTGTTGTAGAGCGATCATGGGTGTGCCAGCAGATGAAGGGCTGTTCTTGTCTATGCTACTAAAAATAATGAATGCAAAGAGGACATTGGAGATTGGTGTTTTTACTGGCTATTCCCTTCTTACCACTGCCCTTGCTTTGCCTCATGATGGTCAGGTTAGTATATTGGTAACACACACACCCACCTAAAAATAATGAATCCAAAGAGGACATTGGAGATTGGTGTTTTTACTGGCTATTCCCTTCTTACCACTGCCCTTGGCTTTGCCTCATGGTGGTCAGGTTAGTATATTGGTCTCACACGCACACACACCTAGTGGCGTTCAACTGTCCCGGTGAGCAGTTTGTAATATACTCACTTTTAATCCTAGTCTTAGAATCTAATTTTACAGTAATTAATCATATAATTGAAAGTTGAAACATAGAAGGCACAACGTTTGAAAAAAAATAAATGAAAAAATAAATTCATTAATTCCCTTCCCTACTGCCAAAAAAGAAATAAGTAAGTCCTATTTTTTTAATTTCCATTATGTAAGCACCTAGTCATCCGATCATTGTCATCCAAGTCACTTCATCTATTCTAATGATAAATTATGTAAGCACCTAGTCATCCGATCATTGTCATCCGAGTCAAATTCGAAAAAGAAAGCATGATTTTTTCTTGTTCCGTTTGAAAGTGTGAAATTTTCTTGTTCTAATGATAATTATACATTTCTTTTTGGTAATTAATGCGAACAAGGGATTAAAATATATAAAAAAATACTATCTATAATTGTATCATTACTCTCTCTTTTTAAAATTTTTTCTCTTAATATGGTTACATATGTTGTGAAAAAAAAATATTTGATTTGTAGCCTCTCATATATATTCAACAAATTAACTTTTGAACTTTTAATTTATCCTAATTGAAGTACGAAATTATGAATTGAATTGTCCATTTCAACCTATAATGTAGTATTGAACACGTTTTAGTCTCTTAATTGAGATTCGTTTTTTGCAATCTCTTAATTGAGATCAATTTCTTCAAATTATCACTTTTATATATATATATATATTGAGACCAATTAATTAATTAACGGCGAGTGATAATTTGAAGAAATTGATCTCAATTAAGAGATTGCAAAAAAAAATCTCAATTAAGAGACTAAAACGTGTTCAATACTACATTATAGGTTGAAATGGACAATTCAATTCATAATTTCTGAGTAATGGACAATTCAATTCATAATTTCTGAGTATTCATATGTATCACACTATGATAGTAATATATATGTACCTCAAACAATTCAATTCATAATTTCTGAGTATTCATATGTATCACACCATGATAGTAATATATATGTACCTCAATTAGGATAAATTAAAAGTTCAAAAGTTAATTTGTTGAATATGAGAGGCTACAAATCAAATATTTTCACTCCAGAGAAAATTTAAAAAAGTTCAAAAGTTAATTTGTTGAATATGTGAGACTACACCTCAAATATTTTTCACACCATATATAACCATATTAAGAGAATTTTTTTTAAAAAGAAGTAATGATACTCAAATATTTTTCATTTATATTTTAGGAAACTTGTTTCTTTTTATTACCATTATATATTAGGAAATGACAAAATTAGACATGTTTTTAAGGGAAATAAACTAAAACCAAATTGGTTAGGTTTTTCTTCTATAGGCAAACAAAAATTCATTTCGCAAAGCATACCAATTATATATATATATATATATATATATATATATATATATATATTTCCAATCCCTTCAACCGCGTTAAGGTTGAAACATAGAAGGCAACCACGTTTGTGTTTGAAAAGATAAATCCCTTCATTACCGCTAAGCTAATAAAATTACTTATTTAATTTTTTTTTCAGACGTGATTGTCTTCTATGTTTCAAACTTCTATAGTTGAAGAACTTCTATAGTTGAAGGGATTGGAAATATATATATATATATTTTTAATTGATATGCTTTGCGAAGCGGTCTGATAGGAAATTTTTTTGTTGAATTCTTATATAAGAAAAGCCTAGCCAATTTGGTTTTAGTTTATTTCTATAATTTTGTCATTTCCTATTAATAATATATGATGGTAATAAAAAAAACAAGTTTCTTGAACTATAAAAAGGAAAAATTGATTAATTAATTATAGTAGAATTAGATTTTAAAGTCAGCATTAAAAGTGAGTATACTCCCTACTAAACAAATTTAAAGATGTGGCTGAATATTAATTTGTCCCTGAACATAGGACAAATTAATGTTCAAAATTATAGCTACAGCGATTTGTTGTGGAAGTATCGGACATATATGTATTAAAAAAATATTGATTTATGATTCAAAGACGTAAGACATTGCTACAAGAATACAAGAAACTAACTCCATTTTACGTGACTAACCAAAATTTGTAGTCTAATAGCATTTTTTTTTTACCTTAAACAGATTATAGCGATAGACCCTGATCGAGAAGCATACGAGATAGGATTGCCATTCATTAAAAAGGCTGGTGTGGAGCACAAGATCAACTTCATTGAGTCAGATGCCACTTCTGTCTTGAATGAAATGTTGAGCAATGTAAGTATATATATATAATAAAGTTAATTAAACTGTCATTTAAGGAAGGAAAGTTGAACCTTGCATTAATGTATATAATCTTGGATACTAAATTCATATGCCTATCTATATATATATATATATATAATTGATCGGCAGGGAAAGAATGAAATGATGTTCGACTTTGTGTTTGTTGATGCTGACAAGCCCAACTACATACGATACCATGAACAAGTAATGAAACTGGTAAAGATTGGAGGTGTGATTGCATATGATAACACTCTATGGTACTCTACCGTTGCTTGCCATGAAAATGAAGTGACGGATCAGCGTATACGTGACAACCGGAAGGCCATAATCCACCTCAACAATTTCCTGGTCTCCGACGCCAGAATCGAAATCTCCCAAGTTTCCATTGGCGATGGTGTCACCTTGTGCAGGCGTATCGTCTAGCTAGCCAAGAATTAAGATCATATGCGTGTGTTACTGTGTGTTTTGTTTGTTTCCATTAAACTGGTTTTATATCATTCATGTGCGTGTTTGCTAGTTACTTATCGTTAATTACCATATGTGGATTGCAATATATTACCCACCAGACCCAACCGAATGCAGATTAGAAACAACAGAAAAGAAGCCCAAGGCCACACAGGGCCCAAACGAAGCCTCGTTAGGGATGAAAGGATTGAAATGGGGCATACCCAACCAGACCCAAACACCAAGCTCAGCCCAAACCACCACCGCCCAATTCCCCAACCCACCAATGTTATTTTTTACCTTCCCCAAAAAACCAAAAAAACAAAAGGGCTTAAAATATGGGACACCTCTAACATTCTCCTCTTACTCTTACTCTTACTCTTATTGTCCTACCGAGCGCTTAACATGATACCAAATTAAGAACGGTTTGATTTTGATATCAAGTGTAACGGACAGGGTACTTCGTGATCAAACTAAAACACTTTTACATACCCATTTCACTTTCTATGCTGATCCAACTGGGACACATCTAACATTTAAGAGTAAAGCCAATGCATGTATAGTATTGATCCTCTGAATAGACTCCATGAGTCACTCCCAATTAGAAGACAGGTGATAAAAGTGATCGATCATAATAAAACAAGAATTGTGCTGATGGACCAATATTGACATCGATTATCCAAGTCATGAGCAGGCAACATTGTACCTGGTACAGTTTTTGATCTTTTCTAATCTCATAGCATAAATATATATATATATGATGAAACCTGCGAGTTTACTACTGAGGAGGCGAGAGGGGCGGTGGGATCACACTGAGCTCGCTGAGTCTAGCGTGCATGGCATCGATGTAAGCTGTGGTTTCTTGCAGTGGTTTCTCCATGGCTTCCTTCAGCTTCCCTAGTGCCATGCAATAACCTTCCTGTCCATTCATTTATAAACCCTAATCATTAAATTCTTCAATAACAATTTTTAGAAAAAAAAAAAATAGAAGCTAACACTTTTTCTTTTCCCTTTGTGTGTGTGTGTTTCGAATTAGCATAAACTATGTTGTTTTCAGGGGATTTTTTATTTTTATTTTCATTTCTACTATCTTCTTATAAATTGTAAATTTTATTTGGCTATTTTTGTTTTAATCGGCTACTTAATTAACATGGCCATCCTCAATTTATGCACATGCAAAGGTCCCCATATGACCAACTAAATTGGCCAATATTTAAAACAATTACCACAATTGTATCCTTTAATCTCCTTTTGTTCCATTTGGCATGCAGTAAATAATCGATCTACCTGAGATCGGAAGTGTGTGGGTGTATATATATATGTGTGTGTGGCCATTAATTGTTTCCAATCATACAAATATCAGTTTCATAAATATTGATGCATGCTGCGATGATATATACAAGGTTGGGTGTGAGTAAGGGAATCCATACATACCATAAAGTTATCGAGGTCTGAGCATTTGGAAATGGCAGCATTGAGCTTCATATTAGCTTGATTCAATGCAGTTGTTATACCAACCTCTCCAGTATCACCTAAGGCAACCTGAAATCAACCTTACTTTAAGAGAGAGAGAGAGAGATAGATTCACCATATATCTAATATTCTATCTACACATGTAACTACCAATCTGACTATGTGGTTGTAAATTAAGTGCCAATCAACTCTACTTATGGCCATCTACACATCACCTATATATCTAACGATCTCCTAATTGTAATGCATGTAAATGGCAGTCATCTAATTTTCAACTGTACAGATTTGGATTTAATATGAATATGACCCAGAAAGGTTAGGGATCAATTAATATATACAGCCAATTAAATCTCAGCATATATATAACATGAAAACAACCCTAAATCAATCATATATATGTACATCGTCACTATAAAAAAGACACCCTATTCACATCTCCCGTGTATGCCACTTCATCTTGTGCCATTACATTGCTTATGCAACGACTTTGCATAGCTTTACGCAATAATTACATTACATCGTTTATGCAACGACTCTTTTTATGTGTTCATTCCACTCCGTTGTATTAGTAATCTACACACACGTGCCACAGGATTTGGATTCATTCAAGTGACATGTCATAATACCAATATATGTAATATCCTTATATGTAACACTCCTCGATCTTTAATTTTAAAACGTAAAAAGAATAAACGAAAGGAAAACCAAATAAATCCCTAATCGGTTAATCCATTTTTAGTTGATGCAGTTATAACATAGACATATTTAAGTTGTAAGGAGATGGTATCTCCTAATTATAGGGTCGAAGGCCGGATTGAAGTATTGAACTCATTTAACCAACTGAAAATAGCGCGCGCGCACACTGACACACATATATCAGATGGATATATATGTAACATAAGATGGGAAGATCAGGGCAATTTTGTACATGTTTAAACACTGTGACCTTTCTTTTAACTGGAATTCCTTCTAGATTCGATGTAGTACAAGCTGTGACCTTACGTGCAAATTTACAGGGAAAAAACTAATATTCCATATAGTACAAGCTAGCAAATGGAAGAAATGAAACAACAAAACAAATTAAGTATGAAATTAAATATAAATATATATATGTGTGTGTGTGTGTGTGTCTATACCTTGAGACAGTTCAAGTGTGCTTCAATCAGCAGCCCATACAAAGGGTGGCCTGAGATTCTCTTCTTCAACATTTCATCATCTTCTTCTACTGCTTCTTCTCCTCCCAACCTCGCACTTTCATTCTCAGAACACTGACCTTCCATCTCTCTCGTAGTAATTGTAGCTATCTCATGTTATGACAGTTTGTGTTTTAAAAGACATGTATTTAATGCATTGCTACTTCTATTTATTTATGGAAAATACTTGAGTCATGCCCAGTCAAGGTGGATATGGGTTATACCCATTTTTTAGGGTTAAACTCGGTAGATCTATTTTTTTCCTCTCTTTGTTTCTATCTGTGTATCTTTATCTACAATTTTCTTTTTCTTCAGCCACCAATCATACCAAACCTAATATTCCCATTATGTCCTCCACTACTCCGCTTTATATTGGATTTCGATTTGGTCTTAGCAAGGATTGATTCATTTTCTTAAAACAGGTATATTAAAACATTATATTTATCCAGTCTGTAATTTTTCTCTCTTTCAAATAGCTTAAATCGAGTAAGAGATTTTGTTCAAATTTTGAGTTTTGTTTTTTGCTTTCAAAAACAAGGACAAGGACAAGGACAATGGTTTCTGTTCCGTTTCTCTTGCTCTCATTCTTATTTACAGAAAAAATTACGTAGGAAATAAAAATAAGATAGAAACCATAGAATTAAGTGAAAAAGGAATAACTTTCATATATAACATGCATAAAAACAGTTGGGGTAGATTTAAAAAAAGGGAGAAATAGAAATTGTTAGTTCAATATTTTTAAGGATAGTTTTCTATCTTAAGAAAATTAAAAATAACATAAAAAGGTAGAAAATACAATTTTTCATGAGTTAATTAAAAATAACATTCAAAGTTGAGTAAAGAAAAAAATAGATCGGTCGGGTTTAACTATAAAAAATCGATATAACCTATGTTTTGTATTTTTTTAAATTTAAAAGAGATGTCAACCTCTTATTGGAACACGTTAGTGTGCATGATACAATTTGTCTTGATGGAACATGATTGAAGCATTGTCCTTTATTTATTGGAAAATACTTGAGTCCTGCCCCATCAAGATAGATTGTGTCCTACACACTACCGTATCCCAGCAAGAGGTTGATACTTCTTTTAAACTTAAAAAAAATACAAAACATGGGTTATACCCATTTTTTAGGGTTAAACCAACAGTTCTATTTTTTTCCCTCTCTTTGCTCTCATATGTGTATCTTTATCTACATCTTTCTTTTTTCTTAGCCGCCAATCATTCCAAACCTAATATTCTCATTGTGTCCTTCACCATCCGCTTCAGATTGAATTTCGATTTCGATTTGGGCTGAATAAGGATTGGTTCATTTTCTTAAAACAGGTATGTTAAAACATTATATTTGTCTAGCATGTAATTTTTCTCTCTTTCAAATAGCTTAAATCGAGTAAGAGATTTTGTTCAAAATTTAAATTTTTTTTGCTTTCAAAAACAAGGGCAATGATTTCTGTTATGTTCCTTTTGCTCCCATTCTTATTTACACAAAAAGGTATGTAGGAAATAAAAATAAGATAGAAACCGTAAATTGAGTGAAAAAAGGAAAACTTTCATATATAGCATGTATAAAAAACAATTGAGATAGATTTAAAAAAAGGAGAAATAGAAATGGTTAATTCAATTTTTTTTTAAGAATAGTTTTCTATCTTAAGAAGATTAAAAATAACATAAAAAGGTAGAAAGTTAATTAAAAATAACATTCAAAATTGAGTAAGGAAAAAAAAAAGATCTCTTGGGTTTAAGTATAAAAAATATATATAACTCATATTTTGTATTTTTTAAAGTTTAAAAGAGGTGTCAACCTCTTATTGAGACACGTTAGTGTGCAAGACATCATTTTTCTTGATGAGACAGGACTGAAGCATTGTCCTTATTTATTTACTCATTTTAAGCAATCAACTCTCATAATACACTTTAAAAAGACTTTAAACTCTCTACCTTTTGTTCTGAAACTAAAATAACACTAGTTCATATGTATTTCATTCTTTTTTTCCTTACATATCTTATTCTTCCTTTTTCTATATATAACCAATCAGGAAAGAAAAAAAAGACAATAGTTTAAAATAAAAGTAAAAAAAGATAATAAATATATGTAACAAAGGAAAGAAAGAAAGTTATTAGGTATACTTAGAATAGAAAAGAAAGGAAAAATAATTTAAAAGGATAATTTGATTTTAAAATTAAAGTTTTATAATTTTAAATAAATTGACATTAATTACAATTTTTATAATTAATTTTTCAACCACCTGTGGATAGCACTCGTCGTTATGTTGGTAGTTTTAAAATTCACTACCTACCGTTCAAAATTTTAAATACATATCATCCACGAATAAAAAATTTGTCTATCAAGATGGAGACCAAATTATTATTGCGAATCCACATGCATGACCACCATTTCAATGTACGTACATGTATTTGATTATTTGGGTTTGATTTCTGTCCTCTGCTTTTGGAGAGCTCTCGTATTGATAAAATTTTCAAAATTAACCTTGGATTGAGGGATCTGGAAGGATAGTGACCAGTGAGGGAAAAAAAAAAACATGATAATGTAGATTGCATTTGGATGGTTTAAAATGAGTGAAAGAAAAGTTTTGAAAGGAATAAGGAGTGATAATTATCTTCTCAAAAATAAAAAAATTGACAGCAAAAGTATTGGAAGGGATAAGGGTTAAGTTTTATAATTTTGAAATTGTTCATGATAATTAGAAGGTAAAAATTATTATTCCACTCATATTTTGTTTAATTTAAAAGGTATAATAATAATTTGGTTGTTATTATTTTTTTTCTCTACTCAATCTTATGTAAATAAGAATACTATTATTTCCTTTCTTTTTTTTCTTACCTATTCAAACATTATTACATATTGTTGTTATACTTTTCTTTCTTTTCTCTCGTAACCGTTGTTATCATTTTCTTTCGTCTAAACAATTTTGTGCATACAATGAGATAGAACATTTTCTTCAATTGAAAAAAGAAAATATATGAAAAATATAAAATAATTTTTTTTATTTTATAATTTTGTTATGAATTTTTAATGAACTATTGTAATCAAACAATCCTTTTGATTTGTAACTTTCTAAAAATTAAAAGTTTATTTCCATATATATAATCAAAGAACTCAAGACGTGACATGGTGCCCAACCTTAGTGGTAATTGCACAAAGCCCAATGTCAAAATTTAGAACCCGAGTAAGTAATGACTGTTTCCGTTTGTATCCAATACATCCAAACTGGTACTAAGTACGGTCAATTGCTGAGTCTGGTCTAGTTTTGGAAGCAAGTCACTTCACCACTACCCAAAATATAAAAAATAAATCACTGGACCAGTGCATGCAGAAGTAAGCTTTTATGGTTCCTCATCTTTTTTTTTTCTTTTTTTTTTAATTTTTTTTTTAACCATGTAAGGAATACAACATGTATTCCTCCTGTGTACTCGTATTAACGAAGACTTTTTTATTTTATTTATTTTTCTTTATTTATTTATTTTTGTAAAGATAAGAATTTTAAGAGTAAGTAATTAATTAGAAGGAGTAGAGTGTAAAGTTCCAACACAAACTTTTAAACACGGGAAGCAATCTAATCACTCGAACAATATGGTACTTGAAAGAGCATTTCAGCTGATCACTGTTGTAAAAATGGAACCGAAGTATATGGTGTTTCATGTTGTACTGTTCATTCTCACTGCAACAGATCTAGTAAACTGTTGGTTGAACTGTTCATTCTCACTGCAACAGATCTAGTAAACTGTTCATGAAATTTAGGCCAGTACGTTGGTACTGTTGATAGTTACTGTTTGAGTAGTACTATATATATATATAAGTGGACTCTAAGTCGCAGAGTTTGCTGCAGTCAGCGTACATCTTAGAGCCCACTAATATATATATAGTACTAGTAAAGCATATGAACTGAATGTGATCGATGTACGTTACTCTAACTTTTACTCATATCACACATTATAACTCACATAATTAGAGAATTAACATGAACAACTTACCAAAATAATACTGTAGTAATAATAATAACATGAGTGAGCATTGGGCATCTCACTACATTTTCTCTTCATTGGTAGGGTTATGCTTATAAGCTTCAGTCCTACATGCCATTCTCTTACCTAGCTAGCTAAATATGTATATACAGAATTGCTCACCTACTTATTGGTGTGCAGAAAAATGTATGCACATCTCAAGTAATAATCGTTAAATTTCATTGAACAGTTAAAAAGTTAGTTTATTATTTCATATCTAACTGTTAAGATTTAATTCATATATAAATTCTTTACATACCAATGAACAGGTGAATAGTCTTATATATGTGTGTGTATATATACATATATATATCACTATGCATTGTGATCATTAGATGTAAAAAAGGTAATTATCAAAAATATATATCAATCACATCCAACAGACATTAATTCACTTAAGGTGTGGATGAATTTTTTACTTAGTGATAAGTAAGAGATCAATTTTGTGATATACTATCTCCGTCCCATTTTATATGTCGGCTTCGGAAACCGTGACTCACAAAATTGTGAGTCACGGTTCCCAAAGCCAACATGTAAAATGGAACAGAAATAATATACAATTAGGTAAATTCAAGAGTGAGGAGTCATTATGTTTTACTCCACTTATACATAGCTTCGATAACTTGGATATATGTTATGGTATTATGTTTTACTCCACTTATACATAGCTTGGATAAATCGAATATATGTTATGGTCTTTTTTTTTTGTTTTTTTTTTTTTTTTTTTTTTTTAGAGGCGATTTCAATAAACAGTATTTAATAAGAATTTTTTACACAAATTACTGGAAAAAATAAAAAGAAGAATAATTTTTACACAATAATTAATAAGATGGACTGTCTCTCCTCTTACACTGTTTCAATCAATGTTTTAGTTAGTTTTAAAAGCAGTTCGACACTTTTTATCATTTTCACTTGTATATATGATTAAGAAATTACACCAAGATTGTTTGGTAGCTTTGTTTTTATATGTGATGAATATAACTCCAGAAGAACAAAAAGGCCAAGAAGCCCAATTTGGGCTCGAATAAGAAAACTGGGACAGAAATTGGGCTACACCTACCGAACCCAGCAAGCAAAACAACCAAAGCCCAAGCTAGACTATGACTAACACAATAAATGACCAGCTTGAGACCATCAAATAGGAGAAGATATTGAGTGAGGCCGGCGTCCGTATGCCTACTCCGTCAGAATACATTATTTTAGTTAGTTGAGAGAAATTTTCTATTTGAGTGAGACATATTTTATTAAATAATTTATTCGGATTGAATAAATATGTTAATGACATGGCATGTCTTGCTCATTCAAAATTTACTCACTAAATAGATGCTAATTAAGAGCATTAAAATAAGTGGGTGAATCAAGTATAAGTGCAATACACGAAATGTCAATAACTCATTTTAAACGAGGTAGAAAACAGGAGCTAGTTGGATTACCCGGAACAATTCGACCATCAAAAGTTAATTTTATAAGAGGGAGATAAAAAATTTCCCTCAACTAACTTAGAATAATGTATTTTAGTTAATATACAAGTTAATTAGAATACATTGTTCTATACTGGTTTTATTCTCAACATTGGACAGTCAATATATAAGTTAGAGATAAGAAAACCAATTTCCGAAGTTTGAAATTAAATAAAAGATGAGGAGAACTCAAATTCAAATTAGAAAACTCCTCAAATCCTCAACAAATCGCAAGAGCTGAAAGGCCATGTCTATAAGAACGATATTGACCAAGAAAAAGGTTTGTACAATTAATTCACAAAACTTTCTGTTTTAATTATTTACTCTAATCATTGACTTTATCATCTTAGAGTTTTTTGACAAGCATTACACGGATATCATTTAACAATGCTTGTATGAGATAAAAATGAATGGTTATGATGAGTTTTATATTTAGAAAATGATACGTAGTTATCCTTTGGGAGAAAAAAAAACAAAGAATCATGATGATAGATTCATGACATCAATCTCAAATCACATAAAAATCGTTGGGGGTTGCTTGGCTGTGGGACTAGGTAGCATTAATCTTTTAACTTTTTTGTGTTCTTATGGCGTCAAGAATAGTGTGGCACTTCTCAAATCTTATAGTAAGGATTTGGCAATTCGTCATCTTTTTCTTTTCTTGACAAATTAAAGAGAGTCGACTTACAGATTTAAATCACATAAAATTGGAATAAGAGCGAATTCGAGAGTAAAAAGTATGAGAATGACCGAATTAAGTCATAAATAGTGAAATTTTGAATCAAAACGTGAAAGTAGGAGTGCGTTTGGAACATGAGTAACACTCACTGATAAGAATTTTGCGACGTAATTAAGGACATACCAAAGCCACACAATTTTTAAACGAACATTGACGTCATATTGAAGAAAAAAAAATTAAATGAAAGGGAGGGAAGGAAGTATGACTGAGACATCTATAAGGAAGAGATTAAACGTTTCATTCGAGAATGAAAAAAACTAAAAATTTATTTTGAACGGTAGAATAAAAAGAAAGATAAATTTTTAAATAATTTTTACCATTAAGCTCATTCTTTACTTTATTTATGATATTTATTAAATATTTATAAAAAAATATGTAATAATTTAAAAATTTCATAATAGACCATTTGTTTCTCTCTACAAGTTTGTGAAAACTTACTTTCTATTATCATTTCTTTTTTTATATTATCTTTATTCCTTATTTTTTAATTTTTCTTCCACCACTCTTTTTTTTGTCTTGCTACCGAACATAGCATTTGTCTAGTTGGGATAGCGTTTTACCACGGGCTTTGCCAATTTATTAGATGCCCATCCACTCAGCCTTATCTGTTTTGGAAATGTGAAAACTTTGTCCCCTTAACAAATTTGAAAAATGAAACATGTCGATATGATAGATCCCCACGTGTGCACATGGCACTATATTTTGAGCTTATCCATTACCAATTAATTTCCATTGATTTGAATAGTGGGCCCCACCCAATTCTGATATAGGTAGTAGAGATCCAATGCGATATACAGCTGTACTGCAGTACTGGCGACTTGCTTTGTTGCTTTGGAGGATCGAATGCAGCAAGTGTCGATTGTGTCGGACGGACCCGATACTTCGTCATATCCAGTTATCGACAGCTAAAACCGGACAAAATAAATAGATCCAAAATTCCAATCTGTGTTTTTTATTTTAAATTTTTTAATATTTTTTTTTGGGTCAAATATAACCAATTGAAAATTATTGTGTTAAAAAATAAATATGACATGTTAAAAGTAAATATAATATATTGAGAAGTGTACCGTACTATTATTGTAGAGGATATGAGAATGAGTCATTGGGGATAAATGCAATTTTCTTTTTGAATAAACAAATTGTTTTATAATTCCAAATATTTAAAATATGAGCTGAAATGTCAACCGAGGATTCACATCAGACTATCATTTTCTTAATTTAGATAATTTTTATACATAATTAAATTCTTGATTTCAACAAACTACTATGTTCCTTTTCATATATTTAAACTCGTGAAGTAAATTAATTCAATCTTGAATAAATCTTGTATCTAATATAAGCGGTTAATTGATTCAAAATGTAATATTTGTTCTAATTATTTCTTTGTTGAATAAATGATCATTCTACATTCAAGTAAAATATTTAAAAAAAAAAAAAAATCAAATTTCTAAAAAATCATAACATCTTAAGTTCAAAAACCAACCACGTCCTTTCACAACTGCCGACGCATTTCGCAACCACCACCTCCTTCTGCCACCATTGTCACCACTATTCCACCATTGCTACCTTCATCCACCACCATCTTCTTCTACCACTTTTATCGTTGATTGTCATTTGTTTCTCACTTTATTCTTCCCTATAAAACTAGGTTCAAGAGTAATGTAAGAAATAAGTTCATGCGTGAACTTGAATAATTTACGTAATGATGACTTTTTATTTATTTATCCTCTTGTTTTGAAATCCAAAACAAAACTCAAATTTGAGCAAAAATTTAGTATTACCTCCGTCTTATAATAATTGTCAATTTAAAAATTTTTGACTCACTATCGTCTTTTATTTTTGAATTAAAATATTTCTTTAATATACTTATATATTATCTATATCTCATACTAGATACTAGAGGTCTATTTCGATAACTTTAAGTCACAAAAATTGTGAGTTAAAATTTTTAAAAATGACAAAATATGAGAGGAGGAAATAGTATAAAAGAGAGTGGAGCTTGAATTTTATGAACGGAAACTCAAAGCAAAAGCTCAAACACTTAAAACACAACAACCACGTATGTATGAAATAATGAAATTCCCAAATGGGTCATCCGGTGGTACAACGTTGTTGGCATCTATGTTTGCCTCGTGGCGACTTCCACTAAGCACAAAGGACAGAATTGAACCCTCGACACCTTAAACGGTGTCACTCTGTTCCACATTCTCCATTTCTCGGATTTCTATCCCTTACCTCCTAATATATTATACTCCGTATATTATATATATATATATATATATATATATATATATATATATATCTACCTATCTTTTTCTTGGTTAAATTTTGATAAAATAAAAATAGTTATAAGAAGATTGTAGAAGCTAGACATTCTCAACGACATCCATAGGACGTATGGTCATTTTTTTGTGTTTTTGTAGATGTGGCTTGTTGGGATTCAAATGTCAAAAACCTGGTAATCTCTTCAGCTGTTCTTGAATACTACTGGTACTAGTTTTAATTTTGTTTTTATACATTTGTTTCTCTCAACTCTTCATTTGCCACTCACTGTGTTTTGTTATTCGTGATGCAATATCTTTCTAGATTTGATCTCATTCATCAATATCTGAATCTATTCTATTCCCTTCCATTTTTATGAGTACAACGTGATGCTCTCTGCCTTGTCCTCTTGTCCACCCATAGTCTGATTCGCTCGTCTGCAGAAACTTCTCTGAGAAATTTCTTAAACCCCTTTATTTGCTTTATTTTGATACACACACATTTTTAGTACTTTGTTGCAAAAATTAGTAGTCTTCTCTTTGGGTTAAATGCTTGTGCTACTGTTGTGTTCTTGGTTTGATAGCTTTGTTGTAGACTAGTAGCGAGAAATGGTGTCAAAATCATACTCAAACCTCTTGGAGCTTGCCTCTGGGGATGCTCCGTCGCCGTCTTTTGGCCGTATGAACCGTCGAATTCCGCGAATTATGACGGTGGCGGGTATAATGTCAGATCTAGATGATGACCCATCAGAGAGTGTGTGCTCTGATCAGTCCTCGTCGTCGGTCCAGCGTGACCGGATAATTATTGTAGCTAACCAGCTGCCCATAAGAGTGCAGCGAAAATCGGATAATAGCAAGGGTTGGGTTTTCAGTTGGGATGAGAATTCACTTCTCCTTCAATTGAAAGATGGGTTGGGGGATGATGAATTTGATTTCATATATGTGGGTTGTCTCAAGGAAGAGATTCACCCAAATGAACAAGATGAGGTCTCCCAGATACTCCTTGAGACATTCAAGTGTGTGCCCACTTTTCTACCACCAGATCTGTCTAGCAAGTACTATCACGGGTTCTGCAAACAACAATTGTGGCCTTTGTTCCATTACATGTTGCCCCTGTCACCGGACCTCGGTGGTAGGTTTAATCGGTCGCTGTGGCAGGCTTATGTCTCGGTGAATAAGATTTTTGCAGATAGGATTATGGAAGTGATTAACCCAGAAGATGATTTTGTATGGGTTCATGACTATCATCTCATGGTGTTACCCACCTTCTTGAGGAAGAGGTTCAATAGAGTAAAACTTGGTTTTTTCCTCCATAGCCCTTTTCCTTCATCGGAGATTTATAAGACTTTACCAATCAGGGAAGACCTTTTGCGGGCTCTTCTGAATTCTGATTTAATTGGATTCCATACTTTCGACTATGCCAGGCATTTCCTCTCGTGTTGCAGTCGAATGCTTGGTCTGTCTTATGAATCAAAACGGGGTTATATTGGCCTTGAATATTATGGTCGGACCGTAAGTATTAAAATTCTTCCTGTTGGTATCCATATGGGTCAGCTTCAATCTGTCTTGAGTCTTACAGAGACGGAAGCAAAGGTTGCCGAGCTCATTAGCCAGTTCTGTGATCAGGGTAGGATACTGTTGCTTGGGGTGGATGATATGGACATATTTAAGGGCATTAGCTTGAAGCTATTGGCAATGGAACAGCTGCTTGTGCAGCACCCAGAGTGGCAGGGGAAGGTTGTTTTAGTGCAAATAGCCAATCCAGCTAGGAGCCGAGGCAAAGATGTAAAAGAAGTGCAGTCTGAGACATATTCAACTGTGAAGCGGATAAATGAAACTTTTGGTAAACCAGGGTATGAACCTGTTGTCTTGATCGACCAGCCCCTCAAGTTTTATGAGAGAATTGCTTATTATGTTGTTGCTGAATGTTGTTTGGTCACGGCAGTTAGGGATGGGATGAATCTCATTCCATATGAATACATAATCAGTCGCCAAGGAAATGAAAGACTAGATAAAATTTTGGGATTGGAAGCATCCACTCCAAAGAAGAGCATGTTGGTTGTATCTGAATTTATTGGGTGCTCCCCTTCTTTAAGTGGAGCAATTCGAGTAAACCCGTGGAATATTGAAGCAGTGGCTGATGCAATGGAGTGTGCATTAGAGATGGCTGAGCCAGAAAAACAGTTACGGCATGAAAAACATTATAGATATGTTAGTAGCCATGATGTTGGGTATTGGGCTCGTAGTTTCTTGCAAGATTTGGAGAGAACGTGTAAGGATCATGTGCGGCGCAGGTTCTGGGGTATTGGATTTGGTTTAAGTTTCAGGGTTGTTGCACTAGATCCAAGTTTCAGGAAGCTCTCAATGGAGCACATTGTTTCAGCTTACAAAAGGACTACCACTAGGGCAATTCTTCTGGATTATGATGGTACTCTAATGCCTCAGGGTTCAATTGATAAGAGTCCAAGCTCTAAAACCATTGACATCCTAAACAGTTTGTGTAGAGATAAGAACACTATGGTTTTCATTGTCAGTGCAAGGAGCCGAAACACGTTAGCAGAATGGTTTTCTTCTTGTGAAAAGTTGGGGATAGCAGCTGAGCATGGCTATTTCCTTAGGTATTTAGATAAAAATTCTCATTGTTGGTTTATACAAAATGATTATGGGTCTAATTGAAAATTAATAATTGTGTATTTCCAGGCTGAAGCGAGATGTGGAATGGGAAATATGCGTACCCATCGTAGACTGTAGCTGGAAGCAGATTGCAGAACCAGTTATGAAGCTTTACACAGAGACAACTGATGGTTCCACGATTGAAGACAAGGAAACTTCACTCGTCTGGTGTTACGAGGATGCAGATCCTGATTTTGGATCTTGTCAAGCCAAGGAACTTCTTGATCATCTCGAAAGTGTACTTGCCAATGAACCAGTAATGGTCAAGAGTGGGCAGAATATTGTGGAGGTTAAGCCACAGGTATCCATCAAATACTTGTTGATTAATTACCAATTTATCATTCTGAGTTTCACATGACAAGTTAAGAGCCTGTTCAAAGTTCTATATTAAGGGTCAGCTAAACATGAACACAAATGTATTTTGGGGGGTTGTACCTCTAGTTGTTTGGGATTAAGGGTTTCCCAATTTGTTCAATTTGGTATGGAAGAAGTACCTTCTTTTACATATCTTGCATATATTTTTCTTGTGCTGCCATGATGTCCATCACGTTTTACGCTTAAATGACTTGCACCACTAGAAGAAAAGAACTGTTATAGATTGTAGGAGATAGTGTCCCCCCCCACCCTCCCACTGAAACAAGCAAGCATTAGGGCCTTGTATCTGAAACATGATAGTTGAAAGTGCCCAAGCTTGTCTGTGAATTACAATAAGTGTTTATTTGGCCAGCCAGGTTGCTTAACTCTTCCACTGAAGTCTATATTCCAACTCAAATCCTTTGTTGGAAAACATCAAATCTGCTTATGCATTGCAGCATTGGTCAATTGGGCTTTGATTGCTGGTAGTTTAATAGATTAGAGCTGTAGTAAATTTTTTTTTTTATCCCTAATGTTTGGTGCGATTCTGGTTGAACATCAACATGAGCTTATTTATTGATCAGTTAGGCTTGATTTAGGCTAGATGGGCACAATAGAGTTGAGTAATAGATTTTGGTGAGAATTTGAACTAGGTAACATTGCCATCAATTTTCACTTGAGAAAGTTGTTTTCTAAGCAAGCTATTGAATGTATCATTCCCCCTTCTTCTTTATTATTATTATTTTTTTCCTTTCCTTTTTTTTGGAGGGTTGTAACTCGAGGTGTCTGGGTTCAAAGGTTTCCCAATTTGTTCAATTTGTTATGGAAGAAATACATTCTTTTGCTCATCATGCATGCTTTTCTCTTGTGCTGCCATGATGTCCAATGTGTTCTGCACTTAAATGACTAGCAATACTAGAAGAATTTTTATTTTTTATTTTTTTTTATAGACATGTAGGAGATAGTATTCCCCCCAGTTGTTGGAAAACATCAAGTCAGCTTATGCAATGGTCAATTGGGAGTGATTGCTGGTAGTTGGATAGACTAGAGCTGCAGTAAATTATTGTTATTGTTATTATTATTTTTCCTATGGTTGGTCCGAGTCTGGTTGATTTAACTCATCCACTAATGCCTATATTCTAAGGTGAAAACATCAATCTGGGCTTATTCATTGATTAGCCGGGCTTTATTTAGGCTAGGTGGGCACAGTAGAGTTGCAGTAATAGATTTTTAGTGAGAATTTGAACTAGGTAACACTGCCATCAATTTTCACTTGAGAAAGTTGTTTACTAAGCAAGCTATTAAATGTATCATTCCCCTCCTTTTTTCCATAAGAATGTAAACAAATTTCAACCTTCTTAAAATAGTACAGTTTGATTTACAGCCAGAGTCCTTAACGTTTTTTATGTGTATGTATGCAGGGTGTAAGCAAGGGACTTGTGGCCAAACGCTTACTTTCCACCATGCAAGAGAGGGGAATGTCACCAGACTTCGTCCTCTGCATAGGAGATGACCGATCTGATGAAGACATGTTTGAGGAAATTATCAGTTCCATTGCTGGCCCATCTATAGCGCCTGGTGCAGAAGTTTTTGCTTGTACTGTTGGTCGAAAGCCAAGTAAGGCCAAGTACTATCTGGATGATACAGTGGAAATTGTTAGGTTGATGCAGGGCTTGGCCTCCGTTGCACAGCAAACATTCCCCATGTAGGCTTTGCAAATATTTAGAAAGGTGCAATCTGCAACCACATGGCCGAATATTACCATCAAATAGTAGGTTTTTTCCTTCTCTTGCTATGTAAGTTGGTGTAGTGCTGCTAAGAGAAGTTGCGAAATGGATAATTTTTCTAGTGTTTGATTGCCATCTAATGAAGCTGTTAATATGTTTTCGTGTCATGACATCTTGTTCTCTCTGTTGCATATGTGTGTTAATAGGTTCCCTTGGCAGGAAAATTTGTTTTATTTTTTTAAAAAAACCTTATATCTTGTATTCTGGACTGGGATCACCCTTCATGGTGGTACAAATGGAATTTCAGTTCATTTGGGAAAGTGCTTCAACTGAGGTTGTTACTGCTCATTTTCTTAGCTTTTTTAGGTACCAGGTTTGAACCTGTCATGGCATTTTTTTTTGCAGGTATCTGTACTTGCTTCCAAGTGCTGGAATTGCTGTTCATGAAAGTTATGTTTCAGATAAATCTTTGGCCCATTCTTTCCTGACTCTTGTCTTTTTAAATGGTCATTAGCTAGTATAAGTTTTAGTTTATAGTGTCACCTTCCTGGGAAGGATCTATTAGGGGTGACAAAGTTCGACGCGACCCGCCAACACGATACGAGTTAAATGGGTAATGGGTTTACCATAAACGGGTTCGTGTTATAAACGGGTTGGCACGAATAACCCGTTTAGTTAAACGTGTCGTGTTTAGGTTTTGGCCCGTTCTATGTATTGGTGAATAATGTATAATGAATATTATATTCGGTGATAGGAAAAGAGTTGTGTCTTGCTCAACTTTTAGGTTTTTTTTCTCACTTGGGTAAATTTGGAAAGCAGAGGTATGCTTGTTTTGTAAGAACGGTTTTCTGTTTATGAGAACTGAAAATGAGAGAACTGTACAAAAATCTTTTTGGTTGACAGTTTCTAAGAATGTTGTCTGAAAGTTCAGTTAAAAAATTGTCCATTTTCAAAAAATATTTGAGAATAGTTTTATGATTTTCTGTTTTTAAGTGACAAAGCAGTTACATTAGAAGTAAAATACATGATGCGTGTATCAATTTTTTTCCCTCCTTCCACATCATCACGTTGATGTTACTCTGCAGAGAGCGATGATATAATTATTTTATTAGGTGATACCAAAGTCGCTGCCGTTACCTAGAGGACAGGTATATCATCATCAGCAACACCGCCGCAATCTTCATCACCACTAAAATGCATGCTACTATTCCATGGCCCGCCGCAACAGCCACCTCCCACCGCCACTTCCTAGCTTCTGTCTCTGTCCATATGCGACCATTTCATGTGGTCACCACCAGTAGCACCACCATCACGCTTCTTCTTCTTTTTTTTTTTTTTTTTAGCTTTGTTACATAGTTCTCTTTTCTGTTTTTTGTGGAACAACAGTTTTGGAAGGAACATTTTGGTCATGCATAAATGAAAATAAATATTTTATGACATGATAGATCATACACTCAATCCTTTGGTTAAATATAAATCATGAATTTACTATGGTCCCACTAAATACCTATCCATGGTCCTGAATTGGTAAGGGGTGTTCATTTGTTAGCAAGATTTTCCGCCACGTGTTGAGGTAATGTTCGTCAATCTGATAAACCGATATAATTGGATTAATTAAATTTTTAGTCTCATGATTCAATCGGATTGGAGTGTTTAAAAACCGATCTTCAAATTTATATATAAAATATATATATACACTTGTAGGTGCAAAATTCTGCTCAACCAATAATAATTGAGAAAAATAATACAACACACCCAAGAACAGTAAAAATAAATAAGAACAGTGTATAGAGAAGCGTAGAATTGCTTGGATTCCTTTATTGGAGGTCTGTGCCTCTATTTATACACACAAATTGGTAGAATTAAGGTAGGACTCGCATTGCTTGTCCTCCAATTCTTCCCATACATGACTTTATTTACAAATAGAGTTCTTTCTATTGTATAATATTTCCTACATAGAACTTGCCTTGTATAGAACTTCCCATAAAAGAATTCTCCTTTTATGATAAATCCTTCTACCGATAGGATTTGTCCAATCTTGGAAAACTGGGCTGAATACACCTTGAACTAGTTGGGCTTGAATAACGGGCCGGATGTTTGAGGTTACCATGTTGGGCTGATAATCTCTTGATTCAGGCTTCAACGGGACTGAAGGTCAAATAACAATAGTATTGGGCTTGTGAATAGTGATCTTGGACTAGCCTCAAACTCAATTTGGGTTTGAGCGAGGTGGGCTTCATAAACTCATCATGGATAAGTTTATATTTATGATGACGTGGATTATTCTCATTGGAGGGAGATTTTTCCCTCCACACTTTGCCCCCAATTCCTCTTTAATTGGGTTACGGCTCCTAATTAAAGGGGAATTGAAGTTGTGCAGTTGCCACTTTCGCACGAGGCGTTTCCATTTGTGTCTTTTGTTATTCTGACTCAAGGACTTCTTCAAGACTTGCTTTTGCTCTCAGTGTGCTCGTTCCGTCCATTGTGTTCTTCACATTCTCGTATCTCCAGGTTAGTTCTTCTTTCCCTTCTTCCAATCTTGCATTATGAGTACTTCGACTACTCCTGAACGTATAGAAATCGCAGATTTTGAGTCCACGCCCTCGTCTTCCCCTAATCTCATTAGGGTTCCTCCTCCTAGGGTTTCGAACTTCCTTAAGTCTGCAGATGACTCGGTTAATCAGTCGGATGTTTCCCCAATCCAGGCTGAGACATCCACCTCTAGGTCGGACAGTATTTTTACTAAGGAAGAAAGAAACGCAATTTTATCTGTTCGTCGTATCAAGTTTTCCATTGAATCCGTAATGGAAAATTTTGAGATTCCCGAGGGGGTAGAAATTGTAGAATACCCCAAGGGCGCTAATTTTTGTGCCGGTGAGGGCGTCGGAGAAGACGAGTTGCTCCTCTCTGTTGGGCATCTTAACGCTCTTAGATTCCCCCTTTATCCTTTTTATCATTTAGTCTTTAACAAATTGGGGATTGCACTACAAGTAAACCCTAACTTCCTTCGAGTAATCTCGGCACTCCTCATTCGCCTATGGCTGGAGAGTCTTGACCTAACTCTGGCTGACTTGCTGATCACTTACACTATTTCTAAGCATGGAACCGAACCTGGTCGTTTCTATTTCACCTCTCCCTTGCACCAGAGGATATGTACAGACCTCCCTACTTCTGAAAAGAAGTGGAAAGAGAGGATGATAATTGTTAAAAGAAGATGGGCCGTACCTCAATCAAGCAAACTCCCAATCCCACACAAGTTCGGGAAGTTAGGTATAGAACGTCCCCCCTCTCTTCATAAAGATTGTTCTGGCTGTTTCCCATGTCGAGTCTTATTCTTTCGGTATATTTATGAGTTTCTTGGTGTTTTTTCAATGACATTCCCCTCCTCTGCTACCAAGAAGAGGTTTTCCTTCCTTGAAGAGCAGGTTTGGAAAGAGCCTCCTTCTGTTGAGGACTTGCTTACCTTCGCAAACCTTAAAGCAATTGCTTCCAGATCCGTAGTTGCAGATCTCATGGACCTCTCACTTCCATCTTTCGATAGCTTCCCTATGACTGAGGAAGAAAAACAAAGGACTGAAGCCTTGAAGAAAAAGGCTGCAGAAAGTGCCCCATTGACTATATTGCGCTCAAATGAACAGGAGAAAGAGATTGATGAAATTCCTCTGTACAAGAAGGCGAGGTTGACTTCTTCTTCAACTACGAAATCCAAGAACGCTTCCAACTCAAAAAGTAAAAGAAAGAAGGCTGAAGAGACTAATCCTGAAGAGGAGGTCAGAGCTTACGTCCTTGCTGAAGCTGGAGCACCTTGGACTCCTTCTTTTTCGAGGGCTGACAAATCAGTCCTCCATACCGGTGATTCTATGATCACTGATCCATCTGCGGCGCTGGCTGTTGCTCGGGGAATGTGGCTCCCCAAAGATAAAGAGATTATTGGTAGGATGGGATTGGAGCAGCTACTCCCTTTTGCCCCCGTTCGAGCCACTTCTTCCATTTTCGTAATCATTTCGCCAATTTTCTTATATCCTTATCGTTTCTATCTGATGATGCAGGGCCTGTATCACACTATGGCTCTTTGTGCCACTGCTGAGGCTTAGTCTCTCTCCATTCAGAAGCTGGAGAAAGACCTTAGCAATTCTAAGAAGAAGGCATCTCATGCTATTGCAAATACACAAATTGCATATGAAGCTAGGGATGTTTATAAGAAGCATCTAGCTGCTTCTGACGCGAAAGTGGAGTCGCTGGAGGCTGAGGTTTAGCGTTTTAACGATGCCCTTAGCACCTGCATCATTGTAGGGAGGTAGATGCAGGGGCGTTACTCCAGTTTAGTGTGCTTGTCTAGCGCCAAGGCCTACAGGTCCGGCTTCAATCAAGGTTCAGGCGAGAAAACAACAGATCCGGAGGCTTTTGACACTCATATAGGGGTGTCTTTCCCCTATAATGAGGGCCCAAAGGCTCAGGAAACTGAAGTGCTCTTTGCCGAGATGGTGAAGGCTCATCCTGAAGTCCCTCCAGCTCCAAGTGCATTAACTCCTACAGCTGCTCCTGGCCCTTCAATTCCTCCAACTTCAAGTCCAGCTGTGGTGGACGCTTTTGAATCTACTCCGTTTGATCCGAAGAAGAAGTATGATCAAGTAATCTCGTTTTTTGTAATGAAACAATATTTGGAATGATAGTTATGAATGATATAACCATGTTTCTTAAGCTGTGATGCCTTAATTTTGCTTCGACTGAGTATGCTTGAATGCCTTTAATATTGCACACACTTTATTGAATGTGAACATTTTAAGGAAAGTACCCTGCCTGAGGGTTCCACATTTGTTATAGTCCGAAGCAAAACTAAATTAGATGTGAAGAAGGGATCTCCTTTGACAGTCTACCTGATATCGGAGGATTGTTTTTCCCTTTGGTGATTTAACCGTCAAGGGAACCCTTCTTGAAATGGATTTGTGTGAAGTAAATATGTATATACGTGTTTCTTCTTGTATTTTTTCGATGTGGGACAACCTTGTGGCTCATACTACTGAGCTTAGAGCCAGTAAGTATGACCTCTACATGACATTTGTCCCAGGCAATTTAAAGCATGAGATAATTGATTCCTCGACCCTGAGCCTGAGGGGAAATTTTGCTGAACCGGACACTTAAGGTCCGTAGCGAATGAACTACTCCCCGGCGCTGAGCCTGAGGGGAAATTTTGCTGAACCGGACACTTAGGGTTCGAAGCGAATGAACTACTCCCCGGCACTGAGCCTGAGGGGAGATGTGCTGAGCCGGACACTTAGGGTCCGAAACAAATAAATTACTCCCCGGCGCTGAGCCCGAG